CAACCATAGGCAAAACAATTGGGATGAACTCCTATCGCTATGTGAGTTTGCGATCAACAATGCCGATCAAGCGTCAACAGGTAACACGCCATTTTTCCTCAACCATGGATGCCATCCAGGTACTCCCTCGAGCTTATTGACGAAGCAGAAAGCTGGAGCTGGCATGGACACGAATGGTCCGCTGTCATGGCTGGATGGCCGCGTAGAGGCACTACGTGAGGCACAGGATGCCATCGTGGCGGCGCAGGCCCGGCAATCATTGTATGCGGATCGAGGACGGGTGGAGGACGCCCTGAAGTGAAGGAGGGGGATGAGGTGTTGGTCTTCAGGGACTTCCTGCTGACGCCCGAGGAACGAGACAGGCCTTCACACAAATTAAGGCTCAAGTGGTATGGGCCGTTCAAGGTGCAGAAGAAAGTGGCCCCGAATGCGTACAGATTAGCTCTTCCAAGAATCATTCGGGCCCATCCAGTGTTCAATATTGCTGCCCTCAAGCTGTACCATGGCAATGAGATACCGGGCCGTACTCAGCCGGCACCTCCACCCCTAACCGATGCGGATGGCCATACGCGGTACATTGTCGAAAAGGTGTTGTCGCACAAGAAGAGAGGACGGCGCACGCAGTACCTAGTGAAATGGAAGGGCTACCGAGATGCCACCTGGGAGCCGGAGGAATACTTGATGGATGAAGCAGGAAACGCTATTATTCCGCTGAAAACCTACCTGGACCGTTTTTCATAAAATTGCTATTTAATTGGCAGCCACAGTTGTATTGCTAGTTTCTACGTGTTGCAATAGAAATGTAGCATTCTGCATGATTAGGATAGTGCTTCCCTGCCAGCCAGGCGTTATTTGCAGAGGACATGCACTGGTTTTCGGCTACCATGCATTCCACATATCCATGCATGATCATTAGTTACCATAACTGTTCCTTCGAATTGGTACTGTTCTGACAGTTGAGAGGGGGGAATGGTGTAACAGATTCACTGTTACTACTAACACTAGGAATAGGATACACTTATCACCTGCTATTATCACGCTGCTGCTGTTAGGTGTTATGTCCATCATTGCTTGTTCATGTTAATAAGAATGCATTATGGCAAGGATCATTGCTTATTCCAAGGATGACTACTGAAGTTAGTTGGACTGTTACACAGTATAGCTGTGGTCCTTTCTCTTTTGTAATTAATCCTTGGCTCTCCATCCGAGTCCACTTCTTCGGAAATGTGGGAGAGATTGTATAGGCTAAGAATTATTTACTATTATTATTATTATTAAATTTTTGATAGGGCAATCCCCACAGGCCGAAGGCCTTTTGACAGGGTACCCTAAAAAATGAAGAACAGAATTACGGAAGGTATGCAGGGAAGAACTTGAGCGGACCTCCGCTGGGAGGGCATTCCAGCGGTCAGAGCCAAAGAAAGTGACAGAAAATAAACCATAGCGACGTTTGGCTGTCGGAAGAGCAAGGGAAGAGGACACTTGAGAGCGGGTAATATGTGAGGCACTGGTAAAGTTATCGAAACCAAAAACTATTCTTAGGCACCTGTTAAATAGCCGGACATACTTATCGAAATAGTAAGAACTAAGCCTAAGGGTGTGGACGTAAGCGCTGCTTGCATACCCAATGACGACTGAATGGTATTAAGATAATAGCTACGCCGTGCGTGGAATGGCAAGAGATGTCTTGACATGCGGTAGGCATCGAGTTTCCTGTTGACAGACCCAATCAAGCTGTTAATTTGTGACCCAAAAGTCAGGTGCTCGTCAATAACGATGCCAATATAGCGTGCGGACTGCGCTCGAAGAACATGGACGCCGTCAATGACGACACTGGCGGAACCAGGCACTGCTGTCGTCTTTCTGTGAAGGAGGAGGAACTTCGTCTTTGCTGGGTTCAGCGTCATGCGCTCAGTTCCCTTTCAGGTAGGCAGACAGCTTGAGCAGATCTCCGTTCAACGTTCCTGATGAGTATGACTTCCTCAGCAGAGTCACCAGCTGCGTACATTATATTCACATCATCCGCAAACTGCAGAACTGTGGAACTGTTGACGCATGAGGGTGAGGGAAGACCACGGACATACATGTAGAGGCTGAATAAGACAGGTCCCAAAACAGACCCCTGCGGAACACCCTGCGTGGCAGGCCCTCTTATCTGGTGCAATGACTCTATGATAATATATGAGCTGCTGCGTTCGATCACTCAGGTAGCTTTTAAACCATGCCAGAGCCGAGTCATCAATCCCACAATCAAATAACTCATTCAACAGCAACTGGTGATTGACGCTGTATACTCCGGTATATTAACATCTACCAATAACTTTGAGGATATGTACGTCACAAAGAGTTTCGTGCAAAGCCTGACCATTCTTCACCACCCCCTGCAAAGCAAACCCCAGCCCTCTCGCGCTCGATAGAATTGCTTTCAAAACGTGATGGGCGCACGTCTAAACACTGGAAGTAGTTTCACACAAGACCACAATCAGACACAACAATACTGCGAGCACACGATCGTGAGATCTCGAGCGAGGAAGACGAAAGTTTTCAGACTGTTGGGCGCCCCCCAGTCAAGCCCCAGAAAACATCGTTCGACCCAATCGCTGATGAATCGTGAAAACTAGTATCCAAAGAACCCCACCAAACAAGGAAGGCAGTCGTGTATGTGGGAAATCTGCACGCGGATTGCACAGAGGAGCGAGTGACAGAGTTCACTCAGCAGCGATCTGTGGCAGTGGCCAAATCCGTCAAGGTCCATGACTCGGCATGAGTGCAGCATGCACACCACGGAAGACGGGAAAGTCTCCGCCCGATTGACGCTCGACGCCACTGGCTTAGAAACAGTCACACTGCTGCGAACTTCTGGCCACGACCGCTTTACGCTCGAGCCTGGCGACACCGCAAACGGCCGCAGGGTGACAGTTCATCTGGTGCATCTGGCGCCGGCAACGTGGGCAGCAGAGGCGATAGGGACAGTGAGGAAGAGGCTGCCTCAGCTGGAGCGATTCAGCCACACAAACACCAATGAACACCAGCTGCGCAAGGACATACCCAGTAATGAAGCTCCTGCTGACAAATGCTTTTGGGCTGCTGTCAAAGTTTGGAGCCTTCCAGCATGCTGTTGCACGGAGCAGATCTGACATCGCCATCGTAACAGAGACTAAATTCACCCCGGAGAAAGCCTCACTATCTGACTCCTCCATGCCTCCATGACTCCCTCTCCTTTGACCACCTGAGTGACATCAACTGCCATGGCCATGAGATCATCTGGCTTCGCCTGCACCTGGACAATGGCCAGAAAGTAGTTGTATGTGCAGTGACAGTGTACCGACCCGGGTCGTGCCCTGGACAAGATGTCTCTCTGCTTGAGTATCTTGACTCAGTCATGGATCAAGCTCGATCCCTCGGGAACAGCGTTGTGATAGCCGGGGATTTAAATGTTCATAATGAAAGCTGGCTATGCAGCACGAAGACTACACCAGCTGGTGAATACATGGAAGAACTCTCTGCGTTCCACGGGCTCCACCAGCACGTTACTCAACCCGTCACGTGGTGAGAACACCCTGGACCTCATACTCAGCGACTTCTCGGAGACCTCAGTGGTGGTAAATGTACTGGGCCCCATTGCCTTGGAGCATCAGACCATGCCACCGTTGTGGCCACCTTTGATGCCACCCCACTCCGCGAACCACCGACTAAACGGGGCGTTTGGAGGTATGCTCAGGCAGACTGGGGCCGGCTTCGGCACTTCTACTCAACAGCAAACTGGGATATATCAGAAGACCCCGAGGCGTCCTGCAGATCAGTAACCGCTGTTGTCATGGAAGGCATGAATCGCTTCATCCCACACAAAGAACTTTCGAAGAAACCAACAGATCCATCCTGGTGGACGCCGGAATGCTCAGCCGCTACCCAGGCAAAGAAGAATGCATGAAACCGTCTCAGGAGACACCCCACCTGCCACCAGCAACTCATTGACTACAATGCCAAAGTCCGAGCCTCTGCCAATTGCCTTCGTCTCGCAAAGCAGGCAGAATCTGCCCGCATCCGAGATCGGCTCAAACATGGATCACTGCGAAACAAGCAATGGTGGTCACTCCTGAAGCAAGCTGCAGGCTCTGGCCGCAGCTCGTCTATCCCTGTTCTACGCAATGCCCAGGGCAGAGAATATGTCACCAACCAGGAAAAGGCTACTTGCTTTGGAGAATTCTTTGCGAGCAAATGCAGTCTGGGTGATCAAGATCTACAGCACTCCGACCTTCCTGACCTTCCTCCTAGGTGTACATCTGCCCTGACAACTGTCCGATTTCGGGAAGCGACAGTTAATTCCAGCGCCAGCTCCGCCAGCTGGATCAAACCAAGGCTTCCGGACCCGATGGCATTCCTGCCAGAGTTCTGAAGCAGTGCTCAAAAGTTTTGGCTGCACCACTTGCCAAGCTGTTCTCACTCTGTTTTCGGTGCCATGTCCAGCCCTCTCTCTGGAAAGTAGCCCGTGTGGTCCCGATACACAAGAAGCAATCTCATTCTGCTGTTAAGAACTACCGACCTGTGTCCTTGTTATCTGTTGTCTCCAAAGTTGTTGTTGTTGTTGTAGAAGTTTATTTAACGTCGCACCACAAACAGGCGATTTCGCCTCCTTTGATACATGTGGACGACAGAAGGAATGAGAGAGAGGGGGGGGGGGGGGACAGAAGTATGGAGAGAGGAAGGGTAGAAATAAATAAGCAATCAACCTCAGGGCTACACCAAAGCAAAAACGGAATGGGAACATACTATATACAAAATAGCTTCATACATATATTGCAAAACACGTTTACTATTCTTCAGTCCGCTATACCACAGAAACACACTAGCCGAAAAGCATTTAAACGGAGCCATGATGCGCTTTTAGCAGGGCACAGAACTGAAGGTGGCTGGGCTCGGAACGGAGATCAGGCGAGAGCTGGTTCCACAGGACTGCGCCGATGAACTGCATGGTCGCTCGACCCGCAGTTCATAAAGTCATGGAGAAGATTGTCAACACTGCCATAGTCAATCATCTTGAGCCTGAAAAGGCTCTGTCCATCCACCAGTACGGATTCCGGCAGGGGCTCAGCACATCTGACCTTCTCACGTCTCTCAACCACTCCTGGGTCTCCGAAGTCAACCGTGGTGGCGCAGTCCGCGTGCTGGCTGTAGACATAGCAGGAGCATTCGACAAAGTTTCACACCGAGGCGTGCTCCACAAGGCTGCGTCATACGGCATCACTGGTCCCCTCCTCAACTGGCTGTCTGACTACCTGTATGACAGGAAGTTGCAGGCAGTAGTCGGCGGAGCATCTTCAGAACCATACAAGATTGATCGGCTGGGGTCCCACAAGGGAGCATCCTTGGGCCCACACTGTTTTTGCTGTACGTGAATGACGCCTGCGACGTCCTACCGGAAGGGATCACTCCGGCTGTTTACGCAGATGACACCACGCTTTATGCCCACATCCCAACGCCACATGCTGTGACAGAAGTGTGCCGCAACCTCCAAGCTGGTGTGGATGCACTTGCTAAATGGGGTGCTCAGTGACGCGTCACTTTTGAGCCAACGAAATCACAGGCCATGACTGTGTCCCGCCACCGCAGACCCTGGGAGACACCACCCATCAAGTTCAACGGCACAGCGGTCCCGGAATGCTCGCGGCTGAAGCTCCTTGGAGTGACGTTTGATGCCCATCTAACATACTCGGAGCATCTTCGAGGAACTGCAGTGCGTGCCACACAGCGAATTGGTTTCTTCCGGAAGGCGTGCCATGTCCTGGACCCACCGGGCCGGAGCACAGCATACCGGGGGTTCATTCGGCCTCCAATGGAGTACTGCCCACTTGTATGGTTGGGAGCTGCGGCTACCCATCTCTCACAGCTGGACCGAGTCCGGCATCGTGCCCTCACCCTGATTGGGACAGGGGCTGCAATGGACACTCTGTCCCTGCGGCGCCGTGGGGGGACTGGCCGGCCTCACAACTCTGTACAAGCTCCATTACATCGCAAGCCCACCAGCTCTTGCAGCGACACGCCCAGCCAGAGCCATCGCACCCGCCATCGCGCCTGCCACACGTCGCCGCTCGGCAGCCAACCTTGCGCACGAGCTTCAACTCCAGACAGCCCTACCTGCCAGATCCTGCAATGTTGCGCTGCGCTCTTTCCCGGAGTGCCTCATCGAAGCCTGGAATGAACTGCCAGCCACTCTCCTCCGCGATGCACCGTCTGCCAGTGGGATGCAGCAGTTCAAGGTTCTGACCTACCGCTACCTGAAACGGTCGGGTTGGTCATTGGCCACGGACATCGCCCCCTAGGCTACTGCCAGTACGACCCTGTTGATGTTCTCGGAGCACTCCCTTCTCATCAAACTCCCAATCCATCTGTCTTTATCTCTCTCTAACTCTCCTCCATTCTCACTCTAATCTTTCGTCAAATCTGCACGGCAATCAGCCTCTACTTTCGCCTCAGCATCATGATCTTGATACTGCTATCTTTGTACTTGTTTGCACTCATATCTTGGACTGATAACAAGTAAATTAGTTTCCTGGTTTCCTCCCCTCCCTCCTCTCTTTCCTATCCTTAGAGTTCTTGCTCTCCTGCTCCCCTCCCCGCCGTTCCACTCCCCATTTTGTTTCCTTTGGTGCACATGTGCTGCTGTGATGCCGAGACCCTTGGTCGGCTGAGCTTTCACAGGTCCCACCCACTCCGTCCTGCTGGATATGTACCATTGTGTCGAGTTCTTCTCCTCATTTTAGTTCATCATGCAGTGAGTGTTCAATAGTAAAAAAATAAAAATAAACACCTAAGTGACCTTTCTCGCACTCCTCTGTGACATACCGCCGATGATACCGGTGCATGTCCGCACAATAGTATGCACGCGTCTCAGACTATCCATACACATGGAAGATAGATCTTCGCGCGTGTTGTGAGGTTCTACGTGAAAAATGAATTACAACAAGTAGTACGTCAACACCGGTGCTAGCACTGCCCACATATGTATAGGTACACACGAAAGTGTCAAGGACAGTGCAAATTCCGATGACAAATCACATGCCGCGACCAACAGAATACAAGTAACGCTAAATTGGAAGAGATCACAGAAAGAGCATGCAAGCAAAACATGAAGCAGCAGACATGCACATCTGTTGACAATAGGTAGAAAATGCCAATGGGACCCAACTGGATCCATGAAAAGTAAAACAACACCAAAAGAACCAAATTTCCATGAAAAGCAAAAAAAAAACAGATGACATTATGACAAGTGAATACATTATTACAAGTTCACAATAGTATGTAAATGATAGCACAGTAAAGGCCCGCAGTAGGTCGGAAATAATGCAAGCAGCTGGTGTGAGAATATAGCAGTAGCTTCAAATATGTTAAATTTTCTGATTTCAGAGCATGCAAGAATTGGCCATTGCCAGAACCAGCTGGGTATCCCATGAGTGAGTGTAGCAGACAGCAAGGCAACAGGGCAAGCGGTGGATTGGATAAAAACTGGACAGTGTCGCTGTATGCAGACAACCTAAAAAACGCCAGTGAGTGACGACTAGAGAAACGCACGAGGGTTGACAGACGGGTCCTTGCGGTTCCTGTAGCAGTAAGTGAAAATCATGCCGCCTCCCTGCAGTTCCAATGCACACGCACACGTACACACACCCATACACAAGGACGTACACAAACACACCCATGCACACGGACGCAAGCGCACACCCACACACAACGACGACCACAACGACGACCACAACGACAACAACAACAACAACAACAACGTGAGAATAAAAGATTTCAAACAGCAACACATGCGCAACCACTCACACACAGAAATGAAGCATAAAACAAAATCCACATTTCGAGCGTAGTGAAAAAATCATTTACAAAATAAAGACTGAGACAAGAATTACACCTGGCTATTTATTACCAGGGAGTCGTTAAAGTACTAGTATTTGACGACTCCCAGGCTATTACTTACAAATTTCATGGCACCAGCCTATTTTTTTTTCTCTCCATAAGATCACATACAAAAGTGTACAGTTACGACGGACTCGGGTGAAACATACCTGCTACATAGGGTGCACTGCCCTGGTAGTCGTGAAGGAACAGCTTATTATGCTTTGTTGACCTTGTCCCGTTCGCATCTTTCCCTCAAACCAATGAGTAAACTGATAACTATGTACACAGGGTTATTTTCTTTCATAAGTTTAATAGGGGAGAGTACGCTAGAAGTCGGTATGGAATTCTTATGCATGAAACACTGTTCACTAAAAACATCCCTCGCAAATTCGTGCTGCTGTAGAAGTCGCTGAAGTTTTTACCAGCCAAAATCGGCCGTTTTACAGGCAGTGTGCAGACAAGGGCGCTCAAGTCTCCAGGTGGGCATGGAAATACATCATGAAACGGTATTGAATACTTTTCGTACACAAACACCTGCTCTGCACATTTGTGTACCGTATTTCCCCGAATATAAATCGCGCCTTTCTACACCAAAATTCAAGGGCAAACAAGGTGTGTGACCTACAATTGAGCATGACTTACTACTGAAGTGAATATATCGAAACAAAATCGCACAAACCTTAAAGGGGAAGTTAAGGCAAAAATTAAAATTTCACCAGTTGTAGTCTTCGGGGTGCTGAGTCGAATGGTCTTGGTCCGAGAAAGCTGAGACGCTCCCTTCCTACTTGAATCCCAATCGAACTCGCGCACTTCCACCGAAACTGGGTGACTGCGCCCTACTAGATGGGGATTTGTATGCAAAATGTCACTAAAAGCGCCATTTCGTTCTTATAAAAGCACGGATGACCGCGATTGGCCCATATGTTGTAGTCTTTTGGACGCTGAGTCGACTGGTTTTGGTCCGAAAAGGCTGCGATGCAGCGTTCCTCCTTTATTCCCAATCGAACATGGTTGAACAAGCGGTCACGTGCTCCTGCGTACACCAGTCAGCTGGTCACCGTGCCTGCAGGGTACAACTTACTAGCCTGTTTGACCTTTTTTGGGTGCAGTCCTGTCACTCGAGTTGAACTCGAGTTGAACCTTGGTGTGAAAGTTGTTGCCTGCTGGCGTGGTGACCAGGTGATTTGGGCACCCAGGAGCACGTGACCACTTCTTCAACCATGTTCGATTGGGAATAAAGGAGGAACTCTGCATCGCAGCCTTTTCGGACCAAAACCAGTCGACTCAGCGTCCAAAAGACTACAACATATGGGCCAATCGCGGTCATCCGTGCTTTTATAAGAACGAAATGGCGCTTTTAGTGACATTTTGCATACAAATCCCCATCTAGTAGGGCGCAGTCACCCAGTTTCGGTGGAAGTGCGCGAGTTCGATTGGGATTCAAGTAGGAAGGGAGCGTCTCAGCTTTCTCGGACCAAGACCATTCGACTCAGCACCCCGAAGACTACAACTGGTGAAATTTTTATTTTTGCCTTAACTTCCCCTTTAACCCTTTGAGACCCCAACGATCGAATTCGATCGTTTGGTATACAGTGACACTAAAATAATTATATCTCTGGTGTTCCTTCGCCGATTTTCATAAACAAAGTATCTACGTTTCGAGAATACCCTTGGCTATTACGTCGAAGTTATCCGAAGTCTCTAGGAGTTACGATGCCGTCGTGGTGCGACTCGAAGTCGGAGACTAACTGAAAAATGCACTCAGATCGAAAAATTCAAATTTTCACGCTGCACTTGGCAGGAGATTTCCCCGGAATGGTACGTCATACTAAAGCATGCTGCACACCAAAATTTTGCGCTTGGAACGAGCTTTCCGCTGTAGTTTGTTTGAAGTCGATGCGATGAAGAAGAATGGAATGGCGGCTGTTTGAACTTTGCTGAAGCTGTTCGCGCATGGCTGCTGTTTTGGGCGGCATTATAGGCCACGCAGAGCAGAGGCTGTGCAGGTAGCTGGCTTGAGTGTGGTACTAGTCTCTTCGTCTTGGAAATGCCTTTCCAACGGTGGTTAGTTTGCAAAAATCGGTGACTGTTTCATAGAGATACGAGCGAAAGTGCATGTTATTTGAAGGTGAGTGAATCGTCGTACTTTCAGTGGGGTCTCAAAGGGTTAAAATAGGAGAGCGGCTTACAATCGAGTGCAACTTATAATCGGGGAAATTTAAGCGTAGAAAAACATGAAGTAACACCACTCACCACAGTGAACGAGAAGAAGAGGCCAACGCCGCCCGACGACCTGACCAGCTTCTCTATTGATTCCTGCCAGTGCGAGTAGCAGGTATCGCAGCAGGGTGTTTCGTCGGTAAAGAATGGCGGTGTGCAAGTGGTGCGATTGGCGCAAGCTGGGGCCTTGGGAGCAGCAGTCTGAAATAAAACCCAGGCATACACACACACACACACACACGAACACACACCTACAATTACATATTAGACATGGTTAGCATTTTACCGTTAACGCTAAATCCAACGGTTCTCGTACCCAGCACCCAAAATAGCATCGCTTTGGAATCGTTTCGACGATAGAAAGCTGTTTAGCGGGAGAACGAAACGGTAATATTCAGAAACCGAAATGCTAACCTGAACCATGTCTTGAAAACACACAAAAAACGGTACAGGCAGATGGTCGAAGTAAGAGTGAACGCTAAAATGCTAACCATGCCTATTACCCAATGCTGTAGACAGCAATATTATACAGATGAGGCTGGCTGAAGTCATCGACGAAGCACTGTAGAAAGGCGCACGCACAAGAGCCAAAGGGCTACTAGTAACTAGAGAGGATTGAAGACTGAGCGCATGTTGGAGATAAGGATATGCACACTACTGGACAATGAAATACGGTATGGAAGTCGGGTATGGTGCAGCAGGGAGTCTTCTCGCGTAACCAGGGCTGTTGCGCATCGGGCACTGTACCTGTGGCCAGTGCTGCATTTCATTGTCCAGGTCCTGGACTGGGCATTCATTGCATTCAAGCTGTAAACGTCGGTAACAAGAGAGCACACTTACACAGCTAGGGTGGAAGAGATTATCGGTGGCATTGCGCGAGCTGGAGTCAAAGCCACAGCAGTCAAAAGCCGATTGAACATCGGATTTAGTCGAGTTGGAAGATGCTGACCAGGACTTCTCCAGAATTGTATGGCGCTGACTGCCAGTGAGAGCCAGAACGGCCACCGAAACGGAAAAGAGAATTAGAAAGATGATCAGCAACGATATCATGTACTGCGTCATTCACACGATTAAGGAAACAGCAGTCATCTGACAGGTCACCAAACAACAGACAGACTCATAATTCCCACGGCTATCACAAGACTAATGCACTGCACAAGGTGGAGCCTCACAGATCATGTTGTTCATATACATGTACTGCTATCGGGTGCAAACAATATTCAAGATATGTATCAAGCTCAGCTGAATGTTTCTTGCTTCCCACCAACAGCCAGTGCTGTATAATTCCCGACGCTAGTACCATGTAGTCGGGTATTAAAACTAAAGGACTGAAATGAATGTTGTACGGAACAATGCAGAGTTAACCTTTCTTCCATTGCAGCATACCTTCGTCTAATCCCTAAGTAGCCATACCTAGTCGACTTTCTCACCGAGCTGCTCACAAGTGCAGAAACTGCTCTCTATTAAAGGTGTGGTAATTTTCTTTCACCATGCATGGAGGATACAAAGAACAGTAGGACTTGGTGATGCTTGAATGCACCGACCAGGCCAAGGATGGCAACAAGAAGGACAAACACTCCGCATGCCACGATGCCCCCAAGAAGGGATAGGCTGGTGAACATTGCCGACGCCTTGGCAGCTCCAGCCACTGCGATGAGGATGATGCCGACCAACTGTTCAGAAGGAGAAGAAGAGAGACCGAAACACACAGGTCCACATATCCAATCAGGGTAATGGTGAGGCACAAAATCAACCGCAGGCTTTGGTCATTACCAGAAAGCCAACGATAAAGAACAACTGCAAGCGTGCTAATAAAGTCTCCTACAAACACCCAACAAGACACACCAAGTTTGGCCTGCCCACGCGAGAGAGAAAATTCATCCAGATGCTCAATATACAAACATAATCAGCACCGGATGAATGTGTCTGTAAAGATCATCGCTTCAAAACGACTACATGTAGCTATTACGTAATGCACTACAGGGATGAGTTTATCCTGTATCGCATCGCAGTTTGCAATGCAAAATCGCTCTACTGCTACTCAAAAGTCACCGCGACTCGCAGAAAACTGCGATACATACAAACTATCTACCGTAAAGTGGCGGATAAAAGCCGGGTTTGCATACAAGCACATCGCGGATAGAAGCCGGGTTTGCATACAAGCACATCGCGGATAGAAGCCGGGTTTGCATACAAGCACATCGCGGATAGAAGCCTGAAAATCAAACGGGTCAAATGCATATACCGTATTCCCGCGCATATAAAGCCATGGCGTTATATCCGAATATAAGGCCACCCTCACTTATTAAGCCATGGTGAACAAAAGTCAATGTGGAGGAAATTGCATCTGGTGTTAAAAGTGAGTTCAATTCTTTCAGTGAACCTACAGTAGCGGTGATTCTCTCTGCATGTACCCATCCCCACTGTCACATGCCACCTTGTACACAATAGGTTCACAATTTGAAATTTTCAGGGAAAATTGAAAGTACATGGATGCTCGACATGAACGTGCAACAGCACCATCCGGGTACTCGAAGTCGAAGTTCATACTCTGCCGGTTTTTTTGCATGTACGCGACTCTCACTTTTAGCGCCATGGCGTTAAATCCGAGGCTATTTTCTGTAAAAAAATTGGTCCAAAACAGCGATGTTTCACCTATAACGCCATGGCGTTATATGCGCGGAAATACGGTAACTATTATAAGCCTGTCGCGCGTAGAAGCCCGGCTTCTATGCAAGCACAGATCGGGTAGGTCAAGAGTGCATGTGCTATGTACAGTGCAAAGTAAAACTGCCGCCTTACCGGTGGTCAGTGGTAGATCTACGCGTGTCGCGCGTAGAAGCCTGGCTTCTATGCAAGTGTGGTGCATATAAGCATGGTTTGCATTAAAGCCTGATGCAGAAAGCGGCTTACGTGCTTATAAGCCCGGCTTTTATCCGCGACTTTACGGTATACCTAGCCTGCGCTCTCAAGTAGCATGCATACAGTGCAGTGTATGTGATGCAGGCACTCTCAATCTGCGTGAACTTGTATCATTCAGTCGGTCTTTTCGAAAAGAGGCTTTCAGGCATCACACTCACGAAGGACAGTGTGGTAAACACCCAGCCTTCAAAGAAAAAATGCTAATCAAAATCAAAGACTGCTATACAATTGTGCATTTGTATAGCAGAAACTCCTATGCAAAAATATGACAATAAATTCATCCCTGCACTAGACATGATTCAGTGTGGGTAAGGCGGTCAGCACCCGTGCTACTACAGTCGACCTTGCGAATAACGACACTCGACCATGCACAAGAAAAGTGCCGTTGCTAGCGAATTGTCATTGTTCGTGAGGTTGACAGCATGCAGTAAAAATGGTCACTAAGTGAGTAAGTCTGATATGAAGATAGTGTCATTATTGAAGAGTTGTTGTTAGGCCCGAGGTCGTTACTCAAGAGGTTAACTGTACTATTGCAGGTGGGACCAATGACATCGAAGCCCTACCAAGTAGTGGGCACACTTGCCTGTCAGCAAACACATTCTCTCATGGCCACATCGCTGGTGGGCTGGATGTCATTGGCCCCACTTGCAGTAATATGTGCAATTACTATAGTCAGACCTTGCTTATCCGGTCCTCTTTTATCCAGAAGAAAATCGTTGGTTACCGATTTACAGCATGTGTCATGCACATAATCATACAGTATGTCACTTGTGTGTTCCATTATCCGGTTCCCTCGCCTATCCGGATATTTTTATGGAAAACGGATGTGTGCGGTTAAGCGAGGTCTGACTGTACATCAGTTGCGGCCAATGACCTCGAGCAGAGGGGACAGTTCCACGTCCAGCTCCAAGAACAAACGCCAGTACATAGATACAATGTGAGGTGCAGTGGAAATCTTATCACCTTTCTACTGCACCTCACATCATATCTACTAGTACTTCATTTCTTTGTTGTTCATCTGTATGTATCTGTTATTGCTTCACCCTGTAGATGGGCCATGCCCGACAATTTGGTGATTCATTATTCAGAAAGTTGTGTTCCAGCGAAGAGACCAGCATGTGAGTAGGTGTTCAGATCAGGTGATATGGCATAATGCATACCGCAGAGTCTTGTATTAAAGCCTGTCTCATATAGAGGCCTGTTTTGAATAGCAGCCTGATTTTCAAGATACACTGTCGGCACATAAGCCAGTCTGCCTGGTTTTAGTGTTGACATGCATAGAAATACACGTCTTGAAGCCCGTCTCAAAAGCAACCTGCAAAATTTCCCCTGAAAAGTCATATAAGGCTGTCATCACACCACGGTACAAAGCGCTGCGTCTACGTCCACGTAAGGAGTTTTGGTCGGTTGTCATGATCCATATACGGGGTGAAAACGGGAGCAGAGGAAACGGGAAGCGTAGACGTGGTAGGGAGAGGGGGTATACAACTTTTTGTATGAACGTGCGTATCTCCCCCGGCCTTTTTCCGAGCGACCCTGTACTTCGATGTATGTGCGTTCAAATTTCTCCAAAAACGTGACTGCATGTACGCGTCAAGAACTGTGCCCGTCTGATGACACGACCACCCGTTTTGGTTTTTTCACCGTGGACTTAGACGCAAACGGGAGTCGGAGAACGTAGTGTGATGACGGCCTAAGCCGCGGCTTTTATACACGACTTTACGGTACGGTATCCCTTTTGCTAACTACAACTTACAAGTACAAATAAATTTGTGCACAAGTACATAATATTAATATGCCATGTATATTTCAGTGTCGAAGGGGGGGGGGGGGGGGGAGGAGGTGACCGTGCATGACTGCTAGGATTTTCGCCCGAGACCCATCGCCAGCATAGCTGTTCTCTTCTTATGCAGTTTGAAGAGAATGGTAATGCACAATACTGTGACAATAGTCATCCAGGATCCTTCTGAAACAAGAACAAACCCTAAATTTGCGGATGGCGAATAGCAAACGAAAACACAACACACAGGGTATAGAAACAAAATCATACAGAGACTTCACTTACAAGGTAGAACGCATTCAGTAGCACCAAGGCATACTTGAAGAACAGAAAACTGCATTTTCTAGTACCAGCCATTGCTCCAAGATCGTTCTTCTTCACCACAGCTGAAATGTATTCTCGGCTCGCGAGCGTCAAATAAAACAATTATTGGACCTGCTACAATATCCACGGGACGGTATCATCTATCTCGCTTCAGCCGTGGCAGAGCTCCAACACTTGTATTTTGTAAGTATTAAAGTTGTGAAAGAAAGTTTGGTGCTTCCACTCGCCGTACTATTTATTATACTACAGGTAGCAATACGAGAACAAGGCGCTTTGTTATCGGGAGGTACTACTAGGTCTGCTAGCTGGAACTACTGATGCGGAAACGACCAAAGAAATAATTCAAAAATCAACACTTTTCTAGGTAAACACATGCATCATGCATGCATGCAATTTGCGCAAACACGTGCATGATGAGCTCATCATGCCTCATCATGCGCATACCGGTAGATCTACACTGTAAGTAATAGCAAGAGTATCTACTCTTGGTAATAGTTTACCACCAGGGAGTCGTATTTTACGACTCCCTGTTTACCACAGTAATCAGTATCAATCATCATGCATATGCTGTGTATGCAGCGCAGATGCAGCTGCAGCGCGCGCTGAAGCCGCTGATTTGCCAGATCGATGAGATCAGGGCCTAGGGAGTCGTAAAAATACAGTACACGATCGGTATTTTTAGACTCTCTTTTACGACTCCTGATCCTGGTCCAGCAACCAGTCGTATAAATACGACTCCCTGGCGGCGAGACGTAGATTCTCCGTGTAGACAGTAGAGCTAGCTAGAGTCGTGTTGTAGATGTCGATTTATAATCATAATTGTTTTGTCTGAAGAAGCCTCGAAGGGTACAGGACTTCTGGTCACAGCTACCTTCACGTATATCATAAGAACTTAGTATTTCGTATTAGACTTATTCTACATCCAGCGTGGTGAAAACGTGATAAGTGATAATAAGAGCTTGTTTAGTTTGAGTGGTCAGCTCTTGGAAATTCGTATTTTCGAATCTGCTGGAAAATGATATACTAGTAATCCAGTATCCTTCTCGGAAAATTCTCGTTATCCTGGTTGGCAGTGCTGTTGTGTTATGTCATTGAAGGCGGAGAAGCGGTTACCAGATGATGGCAACCACCCTGCTGAGAATTGGTGCTTCACTGAAGTTCGTGTCACCAAATTCTCCTATCTGTGGACAATTGAGAATTTCAGCTACTGCAAAGAGGAGTTAGGAGACATATTGAAAAGTTCCATCTTTTCATCCGGCGACAAGGATGGAATGCAATGGTAATGTATGGATATGAAGTGTTAACCATGACTTCTCCATTGTAACAAAAGCCAGATTGTGGATCCATGCATACCTGCTGGCGTGATCGCACACATGTACATGTTGTGAACACGCGCGCGTGCATATGCCTGCACACACACACACACACACACACACACACACACACACACACACAAACACACACACACACACACACGCACACACATGCATACGCGCATACACATTTGAAGGAAGGAATCAAAAGTGTTTCTGCTGTACCTCGGAGTTTCACGGTTTTAGCCGATTGTGAGACAGCAACAGTTCCTTCTTTCAAGTGTTTGGACTAGGCTCTGCACCTAGGTGTATTGTGCGCTGTCACGAGCTACCGCAACTCTCTTCGAGTGCACATACACACATATGCACGTGTGCATGTATGATCCCCCACCCACACACACCACCCACACACCACACACACACACACACACACACACACACACACACACACACACGAGTTGTTTATGGAGTACCAGTATGCTTTGATATGGAGTTGTTAAATCTAGTTAAAGGGGAAGTCCGGTGAAAAATTTAAATTTCACAGTCCGTAGAGTTCGGGTCGCTGAGTCGAATGGTCTTTGTCCGAGGAGGCTGCAGCCTATGGTTCGTCAGATACGCCCAATCGAACATGTGCGAATTTGAGCGCGCATCACCCAGATCCAGGTGATGACGTCACAGCGTGCAGCCAGGTAGCCACACCATCTAGTCGTGTACAAAATGGCCATATTCGGAGCGCGTTCGATTGGGGAACCGTTTGTCGCAGCTTCTTCGGACCAAGACCATTCGATTCAGTGTTACAAACACTACGTACCCTGTGATTTTCAGCTCGCTAAACCTCGAGGTTACCGTATTTCCGCAAATAAAAGGCCGTCCTCGTTTACAACGCCTTCCTCGTATATAAGGCCGGGGCAGGGTCCGATTGAAAAAATAAAAGACCGTCTCCGATTAGAAGACCGGGCCTACTAAACGAGTCTTTGTTCTTGTGTTAAAAATAGAAGACCGTGCTCAAACTGTGGGAAAATAGAAGACCGTGCTCAAACTGTGTAGAAGAAAATGGAAGAACGGGGGTAAAACTGTGTGGCGAGAAATAGAAGACCGGGGTCAAACTGGGTTGAAAGAATAAAAGATCGTCCTCGAATACAAGACCGTCCTCGATTATAAGGCCGGGTTAGGACGAGGTTGAAAAAATAGTAGACCGGCCTACTATTTGTGGAAATACGGTTTAACGTATTTTAGCCGTTTCTGAGTTGGACTTTTTCCGTCAGCATGCGATGGCCTCTACGGCTCTAGCAATGCGCTGCGTGCGCATGCTAGCTGTAGTGCAGTCAACAAACTCATCACACATGGAACTACTCCAGCACTGCCGTGCTGGGCTAGTATCTACAACAACTGAACAAGACTCGAGACACAAGACTCAGAAAACTAGTCAACACACGGACTTGTCATGTACTACATGTACACTCGCATCAGTCGTCCAGTCATATCATGTACTGTAGTCAGAGAACGTGCGTTTCTCCTTGCCGGTGTCGGTGGTTGTGCTTTGAGAAAGAAAATTTTAGTTTTCCGCTCCAGTCCCGCCTTATTATTTTATGCTACAGCGATCGAGTGCACAACCGTGACAAGTGACAAAACAGCGAACAGCTCCAGGACCTAGAACTTTCACATTCCATAGAGTTGCGACCGAAGAGTCGTGCCCGTGGTTCAAAGAGCCTGCAGTGTTCTCCAATTGAGTAGTCCGAAATATGCCAAGTTCGCACCAAAACATCACCATGTGGCAGGCTACTGGAGTCTAAGTGAATCGGTATGGAACAACATTTAGAGCACTCGCATCACTCTTCTCCATTTTGGCGACCCTGCTCTCCAGCGATCTGATAATTATATCAGCCTCGTCTGCAATAGCTGCTGCTTCTTCATCAGTCGGAAACTCAGAGCGCTCACTCTTGACCGGCCCGCGCGGCCATTTCTTCAGTGAATACCGAGGTTCTCAGCCCCAGACCAAACTCATGAAGGTCAGCCATGGCTGCATCCTCACTCTCACAAGGAGTTAGGTCTTCGGGGTCGCTTGCACCACCTAATATCAGTCGCCAAATCATTTGAAATAGCACTGACACTATTGCTTTCACGCACTCCTTTTGACCTAGCTGCACGCTATGACGTTGCGGAGGGTGTGGCGCGGCCGCATGACGTCATGGCGCAGCCCCCGAAACTCAGTTTTTCAAACGGAAATATCTCGAGAACGCTTTGTCGGAGACACGTGGGACCAAAACCATTCGACTCGGCGGCCGAAACTCTACTGACCCTGAAATTTAAATTTTTCACCGGACTTCCGCCAAATCTGTGGAAGAAGAGTGATGCACTTGGCTAGGGTTCGCTGGTTGGACATGGTGAACAAATAAGGGCCCGCCGCATTTTGCTTGCCCCTAGGCAGAAGGTTCACTTGAAGGGCTAAGATGCAAAACTCACCCCAAGTGCCGCTTTTTTGTTTGGAAAATGACATTTATCTTGTTACTAATGTTAATTATTGATCTCACCATTCTGCACATGCACACACAGAAATGCCAACCCTGCCAGGACTCGAACCTGGGACATTGCTTGTCATGAGCAATGCTCTAAGAATTGTTAGTACGGGTAACCATCTGAGCTATGGGGAACCGGCCGAACCTTAAGGCACTGACAATTTATTTGCACCACAAGCATCTCACAACACGTGCCATATATACTGATGGCACTTGGTGCTTTTTCCTCATGGTGGGGTGGGGGAGCCATGGTCAATTTCTGGAGATTACTACAAGTAGGCAAACAAAGGTGATTGTTTTTTTGTCCCACTTTTCTGGCAGTTCACTTCCCCGATTGTTTACATTGAAATTGAAGTTCTACCGTTCTCATGGAAAGGATTCAGAAAGGTATGAAACTCAGCTGCTCACTTGCTTGTTCTCGAAATGTTTCTTGTCCTTTGCTGTCCTTGTAGGTGCCTGCGGGTGAATCCTAAGGGTCTAGATGAAGACAGCAAGGATTACCTGTCACTCTACCTCCTACTTTTACATTGCGACAAACAAGAAGTTCGAGCGAAGTTCAAGTTTTCGCTGCTCAACTATAAGCAAGAAGAGCGAAAAGCGATGGGTATGTGATGTCTCCCGTTGGGCTAGTCAAGCCCTGTAAAACACAGTGAAACCTTGTCTTAGCTGACTTTCCAAAAGGCCCTTAATTGTACTCGCTGTGTACAGTTGATGTTCTCATCCAAGGCCATTTGACTAGACATGGTCATGGTACTCTTGGTTCTGGCGCTAGTGGTCTGTCTATGTGTCAGTCTACTCTTGCTTCTGTGATGCGGTGCAGCCATCTACCATTGTACTGAGTATCTTATGATTCCTTTGGCTGGACCTTCCACACTTTTGCTGGAATGTCTTGTCCGCTTGCATGCATGTGTGTGCGTGTGTCTGTGTGTTGCGATTTAACACCCCCCCCCCCCTCCATACAAACACACACACCATGTACCATGCGTATGCCCGTCGCAAGAGAAGCACACAACTGGCGAAGTCATGTGAATCGACCCCCAATGCACACCTGGTCTACACCACATGGAGCACATCGCAAAAGGACGGCCAGGACAGTTACCTATGCACACCCTACACTTGCTGGGGTATCCAGTATAGACTGCACATTGCTTTGATAGAAACAGACAATAGATGCACTGGTACCTTGAAGTGAAATTGGAGTTAGTTTACCAACCAGCCTCGGCAACTGAGTACTGGGAACTCAGGGCCAACAGACATACCAATAACCTCAGCCATGAAAGCTATATAGTAACGACACACTGGATTGTGGAGCCGAAACTAGTCCAACTTCCTAATGCTTTGGCAAGAAGGTAGCTATCCGACAAGTTGAATCACACACACACGCACGCACGCACCCACACACTACTACTACTACTATTGACAGCTGCCAGGATTGGCCACGCCGCTCCCAGATGGGAGGTACTGTCAGAGAGATTAGGGGGGAGGAAGGCAATGCTCCAAGTGGCGTTCCAGATCTTGCCGCCTCCGGAACCGTCGGTTGTGGCAAACTTGGCAGTGAAATTTGAATTGTTGGCGTTCAGCCACAGTAGGGTGCTTTGGACAGGTTCCACAACGGTGACGCTTGAGACCCGCAGCCGATTTAAATGAACGCTGACAGTTGGTGCAAGTTACACCCGGAACAACAAGAGGAGCAGGGGCAGGGGCCGGCGGCTGGTCGACATCGCCTAGCCGACACTTATGCACCGCAAAGCCTCCTCTGCTACGTAGCCATCGGTTGCATGTTGGACACTGTACTGATCCAGGCTGCTCCGATACCGGGAGCTGACGGATTGCTGAACACTTGTGCCGGGCCATGTCGGAACTACGGCGGAACAGACGGTTGCAGGTTGGGCACTCGATGCTCTTCGGGGCAGGTTCCTTGTCCTCACCTGCTGCTGTCACCACTCCACGCCACTCTCCACGATCGCTTGCCACCTCAAACCAGTTACGCACTCCAGCCACGGATAGGTCCGTGTGAATGGTGTCCTTCCAGCGACGACGAGGTCCACAGAATGGCCGAGACTGAGGGAGACAGGCAAACAGCAACTGCTTCGGTACTCTGGTGTCATCAAGACGAGCCAGGTGCCCAAGCCACTCCAACCGTCTCTGCTGCACCATGCGTGACAATGGTGTGGGATCACCCCACTGTGCTCGCAGTTCCTGTGAAGAGATGCGCTGTTCCCACTGTCGGCCTCGCGATACGCCAAGGATGGAGTGAATGTTGGCATGGTGAAACCGGTCCATTCTATCTAAATCTGCCTTCAACGGCGTCCAGCATTCTGAACCATACAGAACCGTTGACAGTACGCAAACGACATACAGGTGGCGCCTGGTAGGGAGGTTCAGGCTCCGGTCATGTAGGATGCGCCGAAGACCACCAAAGGCCCCTGCACCCATTGCTAGACGGCTCCGAATGTCCGCTTGCGACCGCGAGTCTGGAGTGATGGTGGAACCAAGATAGGGGAATGAGGTGACTGCTTCAACCCTATCATTGCCAATGACCAAATCAGAGCAATCAGCAGGGCAAACTCCGAAACCTGCAACGAGAAGCTTGGTCTTGGTCATGCTCACTGTGAGACCCAAGCTGGATGCGACCTCACAAAAGGCACACAGGGATTGATCGGCTGCGTTGCGAGTTGTAGCGAGCAGTACAGCATCATCCGCAAACTCGAAGTCATCAGCATGGCCGGACTCGGAGTGGGGACGACGCCTAGTGACACGAGGGAACAGCTGGCCATCAATTGTGAAGCTGAAGTCCACACCAGACTCTATTCCACGCTCCACGAGAAGGGATCGCCAACGCTCAATAACTAAGCCGAAGTACAAGTTAAACAGTACAGGTGCCATCACGCACCCTTGGCGCAGCCCATTCTTGACAGATATCGGATCCGTGCAACCACCGGCACACACACAAACACACACACACAGTTGACCCTAGCTCACTGGTATTATCTCATCTGGCCTTTGTGTCCTGCAGAGAGTCAAAGAGCCTATCGATTTGTCACCGGCAAAGACTGGGGATTCAAGAAATTCATCAGACGCGATTTTTTAATGGATGAAGCGAATGGCCTGCTGCCAAATGATTGCCTAACCATTTACTGTGAAGTAAGTATCTTGCCCAAAACTTCCTTTTGATCTTTCCGGGTGGTGGCGTTCCGACAGATGCGGAAAAGTCGGTCTGACCAACTCTCGTGCAAACTGTGAAATATTTTAGTTCACTCTCCGTCTGGGTTCAGTGCAGCAGGCATGGACATGCTTTGCACTGCACTTTTACACATGGCGGAGCTGAATATCCGAAGAATGTATCCATTGCCCTGCTGTGGGGCATCCGTGTTGCTCAGCAAAGACTCGATAAGGTGCTATGGATATGCCGTACCCGTGGCACCTTTCAAGTTTCAACGTGTGTTGTTCTGATTTTATCTGCGCATGCAGTCACAATCAGGGTGCACTACAGTGCTGCCCAATGAAGTCTGAGCATGCGAGTCGAATGTCACGCCGGACACTGTGCAGCCGGCCCCAGACGTGTGAACCCTGGGGCGGTGAACCCCTATGAATTATAATACAGAGAGTGTCTGTCGGATCAGATGTCGAGTGGAACTAGATTGTTGCTGCAGTACAGTGGGCACTCATGGGTGCTTGGACTCTGTGTTTAAATATCATGAACCATTGCTCCACTCATTCACGCTAATAGTGGGTGTGACATTTTGTAGTTGCTTTAAAAATAATATTGTGATTGTTGACCTTGCACCATGCAGCTTGCTTGACCATGAATGAGATGTACATGTATGTAAACGTTACGAGGCTTTATGTACTAGAAAATGCGCTTTTGATTTTGATTTTGTTGAGAACCCGCTTCTGCAAGTTCTGGTTCAAGCACATCGGTTTGAAATGATCTCAGAAGGTACTGTTTGCCGTGAATAATTCCCTATAAATTTTAATAAGAGTGTCTGTCGGCCCAGGTGCCGAGTGGAACTAGATTGTTGCTGCAGTGGCCGCTCGTGGGTGCTAAGACTGTGTTTGACTGTGTGCTAAGATTGTGCCCCTATTTCTGTGGTTTATTTGCTGGTGTTAGGTGAGTGTCGTGGACGATCCAACGAACATTGTGGGTACTAAACCCAATAATATTCTGATTCCCAAGTGCCAGCTCTCCGCTAATCTTGGCGAGCTGCTGGACAATGAGGAGTACACTGACGTGGAACTTATCGCCGAGCGCCAGACATTCAGAGCCCACCGCTGTGTGCTTGCGGGTAAGCAACTTGCTGCCCGTCGTTGTCATCCCCCCCCCCCCCCCCCCTCTTCAGCTGCCCTCCTATTGTTAATTGCTTCCCTCGTTCCCTAGCTTGCACTGCAGCTGTTCCCCTCTTGCTCATACCCGACACGTCTACATGCACATGTACACTTCGTTCTGAGATTGTTAGGATGCACGGCGAATTGCAATTGCTAGAAGTTTCCTTGCGTGTTGGTGGTCACTACTAACTGCTTCAGTAGTACATGTACTTGCGGAAAGGTTGGTTGCTCCCAAGGCGAGCCTCTGAATGGTAGTTGTGGCGTCTGTCAAGTCAAGTCGACAGGGAGAGCCCAAGCGCCCGCGTAGCGAGCAACCAATCTTTCCAGGAGCCTCCGTGTTATTTGTCCTCTTATCGTTTGACTGATTGGCTCTCGTTGTCTGGGTGATACTTCACAGCACGTTCTCCAGTCTTCAATGCCATGTTCAAGTATAAGGAGCTTGAAGAAAGTCAAAAGGTATGCTTGCAGGACCGTTTTTTGTATTGTTAGTTTTTCACTTTGCAGCAGTCATTGCCTGCATTTTAGTTGTGTGTGTGTGTGTGTGTGTGTCTGTCTGTCTGTCTGTCTGCCTCTCTGTCTGTATGTCTGTCTGTCTGCCTATCTGGCTGTCCATCCGTGTGCTTGTATAATTATAATTTTAAATTATCGGGTTTGTGGGCGTGAAACTGAGCTTAGTATTTTACATTCACCAAGCTGATACTGGTAGTCATCATACATCAAGAGGACATGTACGTGAAACCCAGAGTGTGTAGCTTGTGACTTGCTGCATAGCTGTGCGTCACGACGGAATTCCAGGAATACATCATAGTTGATGCAGATAAGCGGCGGGAAGTTGCGTAGTGCGTACAACTGAGCTTCAGTTGTGCTGCAGGAGAAATCTGCTTGAATCCTGCTTGTACGAACTACTAGTCTACATCACTAAAAATGATGTAATCGGGGACTTTCGCCATGACAACACGTTCGAGCTGAACACTCTGGCTTCATGCAAGTTACCCTTTGTGTACATGTACATGCATTGTGTGAGTTCCTGCACTGCTGAAGACCAGAAGGCTAACTTTGTGTATACTGTCTGTGAATCTCTCTACCAACAACCACTCTGCACCATGAAGAAGAAAAAACCCACCCAACTAAGGCCACACGAAAAGAGTTTTCCGGGTGGGGCCATCCATGCAACAAGTTAGTGCGGGCGGGCGGGCTTTTTTGTTTTTTAAGTTTTGCATGTACCATCTTCTACTGTACATTAACTGTGCAGTCTTTACCCTGTGCCGTGCCTGGCGATAGAGAATTGCTGAGAATCATGGGATGTATCGCCGTGGCGCACATCAATGAGATGCATAGGACAATTAATTGAAAGGAGGTCTGGTGACAAAATGTTTGACGCTGGAAAGCTCAGAGTACGCCGATATATTTTTTTAACTGTATAATTTCAACGGGGGACAGAAGCAGGTAATTCTTTGGAATGTCTTTGCATGCCTCAAGGCAAGCTCACACAACCAGCCAAGAAGACTTTTCATGTTAATTTTATATTGAACATTTTCGTTACCCTCTCCTAAACAAAATAATGGGAAGTGTGAACTGTTTGCCGTTAGGTTTTGTCCCGGTTGATGCACGTGCGTCTCGTCCTCGTCGTGGTCATCCACCAAAGTGTTCAGTATGGTGTAACTCTGGATTGTCCTTGCCTAAGTCTAAGTGCAGTGTAAATGTACTTGAATGTAATTGTTCCTCGTCCTCCTCCTTGCCGTCATGTGCGAAGCCGGGGCCTGCTCAGGCAAGCGTGAGAAAGCAGGGAAGACCGTCACGAAAGCCTCCAAAGCTGTCAATCGAAGTATCACCTCCGGATAGAGTCACCAGAAGCCAACTGAAGAGATCCAGCGTAAGTGATGCACGCACATTGTTGTTATTTAAGTGCCAGAAGAGCAAGCCGAGGAAACCTGATGGCGTGCACTGCCCACCACTCGAGTGGGGCGATGCTGCGCTCTGCCGGTTTCTCCTTTTCAAAGTTTGCGGTGACTTCCACTGTCAGAGAATCAGCATTCGTGTCATCCTCACAGCCAAGGAGATCGTTCAGAGCAGAGTGGGCTGGCTTGCGCTTGGTGGGCGGCTTTATCTCACTACACTCGCTGCTGCCAGCTACTGAGGCCTCATGCATCAGTGCCCCCTCAATACTGGCACGCTGGTGAGGCGAATGCTTCAGATCCCGAAAGCGCGGATTGAGGACTGCTGCCAACACGTACAGACTGTCAGAATCAAGACTGTTGAGCTTGAACCTGTGCTCAATACGGTCGTGGAGGCGCTTCTTCAATGGCGACACGGCTAGCAGTGTCGAATCGTCTTCATCATAACGTTAGCCACTGTCATGATCGTCAGCATTGGTGCAGGCCGTCTTCAGGGAAGTTAGAAGGGGAAGATACCACGACAATGTGGAGTACTTCTCCCTGCCCAGATACATGGTTACCGAATCGACCTTGCGTAGAATGGACAGCAGCTGCTTTGCAGTCTCCCAGTAGGTGGATGGTAGCTCCAGCTGCTTCCAATCCTTGTAAGACATATCAGCAAGTAGCAGTTGGAGGGGAGACTGCAGCTCGACTACCCTTGCCAACATACGGCAGGAGCTGTTCCACCTGGTTGGGCAATCCTGAATCACCTTCTTCGCCCGTACTGTGTCCAGTACTAGTGTCTGCTGCTCACCCAGCTACGTGGTCTTCAACGCTGAATGCTTGATGTGACCCACCCCTTGGCGACAGCATGCAAGTAAGCTAGAGAGCTGCTTCTTGTCCAGAGCACAATATTTATCTCTTCTCATCCTGATGGTACGTACCTCGTCCTGCTTTCTCAGTTGCAGCTTGTTGAGTTCGCTTCGCTGAAGGCTCACAGTTCGGAGGGCACTGGTCCACTGATGAGGGCTGTCCTGGACGGCGCACTCGTCAAAACTCAGCTCTCAAGTCCCTCTGGATCATAAAGTCTTAGCAAAATGCAACGAGCAAACATAGCTCGTGCTGCGAAAATAGGCTTGACATTTTCACGATGTATTGCAACATCTCAGCGCTTTGCCAGGTCTCCATCCTTTGGGAATCTGAGAAAACTAACCCCAGGAGGATTATGTGATACTGACACCACTAACAACACAACAATTTGGCATCGCGGCGGTTCAGGCAACTTGGCAAACTTTTTTCTGAAGTGACTTTCTTCCTGAAGAAAGTGAGATTCAAAATCCAAAGTATTTCCGCACCGTGCCACAATGACATCACACGTACATTGGTATAGGGGTGTGGCTAAAATTGAAATATCTCAAGAACCCTTTGTCATAGAGACTTCGGACCAAGACCATTCGACTCGGTGCCCGAAAGTCTACAGGGTATCAAATTTTCATTTATTTGTGGAGGTCCCCTTTCAAGCCACCCAGGCCAGGATTAATGGACAGTACCAACACACAGCAGGTCCAAGACAGAGACAATGTCCTCTTCAAGGTGTTCATCACCTGATCACTGAAGGGTGGTAGTTCCGCGTATAGATTTGTAGCCGCACAGTACTAGTGTGAACCCTCTATCTCAGCTCCTGTGTTGATCTTGAAAGTGAGTTTACGCGTTGATTCCTCCTTTTTCTTCTCACCCAGGGACAAGTGGAAATCCAAGATGTGTCTGCAACTGTGCTTGGTGAGATGCTGCGCTTTATCTACACTGGCAATGTCGACAAGCAAAACCTCGAGGAGATGGCAGCGGAGCTACTGGCGACATCTGATAAGGTTTGTGCCAAGCTCTCTCTCTCTCTCTCTCTATCTATCTATTTTTCTATCTATCTTCTCTCTTGCTCTTTTCTATGGACTTCTTCTGGGTAGATTGCCGTACTCGCGCGACTAGAGCCCTATATTTAATAATGCCTTGTCTCGAATAGCGCCCCTGTCTCAGAGAGTGAATGAAAAAATGATGCCCTCTCTTGAATAGTTATCTTATCTTTGGTCAGCTATGTAGATTGGACACTGGTGCAAGACTGCGTGCCACTGGAAAGTGGCTTCTCGTGTTTTGCTGTGCTGGGGCTTCGTGCCATGATCTTGCTATTCCGATTCCTCCGACATGGAAGTGAGCTGAGAAGATCCATCCCTGATAAGGAGACTCCCTCGATTTAGGCTATGGGCTGTGGAGAATCCATAAATACAGATACGAACAAATGTGAATACCTAAAAGGTGCTGCAGTGCTGTGTATGCCTGTAGATGTTGTTCCTGTCCACTTGTATCTGTGCTGTGTGTACTCGCAGTATGGTTTGACACGGCTCGTTTCGATTTGCGAAGAGTACCTTGCCGACAACCTGTCTGTGTCCAATGCGATTGAGTCGCTCATCCTCGCAGATCACCACTCCAGTACCTTTCTCAAGGCATCCGCAATTAATTACATCACAAGGTATGTGTGGCCTTGAGGTCTTGGTACATCACAAGGTATGTATGGCCTTGAGGTCTTGGTCATCCACACCAATTGAATGCAGGTGTGGGGATTTTCAAGTCAAGTTGAACTCGACGTGTTAACAGCAATTGTACACACAGTTTCAATGTTCGAGCTCCGTCAAGGGGAGCGAAATAGAACAGAACAGACTACAGTCAAACCTCGTTAGGACGAACACTGATAAGGCGAACTTTTCATTAGTACGAACTAGGGCCAATCCTGTGGTTGGCCAGGCATTATATCAAGTCAAAATTATTCGTTTACGACGAACTCTGTTGGGCGAACTTTCGCGAAGACGATCTAATTCAAGTGTGATTTGAACAAAATCAGCACGTAGTTCGAATCTTCGGTCCACATGTGTGCACTTGCTGTAGTTTTTTTTTTCCGATAGCCGAGGCCTCTTGTACGGGCTAAACGAAATGACAGCATGGGTACAAGGCGGAGGACGTGCTGTCATGAATTCATTGCACACTGTCCTCTAATACCTGTTGCTGGCTTATGCTATGAATAAAATGCTTTACATGTGGCACAACGTGCACCTTCACATAACTACAATCCATATGATTATGCGATAATACTCATAACAAGGACACACTTCAGGCTCTTTACCAACATCTTGTGTCCTTTTTATGAGTATTATCGCATTTTTGTCTCAGAGGAAACTGTTTACATAATTATGATATGCATGCCATTTTTTTGGCAGATCTGGATAAGAAGCACTATGATAAGACAAACAAACTTGTTCAGTCCCTTCAAGTTCGTCCTAACCAGGTTTGACTCTGCTAGTACTGTAAGACCAGCGGGAAGTGCATCGATTTTTCGAGTAGGGTCCAGAAGAAAGACAATTTGATATCGGTTCGAATGGCATGTCTCTCGCTTCCACGCGATAAGCCCAACTTGCCAGATCGCCAATTGTATACTCACGTTGCCATAGCGACCAGCGCAGTGATGACGTATGAAAGGCTTAGCTCCACCACAGAAAAGGTCGATCACTGCAGAATTTGATCGTTTTCAATTGTCTTATTGTATTCACGATGTGAAAGAAGTGCTTTGTTCAATGCTGTTAGTGCCGTGAACTGTTTATCGGCCTTCTCCTGCATTTCCCTAGGCTGACTGTGCCCAGGAAACGGTTCTTCTAGGAGAAGATGCTTGGTATTCGCCATCTCTCCTGAAACATTTTCAGCAAACTTTCAAACGTACGACATTATTTCATTCATCAATCTCCACCACCCATCGTCTCACCTGGCTTCAGAAGATGTTACGAGAGATAGGAGAGTCGCCACGAAGCATCACATCCATCTTCAGGACGTGGAAAGAGCAAACGGCATAGACCTTGGTTGGGGGAAATGCTGAACGTCTGATTTGTCCCAACCAAGATTTCAGCATTTTGTTCGTCACTATTTTCGCTTATTTGGTGATATCTCCGCACTCCAGCTTTCTCCTGTCGGTGTCACGTCCCAGTACACAACCGAGAGGACTACTAACAAACAGTTCACTGCACTAACAGCATTGAACACAGCCCTTCTTTCACTTCGTGAATACAATAAATCAATTGAAAATGACCAAATTCTGCAGGGATCGACCTTCTCTGTGGTGGAGCTAAGCCTTTCATACGTCATCACTGCGCTGGTCGCTATGGCAACGTGAGTATACACTTGGCGATTTGGCAATTTTGGCTTATCGTATGGAAGCGAGAGATATGCCATTCGAACCGATATCAAATTGTCTTTCTTCTGGACACTACTCGAAAAATCGACGCACTTCCCCTTTAACGAACATTTAATTCTAACGATTTAACGAATTTAAAAAATTCGTCAACATTTGATATCGTTATGTACAAAACGATACATACCTGTACAGTCATTTGCCGGTTTTGAGACGGAATTCGTTAGAATTTCACCTTGCTAACCCACGAAAATCCGGAGATCGTTAACTTTAATTGACGTTAAAATATCTGGTCTTACAGTAATCATCTTGGGGAAAACTACATGTTGATCTGCACGTTCGTGTTGCATTGGGTTCGCTTGCACAGAAATTCAGCAAGCGGATTCATGCTGGAGAAAGCTTACATGTTGACGTATTCACATCCTATGCATGGAACCTGCGTAGCATGCGGACGTGACATTCACCTGTCACCCGTGCTGACCCCGTCACTCTGGGTTTCCGGGCCCACTTGCTCCATGATCTGGCCAGGACTAGTGATACTGGTGCTGCCAGTTCATGCACCTCTAGCTCTGTCCTCTACATGTTATGTCTTTCCTGTCTCTTTCTGCTTTGTGCTTGAACTCAGAAACGCCGCAAAGGTGACGGAAATGCCTGGTTGGAGTCGATTAGTTGCAAACTGTCCCAGTCTAGTAGCCGATGCCTTCAAAGCTGTGGCGAAGCGAGATCCTCGGCCGCTTTCAGCCATCTCACCACCCAGAAAGCGGTCTCGTTCATCTCTAGGCTCATAGCGGAACAGCTAGCTGCATGCCAAAGCTGTAGGTGATCCGTAATGCTTTGCTGGTAGCGAGTGCTCCTTGCTGTATTTATCGTAGATCAATGTACATAAACATGACTCATTATAATTTCTTTCTTCTAGAACCATGGCCGTATTCGTACACATTGGCTTGATCTATTGTCGGCTTCTTAGGATACGTGTACTTGCAGTGGCATTCTTAGTTCTGTGTGAAAACCAACAGATTTGCGCCAAACGCTATCATCTATCTTCGCCCACTCTCTTTCTGTTACCAGCGCTTCTTGCTGTGCTGCAATTCGTATGCGAGTGCGTGTTCACCATGCGCGCACGTGTGTGTATATATGTATAATCTGCCCATACTGATAACTATCTAGCTGCGCTTGCGCCGCCTATACAGTCTATATACTCCGAACATGCTGTGCATCGTCGGTGATGCTGTCTTCCCCGTCATCGGTGCTACTGCCACTGCTGCTGCTGCTGCACTGGTGTTATTTTATTTTTTCTCATTGGCTGGCTGTGTGCATGTGCTGTCACCAAGCATGTTTAGTAATACTCTGCTGCCCCGTTGTGTCCCGTTGCTGCAGTTTATCCGATAACATTGGAAATCATTATTGTGTTGGCACCTGTTTCCCGCTGTACATTAGTCTAGTTATCATCACTCGGTGTTCTCCTGTCAATAGCATGCCGTCTGCCATTGTCATAGTTTTATTGATTACTTTTAGGCTCTTCTTTCCTGCATGCTGTGTCATACTTGCTTTCACTCCCCTCCAACCCCACCTGTAGAGAAGTTTTTGAGTCCTTGACGTTGTGTTTTTACAAGCTTGTCCTCTATCTGCCATATTCTCCTGTGTTTGAATGGATCGTGTGGTGCACCGACAGTTGACTAGGTGTCTGCTGTGTGCATGTGTGGACTTCGGGTAAGTTTCATTGCTGCCGGTGTAGACTTTGTGTGTGTGTGTGTGTGTGTGTGTGTGTGTGTGTGTGTGTGTGTGTGTGTGTGTGTGTGTGTGTGTGTGTGTGTGTGTGTGTGTGTGTGTATTTGTGCGCGTGTGTGTGTGTGTGTGGTGTGTGTGTGTGTGTGTGTGTGTGTGTGTGTGTGTGTGTGTGTGTGTGTGTGTGTGTGTGTGTGTGTGTGAGAAAGACAGACAGAAAGACAGACAGAGAGAGAGAGAGAGAGAGAGAGGGGGGGGGGGAGAAAAGGGAGCGACGTGGTGTACAAAGCCGCATCATCGGCAAATTGCGATTCCGTGAGGCAGGCTGGGCTGAGTTGCTTGCAACTTGCGGCCGACATGATACCAGATGTCAGCGCCAGGAACTGAAGTTGTCCGCCACTTTGCAACTACTGGGGGAAAGTACAGGTTGAACAGCATAGGCGCGAGCGTACATCTCTGGTGAAGTCCATTGCAGACGCTGAAAGACTCTGCTTGTGCACCCGATAGCCGAACACAAGTGGCCGTGCCATCATCCAGGGACTGAAAAAGCCCAAGCAAAGTTGGCAGTGTTTGCGAAGCACAGCCCACAACGCTGCGCAAGGAATGGAGTTGTAGGCTGTTCGTAAATCCACAAAGAGAGCCGAGAGCCCGGTGTCATGTTCCACAGCCTTCTCCGAGAGCTGGCGGGCGGCACAAATCATAATTATCGCAGCAGCCCCTGCCTTTCCGGAAACCACACTTTTAGTCAGGAAGGATGTCCTCTGCCACCTAGAGGCTGTTCTGTATGACACGTGCAAATATCTTGCCAACGACATCCAGAAGACTTATGCCCTGCCAGTCACAGTGTCGCACGACTTCGGGATGGGGACGAGCGCAGCATTCCTCCAATGATCCGCAACGACAGACCCAGTTGTCCACACATCCACGCTCAGGTTACGAATGCGCTGGGGGAGTTCAGCTCCACCAGAGATAATCAATTCCGAAGCAATGCCAGGTTCGCCAGCCGCTGTCCGAACATGAAGTCTCTGTTTTGCCGCCTGGACCTCCTCAAAGGTAGTCACCTCACCAAGCTCCGGTCGCATTAAATGTGGAGTTCCGGCGGGAAGCTATCCAACACAATCATTTAGCATCATAAGCGCTCTGGATGTTTAAAAGACGATCAAAATGCTAGTACGAATGGGGTTAGTTGTAAGATTACCCTCCTCGTCCCGGACAACAAATGTTGTGACTGGCTGACTGCCCCTGTGCACACCGCACTCGGAGCTGATCTATGCACCGCCCCCGCGCCCGGATGGAGCTGTCACGCTGCGCCCTTACTGCGGACCTCTGCCGCAGCAGGGATCCAATCTTCCCTTGCACGTTGTACGGCCTCGGCCGCGACACGTTGCGGAGGACAATAGTCAATATGCACAAACCTCTCTGGACGCCATCTTCAAGGGGGGGGGGGGGGGCACTGCGCCACGCTAGTTGCTATGTCGCTTTCAAGTAGTTTGGCTACAATGTCCTGAGCTATTCTAGAGAGTACAGTAGATCTACGAGTCGTATAGTTTCTTTCCGCGGGAGAGCACTCGGACTCCGTGACCTTATCACTTTCTACTCATAAAGGAATACGCGTACATAACCCAACTCATGGGCCATACGCCATAGCCATTACTGCGATTACTGCGTGCAAGTGGCCAAGGCTAACGAACTAACGAACTTGCGTCAGTTGCGATCGAGTGGTTGGTAGCTGGGGCACCCAAGCCACGAAGTATCCAACCAGCTATAATTATCATGTGCATATGTTACCTAAATGGTAGAAAGATACAGCGATGGGTGCTGCGTTTACTAGAGAAAATCATGAAAAGTGTTGCTTCACTAACGTCAGCATTTGGCTGAAGAAAGTGTAATTAGTTAGTTAGCAAAGAGACACTTCTTGTGCTCTCGGAGCAGAAATTTTACTAGCCTACCTAAACCGTCAAGCTCGACTGATGAGGGGTGAATTCCCCGACACACTGACTAAGCCTGTGTATTGAGCAGGGAGTGGCGCTCTCCTGCTACGGTTTGCCGAGTGGAAGGTTCGACGGGCTTCTCGTGTGCTCCAGATGCATGTCGTGAGTCAGTCAAGTGTCAAGTCAGTTGGTAGGAAGCGCGAGATCCGACGTTTGGAACACTTTCAGAAAATCTAGTTCATGTATGATGCATGAGATAGGAAAAAGGTTTCAGAGCATACCCGCTCTCTTCCCATTCACTCCGCAAACTCGAACTCGTTTCTCAATCAATTATTACAACTTGACTCGGGAGAATGAAGTTGAAGACACCACTGCAGCTGTACTTATGCTTGATAAATACGGTGGTGAAGACACACCTGGCAATATGGCGGTAAACACACGCCTGCCCACACATGCTCTCTAAGCTGCAAAGTTCTAGCACAGAGCTCTCCTTCTCACCACCACCACCATCAGTTCGCGCCTGGCGCCTAGTCGATGCATGGTTGGTGGTATCCGACATAGCAGGCTGGTACATCAAGTAGCGCATGGCACATAAAAGATGACACTGGAACGACATAGCTCGATTGCGACGTAGACCTCTACGTTTCGTCCCCGCTGGACTCATCAGGCAATCTTCTTCTTGGATGTCTTCATACGGAGCTTGACTCGGGAGAATACCACCAACCATGCATCGACTAGGCGCCAGGCGCGAACTGATGGTGGTGGTGGTGAGAAGGAGAGCTCTGTGCTAGAACTTTGCAGCTTAGAGAGCGTGTGTGGGCAGGCGTGTGTTTACCGCCATATTGCCAGGTGTGTCTTTACCACCATACCGGGGTATTTATCAATTATTACAACGATGAAATAATTACTCAAACTCCAGACACAGCTACCTGTTTCGAACTAACTAACTTGTTAGGTCTCCTCAGTGAAGCTCAGAGTGATGGGCCAAACTGATCGAATGAGGGCTATAATGTAGTGAACTACAAACTTGTTTTCAGCTGCTAGCTCAAAGAAAAGCATCATTCAAAGTTAGAGATTCAAGAACGGGTGTCTGCTCCGAACGTCGGAGCTCGCGCTTCCTGCCGACTGACTTGACACTTGACGGACTCTCGACTGCAGGGAGTGGTGCTTTCTTCCAGGTTTGCCGAGTGGAAGCTTCGACGGGCTTCTCGTGTGCTGCAGACGCAGTCGTGAGTCAGTCAAGTGTCAAGTCAGTCGGTAGGAAGCGCGAGATCCGACGTTTGGAGCAGACACCTTCTTCACTAATAATTATTACCCTAAATGCGAGAAACACAGCGAGCGATCTTTGCATAAGGGCAGACGACTTTGACGCTAACCACGCAGAAACTTACGGAATGCTCGATCCGAAGGCGAGGCGAAAGAGCTCACTGTACATGTACATGTATATCGTAACACCAAGTCACAGTGTGCTACGAACTACTCAAGAGTCTGTACTCGAAAATGATCCAGATCTAGGGAGTTTTTCTGACTAATACTGATCTAATGCCATGCGTAATGCCAGTAACATGGTACAGTGTAACCGTAACACCATGATTCAATACTGTCAACGTGTACAATAAAATGTCATGTTGACAGTCATATACCATGATAGTACATGATTAGTAATGTGTACACTTCTGAATTGAAGCATCATGTTATGTGTGGTGATTCTGGTGATTCTCTGACTCTGACTCACTGAGCACTCTGACAACTGTGACAGCTACATGCATACCAACGAAGGATTGCACGTGCTTGTGGTGGTCGCGGCCAAAACGTTTTAGTTTCGCACATTTTTGCTGATCGAGTCGGAGTCTAGTCGACAGATGTCTCGGATCAGCTGAGCGCGCGAATTCACGAAACAGATGAAACAGATGATTCACCTGGGACAATCCCCATCGCTACCGCCAGTATTCGTTTTGACATGTCCATGCCTGTCCCGTCAGCAAGCCTGTCAAACCCCTTACGCATTCCGAACCTGCAGAGTTGGGCTGTGGCCAAGTGACATATACAGACAGTGTGGTAGCCTGGTAGCCTGGTAGGTCTCTAGTCTGAGTAGATCTACGTAACTCGTTTGCACTTGCTTGTACAGTCATGTTGTAGCAAAGCGATGTAGATCTACGGAGTAGATCTACGAGTGTCCAGACAACCAGATACATGTAACAGTACAGCACACTTACTACAGCGCAGCCACTATTCAAAGGCGTGCAGGCGCACCTCGAAAGCACAGGCGCGCTGTGCCTATGCCCATGTCCGTACAGACTCAGGAACTGCCGAGTGGTGGAGTGACGCGGTTGACAGCACTGACACTGCGCTGACAATCTGTGACTGTGGCTAGGCTGCATGGAGTGGCAATGCATCGGACCACTAGCAGGCGAGTCTGGGACAGGAATGGGACATGTGGCAAGCGTTGTGCAACACGTCTGCCGACGGGAGAGCTAGAGTCGGACTCGCAGCCAACCATTGCAGAACTGGCCCAATGTAATCGTGCCGAGAGGCTAGCAGGAGCTGGCTGGCTGAGCTGGAGCACGGAGAGGATCATAAAGATTCTTGCCTCGTGGATCGAGTCCGGCACTCGCTACTTGCTGCGGTGATTAAGGGAAGCGGTATTCTGTGCTGAGGACGAGGGACGGAAAGGCAGTTCCGGTCGACTGGAATAATTATTTAAAAGCATGGTAAGGCTATCACACTACTACGCGCTACTCTAGACTAGTTGCTGTTCTAACTACTTGTTGTACGTATGGCACAGAGATTTCCTCAGGCACAGTGAGGATATGCCATAGTCGTAATGTATGATACAGTCATCAATGACTTTCAAGTAATACTAATATAGTTCTAGCTCGAGGGCCTAGTGAGCAGTGTTGTGCAGTGCGGGCGAAGGTTAGGTGACGGGCATCATGCCAAGCGCACTATCGAACATTGGCATAGGGGTCACCATGGTGGACTGGTGTTGTTACCCGTACTAAGTCCTATACTACTCGTAGCTAGTGTGCCGGCTGAAGCCGGGGATCATTTAAAAAACTCAAGTGAAATCGGTTTATACACAATAGTGCTACCTTCTAATACTATGCAAGCATTGGGGTTTGCAGTATGCACGGTAACGTGCACAGGATCTAGGAGTGCTTCGCTAGCACTGTAACCACTCAATACCGTACAGTCCTTAGACTGCAGGTCGGTCATCATGGTCTCAGTGTGCCAGCAATCAGGATCTCCAAGTTCTTAGGGTGTTCCAGCAGTTACATTTCTGAATTGACAGACCATAATGCAAAACAAGACCCGGAGACTCCACATGTGACCCAGCTTGCCAGTTGGAGATCAATCTGCCATGAGCTGGCCTAGATGCAAGCTGCTCAGTGCTGCTACTACCACCTGTATTAGTAGTGGTGGTAGCTGGTGGCTGTGCTAAAGCCTCAACGTGTCAGGGGTAGAAATCGCCCTCCTTCCTTTACACGTGTTAGGTCACTTGCAACAGGGACTTCATTAAAATAGTGTGTGTGTGGCCCTCCCCCCACTTCTCCTTTTGTTACTAGATAGTTCTACATGTAATGTCTGTACTCTCCTACTGTAGTCCGTAGTGCTGAGCCCTGGGATGATGGCAGGGATACAGGCCAGCCTAGTGCTCAAACTTCCTGATCATGTACAAACCAGGCATACATTTATGCTGAAGATAGTGTGCCTGAAATGCATGCCCCCTGGTCACTACACTGGGCAGATTTGCACCAACTGTTAGAGGCTGTGCTGTGTTGGTCATGCCATACCTCTGCTTCTTGGACCTGCCCTGAGGACTGAGGCAGATTGAATCTTAGCTAGATGTCGATCTACACGGCATTGTGAACCAGAAGTATTGTATCTATTGAGGCCGCAAGTCCAAAATATCGTGTCTTTGGCTATGTGAGTGAGTAATTAGACAGCAGAAACAGCTTGCAATTAACTAAAGTGGTTGCTAACCAAAGCCTGAGGTGTTGTATTGTATACTGATGCAGTCAGGATCATGGGAAGGGTGGCGGTCATCACTGCAATGTGCATGTTTCAAAAACAGCTCCTTAAAACTGTGTGAGGTATGTTGGGTAGTTCACTTCAAATGAAGGTGCTGCTCTGAGGGTTAGCCCGATGTCTCTTGCTCTGCTACGCACCATGTGTAATGTTATGTGTACACACTGCACTAAGTGTTGAGCATGCGCCAGTCGAGGTACGATAGCAATATCCGAAAGCCGCCATTGCTCTAGATTGAATACTGGCTATACATGCAGCTCAATCACTGTTCACAGAAGTAGTGTGTCTGGCAGGTCCACGAAGTAACTCGGAGGCGGCCGCAGTAACCGTATTGCAGGGAGCTCAGTCCATGGTAGTCACGGGCATGGAGCTAGCCTACCCAGCAAGTCACAGTACATTGGACATTGTAAGGGCTTAGGATGGGCTTAGGATGGCTTGCACGATCATAATAATTATCCGCATAGCTTTGCCAGCCTGTCTCACCCGAGGTCTACGTAGGCCTGCAGTAAATCAGTAGAACCAGATGACTGCAGTCCAAAGCCAATTTCAAAGTGCTGCACTGTACTCTGTGATGTACGTGTGCATGCCAAGCAGAGGCGGATGCATCAACCAGTACTGCTGTGCCTGCTGAACACCGTCACTGAGTAAAGCGGCATATCGGCCCACACTCTAGCCAACAGGAGAGTCACGGTTATACTCTACAGTCATATTGACCGCCTAGCTTCAACGTCACGGCCCCGGGAGTGTGTTACTAGTATAGTATAGGCTGTGCTCACACTATAATAGCCAGAAGCAAGCAGTGTGAATACTCCTTGGCGATAAACATACATGTAGTTTCAACCAGCCAGTTTAGCTGATGTAGCTAGCCCTTAATTATGCAAACATATTGGGGAATCTAGCAGAATCTCCGTCCTTCAAGGAGTCTCATCCTCCAACCTACATGTATGTCACATGCTCTGATGTCTACAGGCAAAGCTGGATGCTGACACGACGTCATCTGACGATATTGATTTAACATGCGATGAAGTGCTGCCGCCAGAGCCGGTGGAAGAGAGCGAGTTCGAACGTGAGTTCCGGTATGAGAAGAAGTTGACTGGACATGGCACGATGGCCCAAGAACTGCTCTTCCACTCGGCAAGTGAGTCCATGCTGAACAACGTGGATGACTTGGAGCCGGTCAGCGACCAAGAGCGGCCCAAGTCACTGCCGCTGGCCATCGCCAGTCCACAGGTGACTGTTGCGGCGTTTGTGCAGCATGCTGCGCCGGGCCAGGTCGTGGCAATGCCGGCGGCCACTGGCATGACGGGCTCCATGCCAGTGCAACAGTTCACGCTGTTTTCCCCGGCTCCGCGACAGGCTGTACCGGCGGCGACGTGTCCACTGCCGATGCACGTGCAGCAGTGGTCCGCTGCACCAGTGACTGTCGCCGCCAGTCAAATGGTCTTCAGACCGATAGTGGCCGCAACACCAGCTTCGACTGCGGGCATTCCTCTAGCACCTAGTGAGTAACATTGTAACTTGTCACGCATACATGCCTATCTACTTGTACTTCAAAGTAGGGGTGAGATGATCATGCCGATTACTCGTCATGTGACTCGTTATGGTTATACATGTACTCGATACTCGCTAACAGTTGCAAAATGAGCTTATCAGGTACGGGGGAAGGCTTTTCAGGCACCAATATATTTGTAAAACAGGCGGGCCAATCCACTCACGACTCAGAATCATGATATCTACGGTGGGGAGGAACTGTGATTCTAACTTTTCTAAGTGATCTGGTACCTGTGGCCTCATTATTCTGACATACTTTGTTGTTGTTTTCTCGCAAACGAGAAGAAAGTAGCGGCACTATTTCAGTGAAATTGAACACCGGAATATATCGCTATAACCGACAATTCGATGGTGAACAACTATAGGTATTCGGTATCCAATTTTCAGTGATCGTTCACCCCCACTTCAAAGTATTCCAACCCAGTAGTCAACAGTAGGACCACGTTTCCATTTCAATTACTGGTACATCATGCATGTTCCAATAACCGATCCGAGGGCCGGCTTGAACCTTCACACTGCCCTCGGCACGTGGGTTGGATTTTTTTGGCCACAACTGTAGTAATTAAGAAGGAGGCCTTGCTGAATTGACATTGGACTCCTTGCCGTTTGTTCATGATTAGTTCTGATATTCCATCCACTCTGTAAGTTTGGTGTGCGCGAACACTGCCGCCGTTTCTCATTCCTTTCTTCTGTGCTCTGAATGCCCTGGCATATGCAGTACCGTACCAGCTGTCACCATTGCAGCCACAGCCGTTCCGCTACAGCTTTCATCAACAACCAGACCCTGGAGCTGAGGTAAGGATCATAGTCGCACATTTTTCCAGTGATTAGCACAGAAGATTCACACTGGCGCATGGCGTTGACAGGTCACACAGGGGGGCTGTATGCGTACAATGTAGTTGCTTTATTACACGTGATGATACTCAATTTATGTTCGGACTGCTAGTAGCAGGAGTGCAAGTATTGCTTTCAGGAATGGACAAGGCGAAAGTTCGAATTCTGATTTCTTCTTTGCAAACTAAAATGTGTGTAATCACTGCGATGCCATACCTCCACATGTGCGGCAAACGCGCTCAGAAGTAACTGTTGATCCATGCTGTCCAGATTCAGTGCATATACATGTACATGTTGCAAAAGAAGAATCCACGAGCAGGATTCGAACCCATCACCCCTGTCTTTCTGGGACAGTGCCCTACCGAGTAGGCTACCGGGGATCACACACACTCATGGGTCCTTCTTGCTACATACATGCATGTGTAACCATGGCAACTGTCTGAGCCAATTTGATGTGCGTTCTTCTGTTTTTTTTTTTGTGGTGCACAGCAGTAGTGCGATGCAAACGTCAACCGAAAAACATGATTGTGCAAATTTATCCGGATTATCTCAGAGTATCACAAACTGCTATATTTATGATGAGTGTGTCTATTCCAATAGGTTCTATTGTTTTGATTTGTTCCAACTTCCCAACCACAGTTATTACTATTTCAATGCGGTGTGGCACATAATTATAACAAAATTCGCCTTGTGTCAATGCAAAATGAAAAAGAACGAATGTTCGTTTTCCCGGGATCCGAATGGGAGTGTGTGACCAACTGAGTGTGCCTACAGTCTACACTGTCTGTACAGCACACCATCCAGCCTGCCCTGAGCTTACAGTGATGTGATGCATGCACACAATCGTAATGGGAGTCACATCTCAAGGATCTCATGCTGCACTGACACGGTAACCATGGTAATCAAGAGCTAGTATTAATAGGGCTTGAAAGTGCTACGTCACAGCATAGCAACAACTTCAAAAATTCAAAAACTGGATCCATTTGGATCCAGTTTTTGTATAGATCCAAGCACATTTCAAGCGGTCTTACCCACAGCATGGTGATGTAGCCAGTGAAACTGACTGATTTGGCTACTGGGGGCGGGGTTACAACTGGTGGCGAAATAAAAGTCACACCTGCATGCGACATGAGTGGGTTGCTATGCACCCACATACTTGTGCAATAGCAAAGTCACACCTTAGTGGATCCAAAAATAGAAATCTGATGTCAACTTACTACTCCCTGGCCGTTTTGACGTCATCACTTTCAAGCCCTATATTGCAAAGCAGTCACGATCACATGCACTTTTTTAAAGCTCAAAATAATAAAAAATTCAGAACAAAAACAATGAAACTCCCCTAATTGGGGCGGGCTGGGACAGGCACCAGGCTATGTCGCCAGATTGTATAACATGTACCAGGCCATGTCCAAAGTCTCCATATGCATAAAAAAAGGGAATGTTGCTGGTACCAAGCTGCAGAAAGTGATCGTGTCATGTGGACAGTGGAACGTTCGAACCAACGTGGCCGACCTCACATGGTCCATGGGGTGCAGGACAGCTGTAGGGAGTCATCAAATACCATGGTACTTGACCAGGGAGCCCCACACATACATGTATGTGTGGGGCTCCCTGGTGCAGGAGTTGAGTGGATTTGGAACCAAAATGGCTGCCCTGCATGGTCATGTGATAGATGTGAAACCACTCTATCTCACCAACATTGAATCTTGACTGCTGGTCAGAGTGCTCTAATGCCTTTCTCATAATTATAGAAGCTTCAAACCTAATTTTCAAGATGCACCGATGGCACATAAGACTGGCTATAATAGAAACACCGGGTATGAATACAAGCCTGATTCGAACAGAAGCCTAGCGGGAACATTGGCTTCTACAGGAATACGTGTACTCCGGGCTTCAAGTGCGACGTAACATTGTTGTGGCACAGCCAGCATGATGAACTGACGGCACGGGTTGCATTACATGATCACACAATGTCCTTGACAACAGGCAAAACTGCTGATTCGTTTGTGTCGGTCATCTGGTTTCTTTCACACAATATTATGGAGGACTGCAGTCGGTTCAATGCATATGCGCCACGCCATTCAACACACTCAAACACGTCCATGCATCCAGCTCAATCCGGCTCCTTTCAATGTTGCCAACTCAGCGTTGTGGCAGCATCCATCTTATTATACGTTGGTGGGTTGGAAAATAATGTGTGTCCGTGGGGGGGGCTATTCTACAACCATAACTAACCCTCTTTCCTATTGTCCACCATGTACTAGTCTACTGCAGTACTAGCAGTAAATTACTATAATAATTATTATAGTAGTCTAGTACCCTATCACAGTTAAAAAGAAAAAGAAAAGAAAAATACATTCCCCAGAAGTTGGAAGTAAGGGTGAAGAAGCATCAACACAAATAGTAGTACATGTATCAGCACTATTCGATAGTATCCAAGCAGCATGTGCTGCCGGCTCCTACTGGTCTATCTCCAGGAAAACCACCAAGAAGGAGGTGAGCCCACATAGCTTACAGAAAAACAACTGGGAAGTATGGGGAGGAGATACGACTCGTACAGGCGAAGTTAAAACTGATCAAGGACTCAATGCTGGGAAGGTCAAAACTCAGATCGAACCCGTCCGAAATTACCTTCACATCTCTCACACTTCAGCAAGGTGAACTCATAGCGCTCTGCCATGCACAGGCAGAGTAGAGGTGCTACTCAGCAAGCCCAAAATGTTAGCCAAGCAGAATGGTCGGAGTCTGACACAACGGGGCAAGCGAGCCGCCACGCATGCTCTCTTTCATATTCTCACGCCCAAACGCACGCAAAGACTCCCTCACTCTGTGGCATTTGTTTACAGCCCTGGCTGGATGCTCATCTGCCCACGGCGAGCTGATTCGCTAGTATCCGACACCAGGCAGAGACCGCCGTAGGCCGGCAGTGTCAGTCGGACAGCACACGGTAGTCGGAATGCTCCTTGCGACTAACACCCAGTCGCGTGCACTAGAATTTCGGTGCACGTTTCCGTCCAGTGTACTTTGTGTCTCGCCGCACCCTGTACAATAAATAACACAGTGAAAAAGAAGCGCCAGAAGTCCCGCTTAGTCTGACAATCCAGCCAGTCACGCACTGCATGTGTAATGTGATGGTGTATCTGGACGAGGCCCAGGATGGAGGGCAGAATTTGCTAATCCAGCTGATACAACGCAAGTGCTGGATCGAAGAGGCACGCCTGGAGTGCGCAGGGACACGCCGCTGTATTGCCATCAAACGATACACAGTACTGTACCAGTATCAATTTAGAATGCACTGCTACACAGTTTGGTTTGGCTGCGTTAGGTAATGCTGCCCCTTTTTTGTGTTCCTTTCTAGAGGAGCTGTGTGTTCATTGAGCGGTGAGTTAGCAGACGTTTGTCTACTGAGGGGAGCTACAATGTTACAGGTTAGACATCAGCAACAAAAAGAGCTGCCCCGAGGAGAGATTCAACATCGTAAAGGGTTGACCTTTGCACCTTGCAAGAAACAATTTTTTTGAAATGATTGGACAAAGGTCGAGACGAATATCGTATTATCAATCACTTTCCACCCACCTGCCGGCATTTCGGATTAGGTTTTGTCATCTCCTGCAGGAAAGCCAGCAACTTAAACGCTCCAGTGGGGTCGAGATGGCCATGTACGGGTTGCAAGAGTGAAAGTTGGAGAGAAGGTGTTCACCCGAGCGCTCAACAAGAAGTGTCCGTTAGAGTGCTCTGAGTGAATCAAGGCTATGATGGGTCAGTGGCAGTTGTCGCCAATCACCACCTCATTCGGCAAGAAAAATCAGCCCCGTCTTGCTGTTGGGAATGCGTACGCTCCAACTGTCACTTGTAGCTCCAGGAATGGAGAGGAGCTGGACTGATTCTACTCTGACTTGTCCTCTGCAGATGGTCAAGTCCAGAGTAAAGCCCTGGTATATTTGTTGCTGGAGACTTCAACTCCAAAGTTGGAGTCCGTTCGAATAACTTGGAAACATGAATGGTAGCTAGTGTGTGCGTCTATCAGGTACGAGACTCGTACTCGCAGAATTAGAGGCAATGACACTCCAGACCACTGCCACAAAGTATACGAAGGTCACCATCTCAATGGAGCGTGTCTGGGTATGCAAGGCCGGCGGTATGAATCAGAGGGAAGAGCGTCACTATGAGGACGAGTCGAGGGCAAAGCGTTGCCGATGTGAGACAAGCATCAACGACCTGGAACCGATAGTGAAGATCACGATGGAATCGAGGAACAAGGTAGTCTGCATGAGAAGAAAGAGAACTTGGCGCTTCTCAGGTTCAGACGTTTTCAAGTGACTCTGCTTGTAAATATACTTGTATATAATTTCGATGTGTGTGCGAGCCAAAAAATTGAAAATACAGTTCAAAATAGCGCAAATCTATGAGTTTTCAGATAAGGCTCAGATTGAGAGCCAAGGATTAAAGTGAAAAAAGAAGGACCAAAGGTTAAAACAACGGATAACGTGTACACCTTCGGTCCTCTTCTTTTTCACTACGAGTTTTCATTAATTGTTTTCAATAATCCACCACATTCCAAAAAAATAGGTACAATCATGGGGTCGTACCCCCTCCACCATCTCCAACACCCTCAAAATCATTTTACCCCAAAAATGGTGTACTATCAATGGTACCCCATTTTTTGGGGCGGGGCATGTGCCTTCCACAGAACCGGCTCGACACACACTACTGATGACAAAGCTGCAGAAATTGAATGGCTGAAAGATGGAGCGCATATGTTCAAAGCAGTCAGCCTGATAAAACACAAACAATCCACCAAGCCGTGCAGGTACTAAAGGTCGAATCATCGGCAATGATAAAGAGTCGGCAGAAGCTGTTCTAGATCACTTTGTTCGACAATTTGCTGCTCCTATTTCCACTTCAGAAGCCTGCACCCACTCTACCGTGGGCGGGGAAACACGCTAGGAGTTCGTTTCTCTTCCGCACCGCTACCATCTGGAATGCTCTGCTAGCAGACCTGAGAGCCACAGCCTCGCAGTCCTCATTTCGAAGCCACCTTTGCACGCACTTCCCAGACACCAACACACAGTAACACTCCTCACTGACATGCCTCTTTTCCCTTTCTTAGAGCTCTGAACTTAGTTTCCGTATGGAGTTCAGGGAACACTCAACCCGGCCACATTACGTGCTCCCTTGAACTACATGTTGTATGCAGTTCACTAGCCATCCACTGTTTGCATTTTTAGTTCCACTCTACAGCCTCCGATTGCATAAAACCCCCACGTCGTTGCGTGAAAACATGTCAGGTCGATACAGGATTCCGGTTGGTACAAGGTCCGGTGAACACAGGTTTTACTGTAATATTCCTAACAATTGCACGGGATTGTACAATGCTGGTCAGTGACATCCGACCACTATTTTTAGAACTGAGCAGCTGCGCGGTGGGCGTATGGCCTGACTTCGTTCGCACACCTGCAGAGCGTCAAGAACTGCAGGACTCAGTCCATAGACAAGAGAATCCATGACCGGACTTCACTGGTCACCACCACTGCACAAGACATCACAGATAAAATTTGCAGTTTTAAGTCTGCAATAGCCATGCTTACTCTTTTCCTTGTCGACGTGACCTCTCCTTCTTGCGAACAATCCAGTCGCGACTCTTTAGCGGCGTGCGATCACCCTTGCGTTTGCGAATTCGCTCACTGTCCGCCAACAAAGACAAAAATACATGTACAGTGAGTATCGTTTATAAAGTGACCGGGTGTAACGATATACCGGCTTTAATGATCGAACTCGCCAAAATCAAAATCAAATCACAAAAAAATACAGCTAAAATATCACTATACACACTATTATCGGCTATACCGATATATCGCTTATTGTGATGGGCTTCAGGAAGCAAACCATATCAAATGCACAGGAAAATATCGTATATACTGATCAAGAGTGATGATCACAAAACAATAATTATTGTTCTTCAAATTTAGTTCATTTCTTCCAAAACTGATCCAGTGTTGCCTGGATGCATCTGGCAGCAGACGTGATAGAGATAATTCTTTCCTGTATGCTGTAAGCAGCCACGTGCAGTACACATGTACACGTGGCTGCTTTTCATGCTTTTTCCAGCATGTACGCATCTTTTCATGCACAGTCATGTGCCATGTGTCAGTCATACATGCAAATCGGCTATAGTGATGCACCGGATATAGTGATAAATTATCGAAAATCAAAGGGGCACGTTATATCCACTATTTACTGTACACAGAACAATAGGAATACATGTGTTGGAAACACGAGTTCCTGTAGCATGTTTAGAGACCGACACGTTTCTGAAACTACTAGCTGGACCAGATGCTGGTACATGTATGTCATTGCGACGACTCAGGTCCACTAGATGCACTCACCATGACGCAGCCACAGCCAGTATCACACAAGCGTTAAACACATTTCGCCGTTCGCATGTGCCACGTAGGAAAGTGGCAAAGGCGCAAAGACAAACAGGAGGTAGTACATGTACAGGTCATACATACCGCTCCGTTGTATACTGGACACCACCTTCTTGTCCCTGGCCACTGGCACCATCTAGCGCCTAAACACATGCAAGTACAATACATGTACACACATATGCACATATGCACACACACACATACACACACGAGTGCCAGCACATACTTCATACTTCGAAGTACTTGCACCCACCCACCCACACACACGCACATACACGCGCACACGTACATACACACAGACACACACACACAGACAGACAGACATACACCACACACACATGCACACACTCGCGCACACACACCCACACATACACACCCACAGACACACACAGACACAAACAAACGAGGCTACCACTACGGTACGTGCACAGTAGTACGAGTCAATGAAATTCAAACCCGTGAACAACAGCCAATGAAATGCGGAATCACCTCCAAGCACAGAGTTGCCATTTTAACGTCCAACAACACATGTATATGATATGAGGAAGCTACATGCTCCCTTATCCGGCTTTATTCACACAAACTCATGCTAAAGCACTGCGCAAGAACATGTGCGTAGCAGAGAAGCAGTGGTTTTGCCTGATGATCGCGTAAGCGAGAAACTCGAGTTGTAATAAAACCTCGTTCTACCAAGTATATTTTTTGTAAGGAAGCTGTGCCCTTCATGCCACCGAGCAGTGTGTGTGTGTGTGCACGTGTGTGCCCTCGTGTGTGTGTGTGTGCGCGTGTGTGTGTGTATGTGTGTGCACAGAGGACTAATTCTACAGTGTAGCACAGAGTATTATCCAGTCTTACCGATGGCATGCGTGCTGGTGTTCCGCAGAACAAACACAGGTAGTACCTGTATTTGCAGAGACAAAGGAAAGACACGTCCAAGGCAAACAGTAAGCTACACGAGCAGTTGTACGTCTTCTTGAGACTGTTACCTAGGAGAAACCTTTTTGCTCTCCACACCCTCCCCACACCTACCCATATGCATGCACAGCCATACCCACACTGAAACACACCCTCCCCACACCTACCCATATGCATGCACAGCCATACCCACACTCAAACACACCCTCCCCACACCTACCCATATGCATGCACAGCCATACCCACACTCAAACACACCCTCCCCCCACCTACCCATATGCATGTACAGCCATACCCACACTCAAACACACCCTCCCCACACCTACCCATATGCATGCACAGCCATACCCACACGCAAACACACCCTCCCCACACCTACCCATATGCATGCACAGCCATACCCACACTCAAACACACCCTCCCCATACCCACCCATATGCATGCACAGCCATACCCACACTCAAACTGCTCTCCACACCCTCCCCACACCCACCCATATGCATGCACAGCCATACCCACACTCAAACACACCCTCCCCACACCCACCCATATGCATGCACAGCCATACCCACACTCAAACACACCCTCCCCACACCCACCCATATGCATGCACAGCCATACCCACACTCAAACACACCCTCCCCACACCCACCCATATGCATGCACAGCCATACCCACACTCAAACACACCCTCCCCACACCCACCCATATGCATGCACAGCCATACCCACACTCAACCTGCTCTCCACACCCTCCCCACACCCACCCATATGCATGCACAGCCATATCCACACTCAAACACACCCTCCCCACACCCACCCATATGCATGCACAGCCATACCCACACTCAACCTGCTCTCCACACCCTCTCCACACCCACCCATATGCATGCACAGCCATACCCACACTCAAACACACCCTCCCCACACCCACCCATATGCATGCACAGCCATACCCACACTCAAACACACCCTCCCCACACCCACCCATATGCATGCACAGCCATACCCACACTCAAACACACCCGCGCACACGTCATGTACAGTACATGTAAATTGACGACAGACAGACACACAGAAGGCAAGCTGCACAGCAATGTCTAAAAAAGTACTTCAAGTACCAACCACCGTCGACTCACTTCTTAGCTTTGGTACTGTGCGGATAGTCTACAACAACTCCACCGGTGAACCCAGCACGCATTGCTTGTGACGTGATCAGTTCCATCTGAACAAACACAAACCATGATTCCATGAATCATCAGTCACCTTGACCAGAAGTGCAAAATCCCATGATTCAAATATGGCATGGCAAGACGGCACCGCAATGGGAAAGGCATAACGTATCGTATGATGACCATGTAGCTGTTGAGTGCTGTTGCAGCTCGCCACTCCTTGCCTTTGATGTTGCAAAGCGCAGATAGTCAGATACAAACAGACAGACACCCAGGCACACAAATACACCCAGGAAGTAGTGTGTGTGTGTGTGGTTGTGTGTGTGTGTGTGTGTGTGTGTGTGTGTGTGTGTGTGTGTGTGTGTGTGTGTGTGTGTGTGTGTGTGTGTGTGTAAACAGTCCAACAAACTAACCTGTGATGGATTCTCCGGATAGAACTGAAACACCGCCTTGCTTCCACGTGCCTGCACAACATACCGCCAGTACCAAAGAACGAGCATGAAACAACTAGCGGTGAACGAAAACACTGAATGTTTGCGATTATTACGAAATGTTAGGGAGCACTTTGAATTATTCGTTTTGAATCACCCGAACATCGACAGACTTTGGACATGACTTGGGAGCATGCCATACGCAGTCAATAGATGATGCACATGACTCGCACGTCATGAGTAGCTGAAGTATCGAAGTCGAGTTCAAAGATCAAGCGTGACCGGTAAACAGGGCTGGGCTGCTTTGCCTTTCGGTTTGCCCTCATCATCAAAGAGCAGCAATTTGTTTGAAAAGCACTAGCAAGTGCAAAACGTGGGTGTTGCATATAATGTCACTGTCTGTAATCAAGCTGTGTCTACCGAGCTGACGGATGTGGAACTCTTCACGTCTCAAAAATGGTCAGCACTCAGCAGCATGGAAATGTTTCTAATAGAGTCTGGGCGAGTGATAGCATATCGACAGAAATAAAATACCACGCTATACATGTACATGTAGAGCAGGCATCCTCACCATGCAGCTGTACAAGGTTGTGAAGAAGTGGTGCAGGCGCTGAGCAGGACGATGATCCTTCTTGTCAGCATTGCACAGCCATTGCAAAGCAGAGATACTGCACAGACAATACAGCATACGGGAATGCGAAAGAAGAAGAAAATGCTTGAGCACGCGACTGGCGAACAAGAGTCAAGACACCAACAAAGAAGATGAGTAACAGCCTGCAGATGGGAAGCAGCATCAATACACCTGTACATAGAAGACAAAGACTACATAGTAGCTTATCTAGCAAAAGTGAGAGTAACATTCAAAGGCAAAATGTTGAAGCAAATACAGAACATGGCTTACCTGACAACGCCATCAAAGACACCAGGTCTGAAGAACATGCCCTCTCCAGCGTCACCTAAGCACACCTCCCCTTCGACCTCCCGTTCCTTTGCGACGTCTACAGCAAGCAGCAGCAGCAGCAGCAAGAGCAAGTGAAATGCCACAGTGAAATCGACCCAACAGAGAACACTCAAACTTAGCAATCTGGCACTGGTGCCAACAGTCTACGTGGACCATGGCTAACGCACCTATTGCAGGTTATAATGAATTTGGGGATTTCCCCATGATTATTGGTGCTTTTCAAAGCTTCATCAAGCTGCTGGTTGAAGCATGTCCGTACGAAAACCAATGTGTTCTTAGAAAGTACTTCCGAAGTATTCAAAATGAAAGTACGTGTCAGATGGGGCAAGAAAGCCACTGTTCGTCTTAGCCAGTTTACAGTCCATTTCAAAACTATAGACGCGCAGTGTTTTTGAAATATTTCAAATTTGGCTGGAACTTTTTGAGAATAGTTTTCGGAATATTGCTCAGGATCGCTCCACAATTACATGTACTCTCATATAGTTTCTAAACGATTGGATAACAGGTGCCCAATTTTGAAAAAAATAATGTATGCACAAAGTGATCACAGATTTTATGTGGTATAGATGCTGGCATAACGGTTTTTGCCTAGGTACGCGTCTATAGTTTTGAAATGGACTGTAGGCCGCGTGACTAGAGTTCAGGATCGTCTTATCCGAGAGTTTGTCTCATCCGAGTCCATATCGTATTTCCGTATGAATAATGCTGCTTGTCCTCGGGACCTGAATGATAGTTAATCTCATCTGAGAACTTGTATTGGGCTATGTGATGAATCTTACCCGAGATCACTCTATTCAAAACAGGTGTCTATTCGAAACAGGTTGCTGGTACACAACAAAGATGCCAAGCTGCAATATGCCATCCACAAATACACCAGCCACACGCCAAGCACACCACTGCCACTTACTCAGCATGTGTTCGCTGATGTCAACACCAATCCAATGATGACCTTCGGCAGTTAGCCACTCGCCGCTGAGACCAGAGCCGCAGCCCACGTCAAGCAGGAAAGCGGGCTGATCAGGCGGCAATGCCAACATCTCCACGGCACGCTCCGTCATCTTCTCCTGAATCTCGATAATGCGAGAACTGTAGAACATTGTTTGGGGTTAAAAAAGAAAAGAAAAGGCAGCGTTCAGTGACTTGGTGACGGAAGATGAACAAGATACAGGTAGTGTCACACTTGCTCACATGCCCTAACACTACACAATGATACTGTGTGAACAACCCTGGTCATCATTCATGGTGAAAAGACACACAACGCTGTGGCCATATCAAAAGTCCTTGCCAATAGAGCAAACACCTATGAGCGAGGATGCACGGGGAGGAATATCCTTTCGAAAATCAACCCTACTTGCTTCGCAAAATACTAAAATATGTGTACAGTGCAGGCATAGATTCCACTCTACATGTAGGGCCCTTACTTGCAGGTGTACTTTGTTGCCTCGTCTTCATTGTAGAACTGAAATACAGCGAGAAACAGGGAAAGAATAGGTAATACATGTAATTACGAAAAAGGATAGAATGATTCTCGAAGACTCCACCAATAAGGAATGAATCCTTCAGATACACATACCCCCCCCCCCCCCCCCCACACACACACACTGTACTGGTGTGTTTGGAGACATGCAAGCTCCCCGAACCACTTCAGTATGCATGTCGTAATCAGATACCGGTATACTCTACAGGATAGAAGTGGACCGGAACTCGCACCAACAGCTGCTCCATGCCGGCGGACAGTTGTACAGAGTACAGACCCCGTGTCATTGCCCCCATCACTCCCGGTCACATGTATCATGCAGTAACAACAACAACAACAACAACAACAACAACAACACTACGTGACACCAGCAAACACCACAATACGCCATGAATGAACAACCGCTGCTTACCAGCTCTGGTGGACCAGTATGTTCTGGCCGTGACATTATGGCTGGTAACAGGAGAGAACAGTATCGATGAGGTTACACCTAGTAATAGTGAAGCTGGATGAAATACAAAGTACACACAAAGGAAAAACGGACTTTAGTTGAAGTTCAAGCAATGATGTCTAAGGCTGTGTTTACATGAGAAATTTCAACCCGGGTCGAGTTCAGCCCGGGTTGAAAGTCTGTACGACAGACAAAAGAGGTGAGCTTTTACATGAAGACAGTTGACCCGGGTCAAATACTGATATGCCGCCAAAAGTCCACTTCTACAGTCCTATATGGTCACGTGAATCCGTTCGCGCGAAATTTGCATCTGCAGTGCCGTTCAAACCTGGCGCGAGATACGCACAGAAGTACGTTTGTACGATTTTCTTGACCCGGGTTGATTTCAACCCTCCCCTTCGGGGGAGGGTTGAAATCAACCCGGGGCGAAATTTCAACCCGGGTCAAGCGCAATGCGGCATGTAAACGCGCCATTCATTTTGTGCACATGGCGGGTTGAAATCTGACCCGGGTCGAACTCAACCCGGGTTGAAACGCTTCATGTAAACACAGCCTTACGGGGGCCATCATACTAAAATCAACATACTGATAGTGATGATAATGGAGTGTAAAGTGATCAAGTGTAATGAATACTAATGATCATTCCGTGACCCTCCATTATCTTCATTAGAGAGGTTCTGCTATACGTGAAACGTAGAGAAATCACGTAGAGAGCAGGTGTCTGGGTTAGAGTCTACGGCTTCGCGTGTTTTTTGGCTCCAGATTTCTACGCGGAGATGAGGTTCTCTACGTTGTGGCACACGCAGAGAAAACGTGTACGGATTTGCTGGGTATCGATCAACTGCATGCAGAAAACTGCCAAATATGGAAGGGGAAATTCCCAGTACACATTCCACGTGACTTCTCTACGTGACGCGTAGAGCAGAACAGGATTTCTTTACGTTACGGGAATGCGAAGAGAGTTCGCGTGATTCTTTGCGTCGCGTTCCCGAAACGTAGAGCAGAACCTCCCTATTATCATTCAAAAATCCTCTACTGATGAGCTCAAAGGAGCGAAACAACTGTCTAGAGGCGTAAAACGCATCTGTCAACGGAAGTGTCCTTGTTGTGCTGGTGTGTTTATGCTTCGTGCATTGGTTCGGCTACGAGCGCACGGTGGTGACAGGTGGAGGGTGTAGTAAAGCAGACTATACACCACAAATTGCTCCCAGGACCAGTTAGGGTAGCTGGAAGCTAAAACAGATTTGCAAATTGGCCCGAGAAATGATGGTTGTGAAGTATGCTGTCTTCAGTGTGTGAGGTAGAGATGAAATGGCCAAAAAAGTAGCTAGTCCCCATCAATATTGTGGAGTAACGAGCACCCGAAAACTGGATATTCAATAAACTTGCAAATGAAAAATGAACAAACAAGAGAAAGACAGAAGGAAGGACAAAGTGATAACACATAACAGCAGTACATTTTATTGTTAGCACACGCATTCATGATTACTCTCGCTTTCATTGTTAAAATTCACACTTGTAAATTTCACTGCTGTTGTTCTTGGTGTTATTTCTCTAACTTAGGTTTTCTATAATACTAGTACTTCAATTTTGTTTCAGTGTCCTTTAGTACAACGACGATTCCTGATGAGTGTTGTACGAAAACTTGTTTGAATCCTTATTTTATCTCTACACTATTTCTTCCTATTTTCATCGTTATTGCACATTGTCTCCACCGTTTTACATTGTATGAATAAAGTATACACAAATGTCGATTCAGCTTGTCTTATTAATTCCAGTTGTCAAAAACTTACTAGTTCAGACGAAGCCCCGGGTAGACGAATGATCCAAATATCACTCTGCTCCTAGTACATGTACTAACTAACTCTCACAGTTCGACGAGCTACAGGTACTGCAAATGTCAACAGCAAAGAAACGACAGCTTCTGCATGGGATGTCCTTGATAAAACAGAAAATACTGTTTCAAGAAACATACAAATCTTTCAGTAAATAATTTACTGTTTTTAGTGTCATGATCACTGCGTACTCATTTTCGGTACATGACGTCATGACTATGCAGCTAGTATACTTGTACTAATAGTAGCGAGGTCAGACGCGTGACCAGTTCACGGACTTCGCTTGTCGCGCTTGGACCATCCCCGGCCCATTGAAAATCGATGATGTCATGGCACATAGGTTTTTACTCGATTTTTCGATTTTTAGGGGCCATCCGTAAATATCGATGTTTTTTTAGAGACGATATTGGTGCGTCTGGGGGGGAGGGGGGTTGAGCCATGTGCGTCTTTTCGAGCATCAGAAAAATATCGATGTAAATATCTGAAGTTTCGCCGATCCCTGCACGCGGACGTCTAAATGGCTATACAAGAAATGTGAAACCAGCTTCCGTTCGCGGAGCTAAAACTCGCGACACAAGAACAAAATCAAAAATTGGAAGCTGCACGCCCATGGCGAATTTCAAGAGCAAAAGAATGAGCTATTGATTGTGGAAATAGGCCGAACGATGCCTGCAGGAGACCTTTTTCAAGACGTAGAGGCAGTGCGAACAAACACGGACGAACTCCACAAAGGCACAAGTCAAGAGTTTCCAGTCTTCACTGTCTGAGCATGAGTTGTACTGCACGGGTATTATTGACAAAAAAAATGAGCATCCAAAAATATTGATTCCATGATCTAGATGTACATGTGCGTCTTCTGGGGGGAGGGAGGGGGGTCAAGGGAGAGAAGCACCAATATCGTCTCTAAAAAAACATCGATATTTACGGACGGCCCCTTACGGGAGGCATCAAAACTGACCTGCGTTTGAACTTCGCTTGTGCAGTCTCCTTGCTCTTTTTGGGCGATTTCAAGTTTCTAGTCCTTTGGTAAGGATATGGAGCAATGCCTCCACCCGTTCGCGCGGCGTCCAGACGTTTCTCTGTCGACGCGCTGTCTCTCGCTTTTTGCCAATATTCGAGGGCGGGTTTCGGTCCTTGCGCCTCTTGTTACGCCTTAGGTTGTTGCTGCATCGTGTTCAGCGCCCCCTAATCCTTCGGACTACCAAGTTTCATTGGCGTAACAAGAGGCGCACCGACGTTATGGCTCCCGACTGGTGTCACTGTCCAGCAAGGAGGATTGCTTTGGGAAGGCATGTGCACCAATCTAAAAAGCAACAGAAGCAAGCGAATCGCCATCAATCCGATTAAACTTCGCTTGCGTCTGGTGTGCAGCATTTTGTATCTATTCAGAAGCTTGTTGGTGATGAAGGTAAGGAGATGGCTACTTCAGTCCCGGTCCCAGGTACTGTTTCGGAAAGCTATGTCTTTCTTACAAAGTTTTGTCCAATTGTATGCATCATTTCAGAAATGGAAACTATTTCCAAATTTCCAATGCTGTCAGTGTTACTCAATCAAGGCAACACTACAAATAGTTGTCAGCCAAACATAACCTGTGTGAGAGAGAAAGTGAGGAACGTTCACTTTCACACAGACCATGTCTCTAACAAAGTCTCTCTACTGTACTACTCCAGAACAAACAATACGTTCGAGCACAATTGTGTTTTCAAATTCCTGATCGTCTGCAGAAACTTGTCTTGAGAAAGCGCTTCTTCCGACATCATCCATCAACAGCAGCCACCGCTCCCGTTGCCACCAACTCGTCATTGGATCCCAAATATCTTACCATCACCGGTTCACAGCAAATAGTACATGCACTGGCGATCCTTGAAGACAATTGCACATTTCCCTTCTCTGCAGAGGAACAAACATTTTCTCTTCAGAAAGTAATAGTTTTCGGCTCGAGTGCTGCACGCAGCGGTGCCGCTAGCCGCTAGCATAGCGAAGTACACGCACGTGACACGCGAGATTACATCATGCCCTCTCCGTCGCGACTTGGGACCCGAGTGCCGGGTGCCATTTTTCGAGCTCCCACGCGTACATTCGTCGCGACAAAAAATCACGTAGTCGGGCTCCTTTCAACACCCATAACTCTCTTCCAGTTGCTCTAACCCAGCCCAAATTTTAGATTTGAACGCCTGAAGCTCTAAGCTTTCCGAAGATACCCAATTCGATAGGGTTTTCCAAAATTTAATTTTCGCCTGACCTCGCTACTAGCTACAATTGTACGTACTTTTTTCTTTATTTTTTGTAGATCTACGTGGTGGCTACATGTGCGTGGACATGACCAAGATCGAATGTGAGTGACGCCCTAGGCCCTGTCGACATGTCATGTCGTGCCGTTTGGTGGCTTCCCGACGCTGCGACATAGTCTACGAGGTAGACTCCACTACTAGTACTAGTAGTAGTACCAAGAGTACATGAAAACCGGTTTTTATGTACTCTTGCTAGTAGTACCAAGACTGGCAAGAGTACATAACCCCCCGGGGGTTATGTACTCTCGCTAGTACTAGGTCTAGGTGAGGGACATCACCATGATCACCGCCAGAGCTCAGGTCGCATATTATTATGATAACGTGACCTGGTGACGGTGGAACCCCACCTCCAGCCCGTCACCGGAGAGGCCTTCCGCCATCGCACAGCTGTCACGGAGGAGCAAGCTCGGCTGGACGTTGCGGCTAGTGGTGTGTGGGGTGGCCGATTCGAGCGCATCTTTATTGATGTACGGGTGTTCAACCCTTTTGCGTCTTCGAATCGTGCCACCTCCCTCGCTGCTAGCTACAGACGCCATGAACAGGAAAAGCGCCGGAAGTACGAAGAGCGAGTTCGCGAAGTTGAGCATGTTTCCATTCGCTTCCATGTAATTGGGCGACACCGCCCGTTTGGTTCTGAGTTCAAATAAAAATGTACCTACCTACCTACCTACCTACCTACCTATGCCTCCTTCGTGCCCGTTGTGCTTTCTGCCTCTGGTGGCTATGGCAAGCGTGCCAATGCTCTTTTCACGCGGATCGCCTCTCTCCTGGCTGAGAAGAGCAAGGACCCATACGCGCAGATTATCTCCTTGCTGCGCTGCCGCCTTGCCCTTGGGTTTGCCCTGGTGTGTTGTGGTGCTATGTGCCTGCGTGGATCAAGGAGCATGTTTGCTCCTGAGTCCCCTGCTGTGCTAGTGGCGGCGGAGGCACGGATCCAGTGAACCTGCAGTGATCTTACTGAGTGACAGACTCTGTATAATCATTAATTAATGTATTACTATTCATCTTCACTAGTGTGAGGGAAAGAGACAAACGGGAAAAGTCTAAAGAAAAAATTGACTGTCACCACCAGGACTCGAACCAGGGACCCTCGCTTGTAGCTAGCGATGCTCTAACCACTGAGCTATGGTGTAGTCGTCATCCCAGCAGAGACTGTTCAACATTTTCTTCAGACTTCGTAACTCACACTTCCTGTGAATCCACACAGGCGGGTGGGACGCAGCCCTCACTGTACCCACACACTTCACGTACACTCTAGTATTACTATTATTATTATTATTACTCAATCTGCATATTTTATTATTATTATTATTATTGTCTCTTTCCCTCAAACCAGTTAATATTATTATTATTATTATTATTATTATTATGTTCACTAGTTGATTATTATTATTATTATTATTATCAAATTTTTGATGTATCTGATGATTCTTTTATTATTATTATTATTAAGTAGTGGTTGCGACTCCGGCGATGACTTGTAAGAAAGGGTTTGCCCCCCACACCGGAGCTCGCGCTATTCCGCGACAGCGTTGCCAATGACCGAGGGTCCTCGACGTCTGTCTCACCGTCCAGGAGCGACACTGACTCACGCTGCTATCTGGTGTTCACGAGGTGTTTGTCGCGCTGGAAACGGAGCGTCTCTGTAAGTTTGTATCCCTGGTGATGTTTGTGCCTGGAGAGCACTATATAAGTGGTGCTCTTCAGGCACAATCTTCCTCAGCCTACTCAAGCTCAACTGATGAGGGGTGAATTCCCCGAAACACTGTGTATTGAGCAGGGAGTGGTGCTGTCTTGCAGGTTTGCCGAGTCGAAGGTTCGATGGACTTCTCGTGTGCTCTGGATGGCAGTCGTGAGTCAGTCAAGTGTCAAGTAAAGTCGGCGGAATAGCGCGAGCTCCGGTGTGGGGAGCAAACCCTTTCTTACAAATTAGGCCACCCTTTCTTTTTTCGTTGTTTAACGTCCGCGCCCGCGTACCTTTTTGCCTCCGACCGGAAAAAAAAACAAGAAAGTAGAAGTACCAATAATATGCGAAGTTGTAAATACATGATTGTGTAGTTTCACAGTGTGCCGATCATGACCTTAAACTTATAATCTTGCCTCCCGAGCATGCCTTTGTCTTGTGTTCTTTTTCTTTTTTTGTTGGCTTTTAAATATCGTACGGTGTGTGCCCTAGTAAAAATCCAGATGTAATGAATTCATGACATGCTAACTCCATGCTATGTACCTGTTTTGTTGGATTCATCAGGCATGTGCTCCAATGTACCATCAAAGAGTGTTGCTCTATGCCTGCAAGTGCCGTTAGACCCAGAAATATTGTATATATCACATGCTTTACTGGTCAAAATGTTTGATTGGGGTTTCCAGTTTTTGGAATGGGCTTTTGTTTTTTTTCCGCCCTCCCGCGTACCTTTTCGCGAAAAAAAGGACGTTAAACAATGAATTAACAAAGGGTGGCCTTATCGCCGAAGTCGCAACCACTACTTCGTACTGTTCTGCCCAGCGCGGGCTTGCGACTAGTTGGTTTGGAGGTGACAGCGTTGCGAATGACCGAGGGTCCTCGACGTCTGTCTCACCGTCCAGGAGCGACACTGACTCACGCTGCTATCTGGTGTTCACGAGGTGTTTGTCGCGCTGGAAACGGAGCGTCTCTGTAAGTTTGTATCCCTGGTGATGTTTGTGCCTGGAGAGCACTATATAAATGGTGCTCTTCAGGCACAATCTTCCTCAGCCTACTCAAGCTCAACTGATGAGGGGTGAATTCCCCGAAACACTGTGTATTGAGCAGGGAGTGGTGCTTTCTTGCAGGTTTGCCGAGTCGAAGGTTCGATGGACTTCTCGTGTGCTCTGGATGGCAGTCGTGAGTCAGTCAAGTGTCAAGTAAAGTCGGCGGAATAGCGCGAGCTCCGGTGTGGGGAGCAAACCCTTTCTTCTTCTTATTATTATTATTATTACGCACACACTCATGGCCAAGGCCAATCAAGGAGGAGGTGAGGGCGATTATAGCCGGCCATGGCAAAAGAAAGAAGAAGAAAAACAAAAAACCAAGTGCAAATCAGAACAACAACAATAAAAGAAGAGATTGGGCTGCATTATTAGGTTGTATTTATGTAGTTGTGTTGATTCTTCACAAATGTGTTATTTTGCCCGTACAAGTACAAGATGTTTTATGGACCTGCTTGAAAAAAAACCCTGACCAAGATCGCTGTATGCATGCAGGGTTATGAACTCTTCATGTAGTCATCTGTTCTGAAGAGTATCAGTCGGGGTGCTCGAGTATAATGCCATCGACGGACTCCTACCGCGAGACAGGTACATGACATGTACATGTACATGTATACATTGTATAATTTGAAATAATATATTGAAAACAAAATAATGGCGACGGGAAAGTGTTGGCCCTCGCTGTGAAGGCTGCCTACGCTGTGCATGTGCTCACGGAGACCCATCACCATGATCACCCTGCACCAGGCCTGGCATCTTTACAAGTAATAGCTTTACCCGATGAGGTACATGTATTGGACCATCCGTTGCTCCCTGCCCTTTTACTAATACTAGTTTTACGCCAGGGCGTGGCGGCTGACAGTGACAGCCAGCTCGCAGAGACGGCGTCTGTCCGACTCCCTCCCAACGCGATTCGAGGGCTTTGTAAGGTCTGCTGAGGCAGAGCATCAGGCATCAGTTGCGACCAGGACACAGTGAATATGCTCGACGGCGTCGACGCTCATCCAAACAGGAACGACTTGAATGCCCCAGCTATCAGACAGGACCAAAACTCGCAAAGTGTCCTCTCCACTGTAGCAGTGGCAACTTCCGCGGAGGGCGTAGCTACTACATGTAGTAATATAAATCGTTTTCTTGAAGCCGTCGGTGAGGCACGAACCATCACTGGCACCAGCGGAGAAAAGCGCCAGGACTCGAAGTCAGTGGGTAGATCTACGACTCGTACCGGCAGCAGCAGACACAGCTTTCCTGCGGAGCTCCCACCTATCCAGCGATAGTACTGTAGTATCTTCGCTGTGGTCTGTTGTTGTTGAAGTCACTTAGTGTATTGGTCTGCCATTGGAAAGTGTTTTCATGTTTGTGACCATTGTGTCTGTGGCAGTGTGGGAAGTTCATGAATACCCATCACGCCCTCACGTGCCCGACCGGCGGTTATCCGTCGGCTCGCCACATGCCGCACAATGACTGAATGAGCTTCGGGACCTTCTGGCCGGCGCACCGTAAGAAGTAGTCTAGTCTACACTGCTTGATGTCGAGGTTGAGCCACATTTGCTCCCAGTCCCACGGCATGGTGAGGACATCTCTGCTGCCGGTGCCTCGGCTATAATCGTCAGCCAGAGACGCGCCTGGATATACGGGCTAGGCTATAGGGATTTCTGAACGTTCTGGTTGCGGCAGCAGGACGCCTTTTTTGATCGGTAAGGTAACTGACCTTAGGCCGCCCTTCCTGTCCCGTCCGGAAATCCTAGCCTCGGGTGTGGTGGGCAAGGAATGGTTCAAGCCACCATATTTCTGAAGTCTCTGGTTGCTTTGGTCTTCGACAAAAACACAGACTCAGTGTATTCTGCCGTGGGTGAGCTACGGACCCGGTTTCTGGTCCTGCCTACTGCGATGGGCAGTCACATGCTTTTGAGAGGCTTCACTCAGCCTTCAGGGCATTTTAGATTTTTACTCAGCCGCATGGTCGGGAGCCACTTTTCAGCATACATGTACATGTACATGTACATGTACATGACTGTAATCATAATGCCACTCGCTGGCTGTTGACGTTTCGGTTTGTCACAATTCGTCTTCGCTTAGCTTCCCCTTTCTACGTTTATTACATAAACTTGAGCCTCCCAAGTAATGAGTTGGGTGGTCTGTTGCTTTGCGTCGTCGAGTTGTAGTAAGGCCGGTATGTCCAATAGTCTTACTAGTTTCGTCATCATCCAGTAACATTCGGCATTCTTTGTTGCCGTGATGCGTAGCTCGTGCTCTTCTTCGTTGCGCTTTCCTTCCCCTCTTGGACCTTTCCGAACCTGAGCCTTCCAAGTTGGAAGGTTGTTGGTTTGCGCTTTGGAGAAGTGTTGGAGCTAGGTGTCAGGTCGCCGAATGTCTCAGTACTCCTTGTCAGTTTTGTGCCATTTGTCAAAAGCACCCAAGCCAAGGAGTTACATGTAGAAATAATTGGGTGTCTCTCGCATACTTTCATTTGCTGTTGCTTTATACCTTCTCTTTGATGGTTTCTGTTCTCATTTGGATTGAAATAAAAACGATTCGCCTACCCAAGGAGTCAGCATGGTCACACAGCCTACATGTACGTAGTCATGAAACTAACTCTTGAACTGTTACTTCGAAGTACTTAAAGTAACTAACGCTGAAATGAAAGTGAAAGGCTGAAACCAGGGAGTCGTATACATGTATACGACTCCCTGGCTGAAACTGTGGAAGTACATGATGATTGTACCGGTAAAGCCCCATACATGTTATCATCAAGGACATCATCACCAGTTAAATGTTTGTTTGTCATACATGTAGAAGATCAAGTCAAGAGGCTAGCACTACATGTACTAGTATTCATGGTTAGCATGGTTAGTGGTTAGTGCTACAGTGTAGTACAATGTCATAATCATGATAATAGTGAATAGTGAGTAGTACTAGTACTAGTAGTAGTACAGTCGTCCCTCTCTAATCCGGCACTTTATAATCCAGCACCCTCGATAAACCAGCACAATTTTCAGTAGACAAAATGTCCTCTTCATGCACATTGCAGCAGTAAATCAGATTTGTTAATCCAGCACCCTCCCTAATCCAGCAGATTTTCGTGGCACAAATGGTGCCGGATTATAGAGGGACCACTGTATACTGTAGTCTAGAGTAGTGAACAGTCATACATGTATTATCGGCGCGGCCGGGGACTCGGCGGGGAGAAAAACGAAACAGCTGAAGACTGTGCATGACATGAATGAATAGCTAGCTAGCTGTACTCTGTACAATCATGTACGTAGAGATAGAGCTAGTAGAGTAGAGAGCCATTTTCATATTAATTTTTTCAATGAGTTTTTACGAGCTAGCTGCGCCTTGGCAAGTAATCTGGTAATAGTTGGTGCGAACAACAAGAGCGAACGACGTGTGTCTTGATCTCTTCACACTGAATCACAGTGTTGCTTGAGTCGAGTCTTGGGTCTTGATCTCTGTGCGCAGCAGTTTGGCATTGTTCGAGCAAGGCATCTGGGAAGGTGTGCAGATCAGCGCTTATGACTTCCCGTGCCGCAGCGAATGTAGCTATTGCAGCGACAGCAACATGTTCGGGTCTGGAAGAAAGCCCACTGGCACTGGCAAAGCGACGGCACAGGGCCATTGGAACAAGGGATTCGGCTGTATAGGAAGCGTCGGACGAGGCTCGCCTGTTCGCATTTCCATGGCAGTTAAAATATTCGTGGTGGCGTTCTTTACTTGTCTGACGGTGTGCCTGAGCGTGACCTGGATACTCTTCAAGTCGGGATATTTCAACGCCGATCTTCCGACTGTTGTCGTTCGTGATCGTCAAACAGGCTCGTCGTCGGCATCGCTGCGTCCACTGCCCAGGGACTGTTCCATTCAGAAATGCTTCGACCTGTCTCGCTGCCATGCCACGCGTCGTCTGCGCGTGTACGTCTACCCCGACACAAGGTTCGTGGATAGGCGCGGAAGTCGGGTGCTGGACGTAGCTTCCATTGAGTACTTGCAGATGCTGGACGCGGTCAAGGCCAGTCGCTTCTATGAGCCGAATCCGGAGAAAGCGTGTGTGTTCGTGCCGGCGGTGGATACGCTGAACTTGCTTCGCACGAGCCTCAACAATGTATCGCGAGCTCTGGATAGTCTGAAATGGTTGGTACTTTAGTAGTCGCTGTACTATGCATTTGAAAATACAAGACTTTAATGCCAGTATAATCATTTTTTGGCGTCCGGGAAAGATTTTCCAGTAGTAGTACCCTCATACATGTACCTCGTTTATCCGGGCGGTCTGGGACTGCACCTAACTTTAAAATGGCCGTAGCTCTGACCCATGTACGCTTTCATGGAGAAAGGCCGGAGATATGGCATAATTATGATGTCACTATCAAGTTCCACATAAACTAGCCCAAGGAGTGCCCGGTAGACCGAAGCATCCGTTAATCTCGGTGTCCGGACTAGTAACTGACGTATGCGTGCATTTGTGCATGGTCGGGGGTCCGTACTTAGGGTTTTATCATAGAGTATCTCCATGGACTATGGGCGATATCTATTGCGTTCATCATAGCACGAACTATTTTAAAGTGAATCCGTGCCCATTGTTACAGCGAGCGCTATGCACCACAGGTGTATTCACCACCACCACCACCACCACCATCAGGCGACAGAATAAATTTGACGGTTTGCGTGAGACTCGGATGAAGGCCGAGTTTTCCGCGGTGATGCGTGTAGTGACATTGTCACCCGGGAGGTTCAGCACAGTGGTTGACGTTCACTTGAGTGTCGGCCAGCGCCGTTGACACTTGAGCGTCGGCCAGTACACGTTGACACTTGAGTGTCGGCCAGCACACGTTGACTCTGATTGCGCGGATCGGCGTTAGGCAATATGTTGCATTTGTTCAAAGTTACTAGCGTGACCATCCGTCGGACAACGCTTTTGCCGTAGTCACCCTGAAATTCAGAGTGAAAGCTGGTAATATGTCGGTGAGCGGCTAGGTAGTAACTACTAATGATAGCCAGCTGGATGGATGGCTCGACCTGTCCCAAAAATGAGATGTGAGATCTAAGCAGGACTGTATGAATGGCCTTGGAGGGGCACTGTGTGTTCCTCCTGAGGTTGGTATGTCCAAACTGTTTAGGCAACCGTGTTCCTATGGTTTGCGACCGAGAACAGTGACCGATCTGAGAGAGAGAGAGAGAGAGAGAGAGAGAGAGAGAGAAAGATTTCCAAGAGCATTTGTCTCTACACGAGATGGAAGTGATTTCTTACGGACTGTATCCGATACCTGTGATTTACCCAAGCATGGTTAGACGACAATGTAGCTGCCGTAAATCAAAACTGAATAGGCCAAGAAGATGGTTAGTTGGACACTTGGATGTGAATTGCCGGCTCATATAGGCAAAGCTGCCGGCCAGTCCAAGCACATCAACCCACCTAAAGTTAACACTGGCCACCATAGCCGGAGCACGGTTGCCTGAAGTAACAAGCTGTAGTTGCAGCAAAATTAATAATGTTTGCTTGTGCCGCTGTTCAGGCCAGTAGAAGGTTTCGCCATAACAGAGCGACTTGCAAATGTTTGCAGCCCAGTGCAAGACCTGCATGGTCGCTGAGCATCACCTGCATGGCAATCAAGCTTACCCGCTGAGACTCTGGTTGCTTCGACAATACAGTGGCGACTTGTGCACAGCACCATAGCGAGCAGAGAGTTCAGCCAAGGAACATCAGCCATGCGTCTTCCTGTGGAATAGGGTGTCATTCTATGTTACCGTTGCTCTTAGAAGGAATCAATAAGTTCTTCCACACCCCACTTCTCACTATTATTTGGTGTCACGCTGTTCACAGATTGTCTTGCTTCCATGAATGGCACCAATGCCATCTCCAGCTTTATGGAATGAAACCTTCCAGATCTGAGAGATTACTGGCAAGATACGAGCCCTGGTTTTTTTTGCTGGTCACTGTTGCATTATTTCATGTGCTTTACCAGTGAATGAGTGTCTATCAAGGCCTTTTAAAGTGCTCTACACATAAAGTACATAACGTTATTGCAGTGTCCAGCTGTTCCCGATCCACCACCATAGTTATGTTGCTTGTGTCTCGCCTGGCAGGTTCGGAAATGGCACCAACCACTTGCTGATCAGCATGCTGTTTGATGTGCATCAGCTCACGTCTCTACGTGCTGGCTACGTGATGCTGGCCGGTGCTGGCTTCCACCCGACGTCGTATCGCGCCGGCTTCGACATTGCCATCCCCATGGTGAACCCACGCACGGTCAAGGCCACGCTGCCCTCTCATGATAGGTAGGTTGGTGTTGTTGTTGTTGTTGTTGTTGTTGTTGTTGTTGTTGTTGTTGTTGTTGTTGTTGTTGTTGTTGTTGTTGTTGTTGTTGTTGTTGTTGTATCGACTACTTTGCTTCTGCTCTGCCACAGTTGGGGCTAGCGAAATCCGATGCCTGCCTTCTTTCACCTGCATCTGTACAAGTGCAAAAATGGCATTTTACAGCTACACAACTGTACTGACTCTGTTCTTCTAGGATGTACTTCAAAGTAGGTGTATATATGCATGGTATACTGGTGAATACACGTTACTACAGTAGAAGGTTTGTGGTTTATGCCAATGTGTGCACCAGGCTTCGCCAGTTCACGCTTATCGTGTCGCTGACGAGTGCCCATCAGCTCGCCGAGCAGTTCCCTAAACTGCCAATCACCAAGGACGTCCTGGTGTTAGAGCGCTGCGCACCAGACTCAGAACTGACCGGTGGTCGCAGCCGCTTTGGTGATGAGCGAAAGAGATGTTCGGCATCGTCACAGCACTCCTATCCAGCTGTGTTGCTGGTAAGTCCTCTTCGCCAAACTATCTTTTTTTGGGAGTACAGTACTGTCGGGCGCCGAAGAACGACCAGGCTAGAATTTCAGTCAAGCATAGCATACCAATGTATACACGGTGATTCAACTGCGCATAGACATAAATCACAAAATACATGAAAATAAGAATGGTCTAGGGTAGGAGGCTGACCCCCAGTTCTTTGGCGACCGACAGTATATTCCCAGTACATCTTTAAAAAATAATGGAAAATGGCAATTGGTTTATAACCGATTTCTGAATATGACAGGGGCATTATATATTGACATAGCGATAAATTATTGTTATAAAGGTAAGGCATTGGAATTGTTCACACAGCCGTGCCTGGTCCGACTAACTTCTGTGTACCAGTATGTGCGGTGAGTACCTCCTTCAGGACTTGGTTCTTCAGCTGGCAATGCGGTGTGAATGTCAGCGGTATATTATTCTGGTGCAAGCGAGCTCACTGCCGCGTACTTGGCGAGTGGGTCGGTGATGCAATGGTTCGCGAAATGTGTACTTCGGCAAGTGCGAAACAGAGCTGTGCGTCTGCGTCCCAGTGCTGCGGCAATCTGAATGCTCTTGCTAACACGGAACGATTCAGTGCGTTGGCTTGCGCCCCGTGGACAAGCGGTTGCTCAGGTCCGCCGGAGCCTGTCTGGTTGGTCAGGTCATCGCCTGGCCATCGCATTGACCAGCAATGTGTGTTTACTGCTCAGGACCAACGTATTGACCAGCAATGTGTGGTTACTGTCGAGGAGGTCATGCGTACCTGTTTAAATGTTTACCCACTATATCCTACATACGAAATACGACTATGGTGTGACTGGACCAATCACAAATTTCTTCCGGCAGTCCCGACGCTGCTGGGCTGCAGTGGAGGAGTCAGTAACAGCCGATGCTCCTGAACTGGGCCCCGAGGCGGGAGCAGAAAAACCTTCGTCGCTGGACATGTTGCTTTTACTCACGCCGGAGGTCACCAATGCACTGGTCTAGATACAGTGCAACAAGAAAGTGTTATTTCCAAGTTCTTTACAAGATAGACAAACACTAAATGCCATGAAAAAGGTGAAAAAGAAGGTGGTTTATGTAGGATAGAATGGTGAAGCAATGCCGTGGGCTACCTGATGTAAACTGTTGGTGTATGTCGATTGCTATTGTGTGCTTCTGTGCGCGTAGCGTGGGGATTTCTGCATCCTGCCTCCGAATCCGACGACGCCAGTCCTTGTTGATGCGGCTAAGATGGCCTGTATCCCGGTCGTGATCAAGAACTCACGTGTTATGCCCTTCAGGGATGGTATTGACTGGACTGGGTAAGTACCGTTGCGACAGCAAGACATACTATCATGATAGTTGCCTCACAACCTACAGTAGCACTAAGAGTTTGCTGGTTCAGAACATCTGTACACCCTCTAGCACAACTGTACGTGTGCCCTGCGTTCCGTGCGGATCTATATCCAGCTTCGTGAAATAACATGACTGTGTCTCTCGTTCTTCACTGAGGTTGGGCTGGCTACGGCGTGCGGGAGATGTCACCAGGAAGATGAGATGAGCTGGATAATACTGTTCCAATTTTGCAGCATTCTTGGCTTGCGTTCGTGTTGGTTCTACCAGCTGGAAGTGTGGACATGATAGTCTTTGGGGGGGGGGGGGGGGGGGGGGGGTAGCCACTCCCCAATAAAAGAATCCACATCGTTTATACTTGAAATATGTTCTTAGTATTTCTTCTCTTCTTTGCGTCTGTGTGCTCATGCTGTGTGGTGTTGCTGCTCATGCTCTACCGTTGGTATTCCAGTGCATCTGTGGAAATTTACGCAGATCAGTTGTCGGAACTCCCAAGCATTCTCCGCGCTATATCAATGTCTAAGAAAGAAGAAATGCGGCAACAGGTATGGTGAAAAAACAGCTTGACTGTCCAGAGCAATATTCACAAACATCTGGATGATCTTTTTGGCTGCAACTCACCTCTTGGGGGCGCTGGAAATTGCCTGGAAGGGTTATGGAGGAGCCGAATGTGCTTTTAACTAAGGAATTTGCAGAAGACCGCCACAGTGTTTGGTAGAAGCCCGTTGTGTAAATCCTATTACAATTGCTGTGCTGTGAGGAGTTGTGGATCATGGCTGTACAGTGCTCAGAGTGATACCTAGTGTGTTGTTCTGCTACTGTTGGTGGTATGTGCATGGCTTGTGCTGGATTGTAGGTGCGCACCTTCTTCGACCGCTTCTTCCAGTCTCCTGGAAAGGTGGCTCTCGCGGTGCTTCAGACCATCGAGGATCGTCTCGCAACCAATGCTGTGAATCAGCATCACTTTTGGAACAAGGTCGAACCGCACGCAACGGATGGCCATGGTTTGCAGTTGAATGCTCCTCTGCTCAAAGTGGGCAGTCCGGTAAGTCTTCACTTGATTTTGTTCTCCACTGTCATGTAAGAGTTCAGGCATTTTTTGGCTGAACAAGAAAGCAGAAATGCTTGTTCATGTGGCTGAAGCGAAAAAAAGAAGAAGAGAAGACTACAAAAACAACTTCGCAATGAGAAAGAGAGAATTAAATTGGTACAGCTAGCATGCCTTCAAACAGTGTATACATGTTGTCCCTGCCCTTTTTGGCACGTGTGTGCGCCTTTTGGCACGTGCAGGTTGCGCATGCGTGCATGCTTATCGTGCGCATCCTGATTGTTTTGTGTGCCTTCTTCTTGAGACTCTCCTTGGAGTAAGACTAAAATAATCTGTTCTCTGAGTGTGGCGTCCGTGTGATGGATGTATAAGAGTAATCGGAAGGGCTATCGTGCGAGGGATTAAAACCCCCCGACGACAATTGGCGCCCAACGTGGGGCTCGAACCCACGACCCTCAGATTGTCGTCGGGGGGTTTTAATCCCTCGCACGATAGCCCTTCCGATTACTCTTATACATCCATCACACGGACGCCACACTCAGAGAACAGATTATTTTAGTCTTACTCCAAGGAGAGTCTCAAGAAGAAGGCACACAAAACAATCAGGATGCGCACGATAAGCATGCACGCATGCGCAACCTGCACGTGCCAAAAGGCGCACACACGTGCCAAAAAGGGCAGGGACAACATACACATTACAAAGCTGGACTTATTGTTTGAAACGAGTTTGGGCAAACTAAAATCGCAATCCACTGCAGAAGTTCTTCCAACCACGGCAGGGCTGGTTGGGTATCTAATCGTACAGTCTGTTTTACTCTGCCTGTCATCGTTGCCATAGCATTCACTGCCTCTCTTCATGCTGCACCCTGCGCGACAAACTCGTCACTTTACGGCCGTCATTCTCTCCTATGACCGATTCAAGACACTGGTACGGGTGCTGAAGAAGATTGACCCCACACCGAGTCTGATCAAGGTGGGTGAGCGTCATCTGTATGCCAGGAACATAGCTGCCAGTCTGGTTGGTCAGTTTACAGCTATCATGCGCATGAGGTGGTGTTGGGAGTGCAATGTCTTACTATTTCAAAGTTCTTGTCTTGATTTTCCATCAGCCACCACACCATAACTGCGCTCTCCAGCCGACCTCTACACGTAGTCATGGTGTGCTGGCTGATGGAAAAATCTGTACAGGGCTGAATGCTGCTGCTGCTTACCCCTGTATGTAGAACTTGTCTTGATGTCAAAGAAGGCTAAGGTAGGAGCGGCGAAATTAATTGCCATTGGTCTAATCGTCCATGGTATGCGTATGAGCTGTATTGGTCGGACCAGCTCCGCATGGAGTGTTTCGCGGCTGTACGCAGAGCGTCTGGCATGGCATTGTTTGTCCTGGTATTAAATTTTGAATGACGCTAATAGTCATGGATCAAAATGAACCGTACTCAATAGCTAACCCTGCGTTGTCATGGTTTTGAGATTGTTCTCCCTGCTTCCGTGCTTGCCGTGCACAGATTATTGTCGTATGGAACAATCAGAAGAACAAGCCACCGCCGGAGTCAGCGTGGCCAAGACTGAACACGACATTACAGGTTTTGCAGAGCCGATACAACCGTCTCAACAACAGGCAAGTAGAACTGCGGTGTGAAATGATTACTACTGCAGCTTGCTGTGATGTTTGGGATGCCTGAGTGCATACATCTATGCCCTGTCCTCGAGTCACAGAGAGTGTTTTGCAACTACAGGCTCGTGTTCTTGTGCATGTACACAATGCAATGCTAACCAGGAGTGCGTGCAAGTTGTGAAAGCTATTTCCTTTGTCGGTGACTATTCAGGCTGTACAGCGCTATTGGGTGTAATGTTGTGTCTGTGGATTTGGGTGTTGGAATGCCCTATGGCGGATGGCTCACTGCTACCTCTGTCTGCACGATTCGTCGAATACTTTTTTCTGTTCTGTTCATGCGTGTAGATTTATTCCGTTCAAGGACATCGAGACCGACTGCATTCTCGCACTTGACGATGACATCGAAATGGTCACCCCCGATGAGCTTGAGTTTGGCTTTCAGGTTGGTAATTGTTGCGTGCACAAACATAATATGTTACGGAAGAACCATATAGCGACTTCTAGCACTGCCTGCTACCAAGATGGTCTGTGAGCTAGTGGGGCTTCTCACGGAATCAAACTGAAGTGGACAGACGAAGATGCTAAAAAATGACCATTCACTTTGCACTTATTTTGCCTTGTCGATGTAGGTGTGGAAGGAATTTCCGGATCGTCTCGTCGGGTTTCCTGGCCGCTTGCATAATTACAACACGACGGTCAATCGTTTCCAATACACGTCCCAGTGGGGCAGTGAGCTGTCCATGGTGCTAACCGGTGCTGCTTTTCACCACAAGGTACAGATCAATAAATTGTTGATATTAACGTTCATGAAATTGTCCTGGTGCACGCATCCAGTGGTGGATCAGTGAGCTCCAGTTGTAGGCGACTAATTGGCAGAATTACAAGGCCTAACTACAGTCACATCAAACTACCAAGCTGTAGGCATCACTCGTTCGGGGAACTGGGTGCATCTCTAACATTTATGATGCTGACTCAATGAACACGGGTGTCCAGTCTGGCACTAATTCATACACCGTAGGTATTGTTTGCTTGTCAATGTGTGTACTAACTACTAACTGTATTGTACATGACCGAGTGGCATTGGGCAAACATTTCTCTCGCAAGAACGCTGACGGAAATTATTAATACTCGGGCGAATTGATCAAGCCAGAAATAGTCTGTCATTATAGAGCATGTGCTCGTGGACTTCAAGCACCTGTGTTGTGGGTGCAGGGCAAGTCACAGCAACGAGCTAGTCACATGTGCATACCCAGGGAAAGAAGAACTATTGAGTGTGCAATGAACACAGCGGATGCTGGTCAGGTGGTATATGAAGAGAGTTCTATGCCATGTGATATTATGCATGCACCATCACGGTCACTGCTGCCTAAACTTGCTTCCATTGCCATCTTCATGTTGTGTGCGTGTCTTGCAGTACTACAGCTACCTGTATACGTATGTGATGCCGAAAGCAATTCGCCACTGGGTCAATAAGCATATGAACTGTGAGGACATCGCTATGAACTACTTGGTGGCAGGTTTCACTGGCAAGCCACCGATCAAGGTAATTACCGCTTGCTGTGTGTTTTCACGAGAGCAGTGAACTATATTGAAACCGAGATGCCGTTCCTTTCCTCGTGTCGAAATGAATAGCATCTATGGATGAAGCTGGCTGTGTGTGTGTGTGTATGTGTGTGTGCGTGTGTGTGTACGACATGGACATGGGTGGAACGTGAATCGGTGCCGGCTCCAGCCCAGGGTTACCCGGTCCTGTTATTCTCGGGGCACAACCAACTCGTACACGTTGGCATAGTACCGTATTTCCGCAAATAAAAGGCCGTCCTCGTATACAACGCCTTCCTCGTATACAAGGCCGGGGCAGGGGGCGATTGAAAATATAAAAGACCGTCTCCGATTAGAAGACCGGGCCTACTAAATGAGTCTTTGTTCTTGTGTTAATAGAAGACCGTGCTCAAACTGTGGGAAAAAATAGAAGACCGTGCTCAAACTGTGTAGAAGAAAATGGAAGAACGGGGGTAAAACTGTGTGGCGAGAAATAGAAAACCGGGGTCAAACTGGGTTGAAAGAATAAAAGACCGTCCTCGAATACAAGACCGTCCTCGATTATAAGGCCGGGTTTGGACGAGGTTGAAAAAATAGTAGACCGGCCTACTATTTGTGGAAATTCGGTATGCGGCACCATACTATGGTATCGCTGGTCTGGGGACTCTGGGCTGCGTTTGGGTCAGCAGGTCACGGCTGCGATCGCGATTGCCAATTGCATAGACCGTACGCAGATCATGCAGAACTTCCCAATCCAGGGCCGTAATATTTAATTATATCACTTTCTCCCTAGATACGACGACTCCTTGGTGTATGGTATATGCACAGTTGTTGATGAACCAGCAGCTCAAATTTATCATTTTTGAGCCAGTAACGTCTCCAATTTGAATCTGAAACCATGGGGTTTGGTATATCAAAAGGAGGATCTAACTTTCCATGGAAGTTATCGTAAAGAAGGGCAACATGCTTAAAATTCACTACGGGGTATCAATTTCAAGGTTACTTTCTTGGCAACTGACTGCAGAATCGCCTGCCTGCTCTTATTAAGGTTGGTGTTGTATTGTGCTTTCTTCCAGGCAACTCCCAAAAAGAGATTCCGTTGCGAGCGGTGCTCAGCAAACGAATCCCTGTGGGATGGCCCGGGTTACTTTGTGGAACGCAACCTGTGCCTGAACAACTTCACACGCCTGTACGGTAACAAGATGCCTCTCCGTGAAGTGGAGTATCGCGCTGACCCAGTTCTTTACCTGGAAGATGTCCCCCACCACCAGCAACGCTTCCAGCAAGTAGGCAGTCTGTAACCTACTTTCTTTGCCAACTGATGACCTGCAGCACCTGCAGTTTATTCAGCATGATCAGCATAATCTCAAGTCATGCATTTGATTGGGCAAAACAGAGGAGTAGGTGCTTAGTGCGTAGCTGTTCTACGCATCACAAGGGCCGATCTATCTTTCAGCATCACCTTTAGGCGGTTGCAGGCATGCACGATTACCGTGACAGTTGAGACAGTCGACTTGAGATTCGATTTTATTTTAAATTAATACTGCCGTATTCTAGCTTATCGTGCCTGCCTATTTTAGTTTTAACGCACTCTGAGCATAGTTTTCCTTTCAAGGTGGTCTTGTTAGAGAGGGGGACGTTGATTATAATTCTACCTCAAGCTTAGTCCAAGCTTGGCAACATAATTATTGTGATCATATTACGATTTAACTTTGACACCAGCCCAAACTTGATTATTCTTCATCACAACATATTTTCTCATCTGAATTCAATGGCAACATTAATGCAGTCTTCAGCGAAGAGTGTCTTCACCAGACAGAGATTCAAGCCTAGGAAAGAAAGGACATTCGTGTACTGCAGTGCACTGCACGTTACGTCGTGCTTGTTTGTGTGTGTGGAGACTGTAGAGCCGTCCACGTTCATGTGGCTGGTGTTGTACTTCAAGTATCACGTCTTGCAATAGCAGGAATGGGCCAGACACGCACTGATGTGTGGCCGTTGCCGTTGGTGGCTGGTGACATGGCAGAGCAGGGCTTGGCTTGGCTACGAAGTAGTTTGTACATGTAGTAGTAGACATCGAGTGTCAAGTTTCAACAATGTCCTGTACGCACTTGCGTAGAGAATCAAATGCAACTGCTGCGCCGCATGTTGGATGTTCCTGCTGAATGCTAGACCCATCTTCCTCACATGAAGAAAGCCGCTGGGATGGTGCAGGAGGAGTAGGCACATACACAACACATGACACAATGAAGAACAAAGTGGCAGATACAAATCGCCAGCAGCATCCAATCAAAGGATCATGAACGGTTACGCTCAGTGAAATCTGACTTGGAGTACATACATGTACATGGCACCCAGCACTTGTGCAGCGCTTGATGCTTTGAAAGTTACACGAATGTTTCCAAGCGTGTGCAAGCTACATCAAGCTGTACTACACTCTCAGTCTGAACGTGTGTACAGTGTACAGGGACTTACTCAATCCCCGGACAGCTAGCCATTTCGACCTTGTCAGAAGGCCAGTGAACAACAAAGCATTTTTAGCCCGGCTCAAAGTTGTCAGAGTGCTCTAACTGCAAGAAACACAGCGAGCTTTGCACGCGGGCAAGTAGCTAACTGAAAGTTACTTCAACACTAACCAGAAAGAGTACTCGACGAAGCGAAGGCGAGGGAGCGAAATACTGGGTGCACAAGGACTCGGGTGCAGACACGTGAGCATGTACAGGTACAACTGGGTGATACAATGGTGCATGTAACCGGCTCGGAGCGCCTTTTTTGCACTTGGGGTTGGACTTCACCTAGCATAACTCAGTGTACATGGAGTGACAGCTTCACAGGTGTGTACTCAAACGGGAAGAAGACAGTACACGTGGTTGTAACAGAGATGTTACTGTTCTTCTCACATGCTCATGAAGACCTGAAGTAATATTCTACCGTCCCATGCCGAACTATCATACTCGGTCTGCTGACACAGAGAAGGATTCTTCGAGCTGTGAGGTACTAGTACCCTGCTAAGCTGGTGTACAGTCAACTTCGCTCATAACGACTGCAGCTATGACGACAATTCGTGAATAACGATGGAATTTCCGTGCCTAGAGCAAAGTCCCATCTAACTGTTATACATAATATTATAATAAGTAGGGCTGAAACAATCGTGGATTTTCATGTATCGATTACTCTTTAGCTTAACGATCGAGTAATCGATTATAATCGTTAGCAAATAGAGTCATAATTCTGTGCAAACATTATTCTGTTTCCACAAACTATGCCTTCATGATACCAACAAATCTGCATTAGTGAAAGGGTAGCTCCGAAACATGGCAGTTTTGAAGTCAATTTAACCTCAGAACATGAACCATACCCCTGGCAACTGCATACACCCAGCGGAAATTGATTCAAACTTCACAAAACGAGGGTTTACAGTACTTTCTGGACACAAATTTAAAAATTGCAAAATAATCGTAATCGGTAATCTAAACGATTGCTCGATCGCTAGAGTTATCAAACGAGTACTCGATTATTCGGTATAATCGCTTCAGCCCTAATAATAAGACTTCGGGTATAAGGACACTTCGAGAAAAAGGACACTTTTCTGATGCCCCGCCGCCGAGTGTCGTTATATGCAGCAGTTGACTGTACATGTTGTCTGCAGCACTCTCCGCACTATCGTAACTAGCTGTAATCAGACAAAACCCTCACCGTGTCTATAGGAATCGTGGCCAGCATCGGTATTGCCGTTTCCTCGGCCAGTCGATGCACACCACCGCTGCCGAACAGTGCTGTCACCTCCTGCAGCCGTAGAACGGAGTTGGCAAACTATGACTGTAAGGAGACGAGCACTGCCTAAGGCTAATGCCCCATTACTACAGGCTCTCATCATTACAGCATGCAATGACCTTGCAGTGTACTTGTGGAATAAGACGCTCTGAAGAATGGACAAATATTTTTTTGTCATTGATCGGAGTGGCATGCAAACGTTGCCCAAATACCAGTACGCACACAGCATTCTGTGCATCAGAATCTCAAATAGGATTTCAGGTACAATTGTGCAAAAGAGTAGGTTTGGCTTTCTGCTCAGAAGTGCTTGGTACTGCATTCTTCTGGACTGGTAACTGCTTGTTACTTTTCCTTAGCATGTTCAATATAATAAAAGCACAATTTCGCCATTTTCGTTGAACTCACTATGTCTAGGTGTCTCAACATGCCACCGATCTTCTCTTCGCTCCACAATGCTTCTCACAACATTTATTTTATCTTCACTACCGGTAAATGCTCTAGAAACCTGATGTTGATTTCAGCCAGCTTTCAGTATTCTGCTACGGTCTTGTGGTTTCAAAATGATAATATATTATTATTGTGTGTGTGTGCATGTGTGTGTGGTCAGCTCAACAACAACAAAATCACACGGCCTACCTCACAGCATGGACACGCAAATCCACTGAGGTTCTCGACCAAGCCCAGCACGCGGACGCCCATCTTGCGACAGAACGTCACCTCCTTGCGCACAGTGTCAAGTGCCATGCGCTGAGGCGTTCCTACCACAATGGCACCATCGAGATGCACAGACTTGAGTGCCGAAACGACAGTGAGATGTTCATCGGATGTTCCTGGTGGTGTGTCTAGTCAGCGAACAAAAAAAGGAAAAGAGAGAGAAAGAGAAAGAGAAAGAGAGAGAGGAGAGAGAGAGAGAGAGAGAGAGAGAGAGAGAGAGAAGAGAGAGAGAGAGAGAGAGAGGAGAGAGAGAGAGAGAGAGAGAGAGAGAGAGAGAGAGAGAGAGAGAGAGAGAGAGAGAGAGAGAGAGAGAGAGAGAGAGAGAGAGAGAGAGAGAGAGAGAGAGAGAGAGAGAGAGAGAGAGAGAGAGAGAGAAGAGAGAGAAGAGAGAGAGAGAGAGAGAGAGAGAGAGAGAGAGAGAGAGAGAGAGAGAGAGAGAGAGAGAGAGAGAGAGAGAGAGAGAAAAGAGAGACAGAGACACAGAGGAAATTACAAGAAGAAAATCATTAAATACCATGCTCTGTAATCTGAGTCCCCAAGCACTACATGCAGAGCCAGCAGAAAAGAGATGTGTCTTCCTGGCCAAAGACATATACATGTACATACCGAATAGTAGGTAATCCAAGCGCCCCCAGAAGGTATCCTTCAAGAACCGCTTTATAATCTCTGTGCCAACAAAAAAATACACATAAAAGGGCACAACAATGTAACATTCCTTCAGGGCTGGCACTGGTCACACGAAAAGACAGTAAAGCAGTAAAACAAGCACCGGTAGTGAATTTCATAGACAGAATGTAAACACGAGTGACACAACCTGATCAGATCTGTTATTACAACTTATTAGCAAAAGCTATGAGCAGTGAAGGCAAGCCACTCACCAGACTTCCTAGGACCTCTCCAGACAACCCTGCGCACCGCAGCACACAAAGCAAACGACTGACATCGTATCAACAGCTCACACCACAATGCACCAGGTTAAGAGTCTATCGAGGCTGATTAGTGATGCTGAGTCAGCCATGCCTGCCCGGTGAAAGCAGTTGCAGAAGTCTAAGTGTGCAAATGAAGGCATGGGTATGCATGGCCACAGCAACGGGATATTAGGTCAACTAACAGACAAGAGCCGCACGGTTGCTATAGAATTTATCTTGTGCAAAAAAAGAACACCATAAATTACAATCCGAAACATGCCGGACACAACCAACCATCACTTTGAACGACAGGTGGAACGACAGGTGGAACGAGTTCAGGCAATGTGTGAGGTTACTGGTATGCCTATCAAATAGAACACACCGGCAGTCGGTATTCAACAAGTATACCGTGCGCTTACGCTGATGAGCTGTTGTCCAGAAGCAGCCCAATTGACATTACTTTGATGCCACCATGAGGCGACCTAGGCAGCAAGTAAAAAGAGTAATTCCACATACATGCACTTCAAGTACATGTAACTGCAGCACACCGTATTTTCCGGAGTAAAAGCTGCACTTTTAAAACACCAGTAATTCACCCCAAAAGTTGATGCGGCTTACACTCGTACTGTACCATGGTCAAACTAACCGTGATAAACAGTGCAGATGTCTGTATTTCGTGACAAAAAATCTGAGTGCGGCTTATACTCCAGAAAGTACGGTAAATATCACCGTGAATCATGACACCATACATGTAATTATCAAAGTACCATTGCTTGTTTATCAGCTGGCCGGATCAGGTCAGATAACATGAACGGCGATAGGTGCGGTGAGTGAACAGGGACAGTAAAGATGATAATATTGTTCCAATTGCATTTACATTGTAGTGATACCTCAGTCAGCATACACCACGTCAGATTCAGCGACCTACTTGAGCGGAGTCCAGCCATACTGGGTGTTGACAACACTTTGATCCTGAACTTTGAGCATGGTTGGGATGCTGGGTCCACAGATGTCCAGATCACAGAGGCCAACCTGAGGGAATGTTCACAACACCATGACGGGACAATAGATGAAGTTCACCTGAGTTGCCGGTATCAGAATTTCCTCGTCAGAAACCTGGTGATGATGGAAATGTTTAAATATTCAAATAGTACAACCTAACACAAAAACAGTGATTTTCGTGCGCTACACTTACTGAGGTCTGCATTCGACACTGAGGATATATGGGCGAAGTGGTGGCCCGCCGATGCGAATATATTTGCTTGATGTGTTCCTAAACACGTAAGGTGATTCCGCCGCGAATCCGGCTAACTTAAACATTTTTTTACACCTACTGACCTTCAGCCCCTTTGCTGCTAGCGATATGGCAAGGTTGACTGCTACGCTCGACTTGCCAACACCACCTTTGCCGGATACGACCATGATCTTCCGCCGGCATGCATTCATACGAATGTCTATGGCCGGCTGGTCGGGATCAGCACTGCCAACTGTGAGCACCAGAATACAGATAAAGAAGAACAAAAGACGTGGGGGGGGGGGGGGGTTAAGCAGCAAGCACACGGGCACAAAGGAACGAGTACTGACTGAAGGGCTACCGGGTCGGGTACGTTATGGTACTTTATTCCCGTAGCTACTAGTATGCAGAAGACGTTACGAATAGTGCTAGCCAGGGTCCTCCTGCATGCTCTGTTTCGTGTGGGATGTACGTGAGTCGTCACGTCACTGGGTGCGCAGGCGTTCACCCATGACACGTGACTGAGCACCAGCTCAGCTACCTCCGCAAAAAAATAACGATATTAAAATGTCATTCACGCAGACATGCATAGCGAAGGCTCCAGGGTCGGCTCTCTTATTTTCACAGCTACATTCGATCATAGAATGGTCACTTGCAGGTTTAAAAAAAAGAAAAAGAAAAAAAGCGGATTACAAAACACTCACCTAGACGAGAGCACAACTCTCTTCCAGGACATCCTTGACACACCTCTGCCCTTCCAGCCATACCCTTTTTCCAAAACACACACACACACCAAACATTAAAAAAATTAAGTTGCACAGATACAACAGTGTACCAGGTTCTGTTCGTATTCAACTTTTTATTACTGGCTCCTCTTCCTTGTGCTGTTTGTATCACCTCTCCGCTGTACTTAATCCATTGTCCATGTTCATTTGATTTTGCCTGTGTTTCACCTGATGATGAGGCATGAAAGTATACTAGTGAAAACTTTAAAAATGTTCAAGAGCCTGAAGTGTGTCCTACTTCTAAGTATCATTATTATTTTTTATTATCCAATACTAAGAAGAATATCAAAGAAGCGGTATGTATGCTCACTCATTACTCCTATTACGGATAGATGAGCTACAGCAGGACAAGAGATCGATTAGAACGTCTCCCAAAGGACTACATTATACTACATACTGTATCTGAAGGGCAGCCAACAGCCTGGGCAGTGGTGGTGTCGCCCTTGGAAGCAGTCCTATTTTCTTCCATGCTGGCATCAGTCCCCTGTGAAGCCTCCATTTCGCTAGTGAAAACCCTGTACTGCCACAACTCAATATCCTGGGAAAGTAGGAGCGGTGACCAACAAAACACCTCGCTGGTTAGAGGAGAAAGGCAGGGTACAGATCAAGAGCTTCAGCTCAGATGCTCAGCAGGGTCACTTTACTTCTGATTTTTTCCGTTTTGTAGTTGTTTGCTTTTTTTATTTGAACGGTGTTGTTTTGCGCGTTTGCATGTGTGCAGAGTCGGGAAGGCTACATGGGGATTTCCCAAAATTGAATAGTAGTACATGTACATCCATGCATGATACCAAGACTGGCAAGAGTAAATGAAAATTTTCATGTACATGTAGGACCTCTACTCTTGATGTATTGGCAAGAGTACATAACACCCTGGGGGTTATGTACTCTTGATATTGGTGATACATGTACCAAGACTGCCTAGCTCTTATTGATGCTCCAAGTCCAAGTCCAAAGAGTAGGTCAACTGGGGCCGGGTTATGACTTATACTAAAGTTATACTTACATGTACATGTATATCAAGAGTACAATATACATGCCAAGTGACCCCCCCCCCCCCCGGGCTCCGAAGGATCACCCGCACAATGTATTTCGGCCGCGTGCGGTTACTGTGTGGAGCGGTAGCCGCTGAGCCAGTGTGATGGCACATGCACATACTTCTCATCATTGAAGATTGCTTCATGCCTTGTCCTTCAAGTCGTAGAGACTGAGAAAAAGGATACATCGTGGATTTTGCTGGCGCTACGTGTACTTTATTGCCTGCGATGGGCACTTTCTACAGTCGGGAACCCTTGCACACATTCCGGGTAGCGTTCAGTATCGTCAGAAAATGGCTAATCATACTTTTTGTTGTTTCACTATTGGCTACGCACTCGGGTCATTGGCAATTGCTATTCAGCCGTGCAGTAGGCATTACTGGCATTAGGTTGTTGCCTGGTCAAGCAAGGGCCACGTTCACGTATATCCATCGCCTGAGAGGCCGAGCGATAGCCCCTCACAGCAGACACAGCCAAAGTTAATGGTAACCACACTACGTGGCATGCTGCCTGCAGATTCATGAAGTATTTTAAGATTGCAAACCCCAATTGCCCAGCGTCCCCATTGCGTCTTGTGGGGTAATGTATTGCTCCCAGCAATAAAGAACGACTTAAAGGTAGCATGTGTAAGTACAATTAGACGTCTAATCATAACGCCATGTCCAACCAGCACTGTCTTTAAAATGAGGAAATCAAATCGATACGCATCTCAAACTCGCTGTTCAACATCAATAGTGCACCTCACACTCAGAGCTCAACATCAACTATATATTAATTTAAAAGAAGAAACGTCCTGTCCTAAAAAAACATTTAGCCAGACAGACACATAATTATGAAACGGAAATAGTTCTCCCCCTGGCCCCGCCACACAACAACGCAAACTCTTGGTTGTGTTATAACAACAAATAACAAGGGCGCAGGAGGAGAAAGACAAAAAGACTAGAATGAAAACGATGACGGGAAAAGACACCCGGGAAAACACACGAAGAAACAACAAAGACCAAGCAGTAATAAAGCGACGACAAATCGGGACGACCAATCAGGGACTAATACGTACAGAACACATGACCACGACCAAGACAACCAGACCACGGACGAATCACACATGACTCTCATTCCCAGACCGAACTAGCACTGCGCATGTACAGCATTCACTTGACAGTCACTCTCACACAGACGGAAGCAGATCCTCGTACTCTGACAACGCGTACTCTTGCATGCACCACATACCATAAACGTCACACATCACACCATACTCACACGTACACTTAGACCATCAGACACTGGACTCTACAAGACAAGAACCAAATACAACAACATGCGTAAATCATACTCGTAATACAATTTCGCAACATATACACACACGCGCGTGTGCGTGCGCTCACTGACACACCCACCCACCCACCCACACACACACACTCACCCCCCCCCCCCCCCCACACACACACACAAACCTATGTAAAACTACTGTAGTTATGTACACAGCATTGTACCTATGTTAGGATCGACTTTCCGCACGATCAAGGCCGACCATCACCAGAAGATGATCACTCGAAATGGAGGTGAAGGTTGTCCGCACTGGCTGTGCGCAGAGCGCGAGACTCGACCAAGAACACCTGTCGCTTCAGCGTGGTCACATTACAGTCAATGATACCGGCACAAATATCAAGCAGATAACCAAACGACTGGTGGTAGTGGAGCTGCGCTGCCGGTTTCAATCGTACATAGTTTGCCCCAGAGCTCAGACAAGTCGACATGTTGAGATGGGAATCATCGGCAGTTCGAGTCCTGTCCTCGCTAGGTCCCAGAGGAAACTTCAGAGGAAAGGCATGTACTTTGCGTGGCCGTTCCGGTATGACTGGCGCGTCTGCGTTTACGTTCAGATGCTGCGGAGCCAATGGCGCATAGGAAGATCTATCATTGCCCGTGGCCGCTTTCAAGAATGTGTGCCGATGAGTCTTGCAAATATCTTTGCGCAGGTCTACAAGCAGGAGAAGAACAGAATTCACAACATGAGATGGTATGCATGTATACATAGCGGGAAGCTGAGGGTTTCCAGGACATGCTTACAGTTGCTCAATACATGTACATTGCACCTGTACAGTAATACACTGCATGACTGGATGCTCTGCAGTCTTTACACACTTGAGAAGTACAATCACGTCTATATAGTATTATTACACGTCCACACAAAGTAGAAGAGAATTAAGGTACACCAGCTAGATCAAACCGGCCAAACCTGCAAGGGTTTAGCATACATGCTCACGTGCTGTGCAGTCGCAACTAGAAGCAAGATCCGGGGGTGCAGCTGGACACTGATTTTACTGACAAGGGAACGGTTACGCCAAGAAAAGAAGCAGAGGAAAGCCAGGGCATTGAATCTATTTCAACGTACTGTATTCATCTTTACTGGAATGCAGTGATGGTGGTCGCATCAGGAACTGCCCACGCTGCTCCTCAACCACTCGGTCACTGTTCATAAGAGTTCGAATATTCAGCCTGCAGCAGAGCATAGAACGGAAGCACAGGCAAAGCCAGTTACAATAGAGGGAGTCCAGCACAATGTCCACATGCTGAAGTTCCCAGATCTCAATATCGAATGCATGTATGGTGTTAGCAATCTGCCGGAAAGTGGCCCGGAACGTACATCAAACTGTTAACTTCATTTCATGCTGTCCAGCACCACATGCAATGTGCTAGAAATTTAGTAGAAAACCATAGGTTTGAAGCAGCGGGTAGAAAGTCCTCTTTTAAAAATCGAACAAATTTCCCAGGGAATGGCAAGGGGTTGACAAGCAGCCAACATTTACCAAGCAAAAAATTGAAAAAACCTAACCAGTAACTTGCATATAATTTTGGAGCAAATTCAAACCCATGTGATTGTGAATGGTGATACGGCTACACTATCCTACTCAAGGTTTCACACGTGCATCAGCCATCATGTCTTCAAACCCAGAGTGACTACATTATAGGCCAGTCAGACATCATTGTCCCGTCCGGTGTGAGGTCCGTGCTGCTAATAGTAATACTCACCTCTGTTGGTGTGCACTGGGCGTTGAGAAAATGCCCCTGGAGCGCTCAGAGAACATGGCCAGCCAATCTTGCCAAATCGGGATCATGTCACGATGTTCTGAGAACAAAAGAAAAGGACATTTGCAATAGGTGAATTTACTAGTACAGTGCTGCTCAATGAAATCCAGTCGCGTCCCTCAAGTACGCGCCGGACATTGAGCAGCCCCAGGCCTGCGAACACTGGGCTGCGAAAAGGTGGGAGGCGCAAACTTGAGTGACGCGACTGGATTTCATTGAGCAGGACTGTACTTGCAGCTGTCATATAACGTCGAGGAAAAGAAACACAACAACACAGATATGGGAGATTAAAGTTGAAGACTCCACTGCACTCCGCTGCAGCTGCACTTATATGTATGCAACATGCAGAGAATCAGTTGCCATTCACTGTCCTCTTGCCTCCTCCAAAGGTCTGTTTGGTCTCTTTATCATGATTATTATTATACCTTTAGAAGTTTTAGATACTGTTGCTACGCCTGCACTAAGTTCTGTTCGGACGGACACAACAGACTTCTGCCCTTTCTCCTGACTCATGCTACATAATTAATTATACATCTCCCTGGACATCTCTCCCTGGACTGCTTTCCATGTAGAAGTACCACAGTGCATTTCTCCGTCTATGAGCGCTAGCCGTTTCCGTCTCGTAAACTCATCGTTGGCTTCCACTATCTAACCACCAGGTTAGTACCAGAGTAAGCTCATTTCCTTCCTTTTTTGTACCTTAGCTCTAGGTATACACCATAGTAGAGTTCAGACAAGAGATTTGGGATGCAGTTTTATCTCCAGGTCGTGTAGGAGTAAGTTCGTGAACTGGTCTCTTGTAGTTGACCATCCCTATGTTCGTCTCCCCGCTTGGCCAAGTGCTACACTGATGTTTGACCCATATTGTGGTAAAGACACATGTATGTTCAGCCATTTCCATGTGTCTTTACAATCATAATTGTGATTCAGTCTTCAGAGATATTTATAGATGATACCAAGTCGTATCATAGTACGGCCGTGGTACCTCAGACACAGAAGAAAGTGAATGCCATGCCATTAATGCAGCTATGAGGGGTCGTCGCAACAGTTTTTTGTCGTCCCTGAAACGAACATGATTCGTGGGGGGGGGGGGGGGGGAGGGGTGCGAGCCAAAATCGCAAGTCAACCGACACTGTACATATGACATGCACATCATGGATGCAATTTTCGTCGTCCAGCATAGCAAGCTGTGTTCGTTTCAGAGGGAGGGGAGGGGGTCCGAGTACGAAATGAACGATGCTCGTTTCAGGGACGACAGAAAACTTTTGCGACGACCCCTAAAGAAGCCGGGAGAATCTTTACTAAAAGAACACAATCAGGACAGAGCAACCGAGGTGTGGCTTTCTTGCAAACAAGATGAAAAAAATGGTGGCGCTCGGCATATGTAGATGTTATCAAGGTATTCGTGTGACTGCTTGTGACTGCACGGTAGCAAAACATACCTGGCTTGACGGGTGTCTGCGTAGACACATTCCATTGGATGGGCTGGCTATGCTCGGCCTGAAACCTACATTACAAGCAGTCAATAAAAAGTGAGATTGACACCAGTAAGAGCGGAGAAATTTAGCTGTTTTATCCTGGACCTGCCAACTGCCGCCTACTGCTTACTACAAGAAGCAGTAAGTGGTAGGTCCAAGACACAGCCAATGCTGCAAACATCGAGAGAGAGAGAGAGAGAGAGAGAGAGAGATAGAGAGAGAGAGAGATAGATAGATTGTGTGCCCTTACCACTCAAGAATATCATCCAGTCCATAGATCAGTTTAATGACTACGATCAGCGATGCCATACAGCACAAATCCAGGTTTGTGTCACGCCAAGCTCGCTGGTAGGTCTGTCCCGAAACGACAGGGTGCTGGGGTAATGGTGCCAACACGAGGAATTGATTAAAGCATTGTGCTAAGCGAGCTACGGCATCACCCAACAGATTGAAAGGAGAAAAAACAACCAATTGGGACAGTGAGGAATAGAGTGTAACTTCGGCAGCACAACACGATGAGGGCTACGAGTATTTAAACATCTGGAGGCGAGGGATGCGTGTTTTGGCTGTGTGCTGTGGTGGTTCTTCTCCTGTAAAATCACCATCGAATCAGGATCAATAGGTGCACCATCGAATCAGGATCAACAGGTGCACCCTGCAGATGGCACGATGGATCGCCTACTCAGTACAACTCACGGCTGCTTCAAAGTGTGCCTTGTGGTTACTACACACATTCGCACACACACATTCGCGCACACACATTCACACACACACATTCGCACACACACATTCGCACACACACACACACACACTTACCAGGGAGGAGGAGAGTCTGCAAGAAACGAGTGGCTATCGCTCCAAGGTCAATTGGCGGCAGTGGCAAGTCAATTGCCTTTGCTATGTCGTGTGCCAGCATGTACAACGACTTAGGGCATGGTGCTTTCTGAACACAATCAAAAGGTTGAAAACATGGAAGTAGAATACATTGGTTTAGCACTCCTTTACTCCACAAGACAGTCAGGAGCAGTATTCAGCCATTGGCATAATTTCAGACATTGCTCCACACATCGCAAATTGCATATTCAAATTCTAGATGCACACCGGCTACAACAAAACAATACAGCCAGCGCCTCCTTACCATACGTACCCCGCCGCCCTTCTTCAACAGTACCATACTGAACAAGTAAGGATTTCCCAAAGCAAGTGCATTGTATATCTACGTAGTGCTGTGACATACCGTCGTTCGAAATAGAAGATACTGGTGGTTCCATAGCACCATGCGCTCCTCCAAGAGATAGTCAACGTTGAAGTACGGAAACCACCCCTCCTTCGTCATACTGTAGAAGGAAGTAGATCAAACCACTATAAGTAACCATGGCAGCAGCGTGTTCAAACACAGTAAAAAAAAGGTGTTCAGATTTCTAGGGGTGAAACGATTACACTTTTCAACTATCGGTTAACCTACCCTTTTATCGATTCGATTATCGATTATGATATCGATTACTGCGTCCTAGAAATTGCCGCGCCAGACCAGCACAAAGCATGCCGTGTTGACACATATACATACACACATGCAGATGAACCGCATGCTCTACACAGTGCAGTGGCACATCACGTGCGGGTGCAGACAGCCAGTTTTTTAGTGCGCATGTATACATGCACTGTCGATCTACAATGTACGTAACAATATCGGATCCTACTACTACAGTTGTAGTACAGTCATGTACATGACATCTTTTACAAGTTAATTTTTTATTTTTTAGAATCGCGTAATCGGAACAGACAGCGTAATCGAAATCGCTTCGTTGTAATGATCGATTAGGGGCCGGTCACATTGAGGGAACAATCCTCAGTTTCATCACAGCCACACTGGATACGCACGATGAAAAAATCTTACCCACACGAGCAATTTTGCTGTCACCATTCGCTTCTGGCAGTCTATCAGCCCCGCTCCTGGGCCAGAGCTGCATCAGGACAGCCTCTAGAGCATCGCTCCACTTCATAACGCAATAAAAAACAAGGAAACTCAAAGAAATCCAGTGGAAGCCGTGGATGGTTATAATTTTCAGCGGAAAAGCGAGGCCTCGAGCTGATTTTCATGGAGTGGATTATATCGCTCAAATCTCCCGGACAGCGGCAAATATCCATGGTAACCACGGATTTTTTTCAAAATTTCCCTCAGTGTGACCGGCCCCTTAGACGGATAACCGATATAATCGTTTCAGCCCTACAGATTTCCCTGAAAGCCGATACCCACCTGACCAGAATGAATCAATAACAGGGGAGTGGCAAGACGAACGGAAACACTTTGGAACATTTCTTTACCGCGAGCCAGAGAGAAAGGGAGAGAGAGAGAGAGAGAGAGAGAGAGAGAGAGAGAGAGAGAGAGAGAGAGAGAGAGAGAGAGAGAGAGAGAGAGAGAGAGAGAGAGAGAGAGAGAGAGAAAGAGAGAGAGAAGTCAGAGAGCCACCATAATGCCCCATGCATTCAAGGGCACATTCATATTAGACACCCTTAGCCAACAACGTTATGTTGTAACGGTATTACCGTAAGGGGGGAAATACCGTGATTTGGGCTGGACCGTTAGCAAGATGCACGCTATTTTTAGTACGCTGTTGCCGCGAGAATAGCTTTTACTTCACGCGGTACAACCATTTATGTCACCATATACGCAATACAAGGTGAAATGCGCACGGACTATGTAATATTTGGCCAAAACACGTACTGTTGGTCACAGCGATAAATCAGCCCCCATAACGTTTTTACGCTGCAGCTTCAACGCTATTTGGGTGATCAAGGTACGAGTACCGTAAAAAATAGCATTACCGTTGTTTGTTAAGGGTGTCTATTGAGACACAAGGTCGCACATGACCTACACCAACCCTACGCAACACACATCCAGCATGCATAGCAGAACAAAATGATTACAACTTGGACATTACAAAGGACTCTCTTACTTGCACATGTCTGAAGCTAGAAGAGGCTCTGCCAAGCTGAGTAAAGCCAGATAGTTGATGGCGAGGAGATGTATTAACCGAGGCTGCTTAGTTGCAAGCTTGTTATTGCTCCACGCCGGCAAATCATACAATCCCGGGTTGAATTGATGGAATTCGTCATCAGATGAATCGGCAGCATCTGCACTATCGTCATCCTCTGTCCACTCCACTGTTTCTAGTCCTTCCTGAACTTTCTGCTCATGATAATCGGACATTGTTCCGCTGTCATCGCTATCGTCATGGTTGCTATCGTCATCACTGTGCACTTGGGGAACCTCGCTGAAACGCACCTGGCGATGCGATGTCACTGATCCTTGATTGCGCAGTCCACTCTTGGTAGGTGGCGCCAGAGTTGATTGGCTGCTGGTTACAGGATCAGAACTAGATTCGTTGGGAACGCTTGCAGCTTGAACTTCACCACTGACCTCAGCAGGTGGCTGCAATTGAGCTGGGCTTGCAGCTGTAGGGCTTGCAGGTGTAGGGTCTGTGTGTGATGGTTCAGACCGCTTTAGCCTCTTAGCTTTCGGTGTACGAACGGCCTTCTTGAACCGCTTTCTACGTTTGACGCCCTCCTGCTGGAAGGCAGCGTGGGCTGCTTCCTCCTCTGCTGGATTGTCGGTGAAGGCGAGGCCAGCATAGCGAAGGTATAAGAACCACAGCTGCCCAACAACGTCCTAAAAACATCAGCAGGAGAACACAGCACAGGACACGGTAACACTTTTAGACATACCGTAATGTCGCGTATAAAAGCAGGTTCTTACGGCCGTATAAGCCGGGGTTCAAACCATGCTTCTATTCAAAACATGCTTCTATGTCAAGATCATCAGTGTTCTCTGTGCAGTGCATACTGCCACGTATGTACTGTGCAAGTACAGTGTACTTGCGCGTGTCTTTGCACAGAGCGGCTTCTATTCAAATCGTGCTTCTGTGTCACGGCACGCTTTGAAAAACCGGCTTCTATTCGAGTAATGCTTCTATACAGGTCATGCTTTTATATGCGACACTACGTACTTGATGCAACGGCCAAGACTTAGTGTGGATGTGTGTGCGGTGATTAGCTATGATTAAGACATTGCATCTTGTTCACACTTTAAAAAGCCGGATCAATGTTCAGGAGGAATGATAAAGTTCAATTCGCATACAGCATTCACCAAACAGCAGAGCCTACTATGTGGAAAGAACTCAAGTCAAGCAAAGTCTAGACCCCCTGAAGAACTAACGCTAAGGCATACCTCTAGCTCAGTAGGAAAGCCGGCGCAAACCAAAGCATCCACTTGAGCCTGGAGGACCACCTGCAAACTTTCCACCAACGTCCATGTTCTCTTCGGTTCAGCTGCCTTCTGCGGTGTCTCTCCGTCTTTGCTACTAGTACTAGTAGAAGCAGTAGTGGCAGCAGCACTAGCGGAAGAAGTGGATGATTTTCCCGCAGTGCAAGTTTCATCGCCCGAGTCGTCCGTATCGGACTCCGTAGGGATTCTTGAATCATTGTCGGCGTCCGCCACGGCATCGTCACCGACATGGCTGTCCGCATACAGCAGCAGCGCGTTAAGATCCCAGCTATCATCTGACCCAGTGGTTCTCATCAGGTGGCCTGCTCGCAGCATCTGCATGTCCTCCAGCTGTGCCGTGCGGCGCGCACTGAAACGCTTCGACGTCCGCGTCGGAGTTGCCGTAACCAACTCCTGCGACGCGCCGCCTGGCAAACAAAAGATAGAACATGTGCAGAAATGAGAAGTTGGGAGAAGGCAGAATTGGATACACGTCATGAGTAGCAGTCCACCACTGCAACTTCTGTAAGTAGATAATAGCCGGTCAGAAAAGCGTGACAACTTGGCACCAAATTGACAGAGTACGGAGACAATCAGCGACTTGGCACCTAGCTCCAACTCAGCACAATACAGTATTCTGTCATGCTAGTGCCTACAATATAGCAGCCACACTTGCTTGACTGCATATCGCCAGTCACAGGGATGTACAATTACTCATAATTATAATTATCCCTTCTCCTGTCCTGTCTCCTGTTCCACGCGAGTCAAGTCTGCGCCTGTCAAGGTTTCGCGCTGATCACTTTTGGCAGTGTGCCGCTAGGTGAAGCATTGCCCAGACTACTCACCGTCGAGCATCACTATCAGAGCAGTGTGCACAATTGTGCTTTGGTACCGGTAAATAACTTACTCATACACAGGCTGTACATTCTACTCCGAATACGTATACCTTGAGAGGTTAAATGTTGGGTGTGCGTGGGGGGGGGGGGGAACAGAGATGGGCAGATAGACTAGAAGGGAAATCCCCTGCCCGGTAGCCTGTAACGTGTACATGAGCGCATAACACCTTGTACTCATACCTAATGTAAGCATTTGGGACGCGTCACTGTGGCCGGCCCGAGAACGTCTTTCGGATGCCCAGCGGCCACCGCCCATGATCATATCATCGGTGGCCTCCTCCCTCTGTACCAGCTGCAGAGCACAATACACGTACACACAACACAGTGAGGTCCTTGCAAACAAACACAAAGTTGCCAGCTTTCGCCAACGCAAATAAAAAACAATGCCGCTTGGCCACAGTACAAAGAGTACAAAGGCGTTAGTGTACAGCTGAGCCAGTATCGGCAAAACGTCCACAAGCAAGAGTATGCAACTGTGCTTGTGGGTCCGCTGTGGGGCTTTTCGTTCGTGCACACCGGTAGATCAGTGCACACACACCGGTAGATCAGTGCACACACACCGGTAGATCAGTGCACACACACCGGTAGATCAGTGCACACACACCGGTAGATCAGGGTCATAACAGAGACACGTGTACACTGCTTGGAGAACGCTTTCAACTGCCCAGCTCACTATACGCACCAAGGACAACACTAAACCAAGAACAAAGAGAAAATGCCACTACACTCAGACTGTTTCTGTAATTCACACTTAAAACCATGGCACCAATCCTACCGGTGTACTTTCACATGCACGTAGTACCGTACTATCTTGACGCACTGGTCACATTTTTTCGCACATCCCTACTTAGCGCTGTATGTTATATTTGGTAATGTTCTCACTTTTTAACTTTCACTCCAAGTGCATATACTCCTAATAGTAGCGTTTACTCCTTCCATTTAATCACGAGATTCAATTGATAATTGCGACAGGAAAATGTTCTGGAACACAGCTTTGGTTGCTACGTTTGTGATACGAGCAGGCGCAGGCGGGAGGGCTCAACTCAGTCAGTACCGGCCAACGCGTAACCCAAGCATACAGGAAACCACCCAAAAGCGAATGCATCCATACAAAACGGGGTCCAAGTACATGCAGATCTAAAAGTCACGGTTGTCGCAACTCCGAACGTAGGACTTTCAAATCCGTCAAAAAAAACTGTTTTGCTATGGGCAACAAGAAGCATTCAGCTCGTCCTGGAAAGCAACCCTAACAAGTCGTGGGCCAGAAAGTAGCCAGAACTGCTGAAGGTGAGCAATTTCCTGCGATGGGCGCCACTGCTTCTGCCTCTGCATCGTCGTAGCGCAAGGTGAGTTTGAGCACTCCTTCATGGATAACTGCAAATGACTCATCGAGCCGTAACAGTGGCTCAAACTCCCCAAGCACAGAGCAGGACTCATCCAGTGGGTGCTGTGATAGCAGTGAGTCCGAGAGTGGCCCGGACGGAGACGATGATTCTCGCACTGGCTTATTGTCTGGATACCGTTTAGTAGACGTGACCAGCTTGCAATCAATCATATCTGAAGCTTGCCCGTGTAAAATTAGTGGAAGCGGTGAAATACTAAAGGGCGATTCACAATACAACTTTCTGCGACGCGACACGTGATTTGCGACAGTCGCGACAAGAAAGCTGTCGCAAGGCACCTGTCGCAGAAGTTGAAGAAAGTTCAACTTTTGTGACATGCGACACGCGGCATACACAAATGGAGTACAGTTTCGACCCTGGGTGCACGTGCAGTGCACGTGCATAGTACTACTTGTGCATGAGGATATCCAGATGTCGCAACAAACATGAAGAATATTGTGAACCGTGTGTCACTGTCGCAGCTCGTCGCATGTCGCGTCGCAAGAAGTTGAATTGTGAATCGACCTTAACGTTAGTGAGACGTTGTGTTCTGGTCTAGCCAATATAGTTTTTTTGTTTATTTTTTATTCTTCGGAAAACACTGAATTGACATAAATATACAAGTATGACGTCATGCTAGACTAATGACTATGTGGAAGGTAATACTGTAAAAGCCATATATATAACGAAGTGCTAACTCTAACGAGTTAACGAGGGGAAATCTGTCGCTAAAATAGAAATCGTTATACAGAAATCGATACATATAATGTCCTATTGAGCGTTGAGAATGAGTGAGAATCGTTACCTTTGGTACACGTAAACCAGTCAATTTTGGGAAATCGTTATGTATGCGCCTCGTTAGAATAATGGCTTATACAGTATCGCATACCAGTGTAATGAGAGTTCACATAACAGTAGCAATTCATCATGTATTGTGTTTCAAGTCTGTGTTTGAAACTTCATAACAGTTTCTCCAACTGCAAGAATCGTGCAATATTGTAGGGAGAGTCGGCTACAGCTTGACTGACGGATGCAGACGACTGAAGAGCTGCAGAGTGACGGCTTTGTGCTCTTCCTGGGAAGTCGAAAAGGAAGTGCATTGCATCCTCGACGACGCCAGGGCAGAAGACACAGTGAGGCGAGTCTGCAGCTCCAATGCGGTGGAGGTAGCCAATCAGAAGACTACAGTGGCCGGTCATCAGCTGGTTCAGCTTGCAGGACGCTTTCCGTGTCCGAAGGTCGCCGAGCTTCTTGGTGTTGAGCAGTGGTGGCGGGTACCGCGTTGCCTTGCGGACTGCAGTCTCGGTGGCTTGCACTGGAAGACGGACGTGACCCTGGGGGACCTGGGTACCAGCCGCAGCCAGGCGATCTACTTTGTCGTTGAGGAATAAGCCACAGTGACTGCTAACCCAAACAAGGTGGATGCTGCTAACAAGCTGGCTAATGCTCTTGATAGCCTCAAACACAGGAATCGTATCTGGACTCATACGGTGCGGATCATCGGCAACAGAATCAGTCAACGAGCGACCGTCCGTAACGAGGATGAGGTCTGGCAGCGAGGGTTGATCATCTTTGTTGGTGAGGCCAGCCGCAAGTAGACCTCCTGCCGCAGAGAGATCGGCTACTGCTGCAGTTACCTCGGCGGTGAAGGAAGTTGCTACCACGCCTGCAGGATCGCTTCCACTGCAAACTTCAGAGAGTTGGCCATCAGTGACTTTGATGACAAGATAGCCACTTCCTCCTGTACCCTCATCAGTGACACTGCCATCTGTCCAGACTTCATATGACTGAGATTGAGCGCAAAGAGAGGAAACCTTGTCCAGGCACTCCAGGGCTGCAGAGAACCGGACATGCGGGGGATCATCCCTGCTGCAGTCAGTGATGTGGATCGTCAAGTTCTCCACCTTTGCCCATGGCGGTGGTCGCGAAGGCAGCGGGAAAAATTGCTGAGTAGGCAAAGTCTCCTGGGCTATAAAAACCCTGCAATCGCCACGCAAAGTGGTCATTGGCTACTCCAGCCATGTATTGCTTGGAATAAAAAATATATAAAATAACTGTCGCCAAGTGGTCTTGTCATGGCGTATGCGTTGAGGAACCTGAGTGGAGAGAACGGTGTGAGCAGGGGTTGGGCAATGTTGGCCAAATTCCTAGCCTGGCGTGTGATTTTTGTATGCACGGACGGAGCACCTGAAACCTCGTACAGCTTGGTCAGTGGTGTAGAAGGCACACATCTTGTAGCGACGCGCAGGCACTGGTTGTAAGCTGTCTCCAGCAGTCGTTTTCCACTGTTCGTTGTGAGGCCATAGTATGCAGCCGCGCCATATAACCCGGATGACAGTACATACTGGTTGATGAGGCGCATCGTTGATTATTGGTCCAAGCCCCACTCCCGACCAGTCGTGGCCTGGATGACTCGCAGACGCTGTTGGATGCGTTGGCGGACAGCTAAACATTGCTCAGAAAAGTTCATGTTGGCATTCACAACGATCCCCAGGAAGCGGGTTGAGGAAGCTGATGGTATAGCAACGATGTTGAGGAACTGCTGCAAAGACAAGTCTCGAACTCGGTAAGACGTTGAAATAACAACTTGTACTGACTTGACGAGTTAAGTGTAATGCAGCTACGGCGACAGAAATCAGAGACGTGGTCCAGCAATTCCTGCATAGTGGATTGCATAGCCGACACATTCTTGCTTGACACAGCGAGGGCGATGTCATCTGCGTACATGAACGGCATGACGTCCACCTGATGTTGCGATAGATTTGGAAGAGCTAGGTTGTCAAAAATCGAAGCAGTGTACAGTAACCAGAGCATGGGCGAGATTGACACCCCTTGTGGCACTCAACGATGCACTGTTCTCTTGCCGCTGACTGTTGTACCCAACTTCGTGTCTACGATTCTTCCACGGATGAAGGATATTATAGTTCAGGGCCGGCGGAACCGGTCAGGCTGATCTGGCCATGGCCGGACCACTTTCCCAGCTGGATGGTCCATGTGATTCGTGCAAAACCGGTGTAAAAAAATCCAGAGGTACATGACTTGACTGTACTGCTAGCATGCTGACGTGTGATGTGCTTCGAAGTAGCTCAGGACTCCGTGACCGGCACTGTATGGCTGATATGGATAAAAAAAGTTGTGTTTGTGTTCTTTTACTATAATTTTCTGCATTTTCTGGAGCCTTAGAGATGCCCAAATTTGCTCTATTTCACGTAAATTTTAAATATTTCCCCCGGGGAGGTCTCCCGACCCCCCTCAAAGGTTGGCCGGACCACTCCCGAACTCCTTCCTCCGGCCCTGTAGTTAGTATTTTGGTACTCCAGTGATGAGTGCCCTATGCCTGTAGAGTGTGCACTCTACTAATGCCAAACGACTACCAGTATTACTTTGATTGCAACAGGCGAAGTATTCTGGTGGCAAGATCCATAGGTAGGGAGTTCAGTTCCGGTCGCAAAAAAAGCGAAAAATGCAGTCACAGCTCGCCTGTACAAAGTGAATGGGCGCCTCATGGCTGCAGTTCGAGATGCAGTTCGAGGCCCAAGTATCTTCTCCCGCGGCCTTTTCGGCCTTGTCAATGCTATTTTTAGGTAGCTGAGGTCATTACTTTTCCAATGGTGCCACACATGCCATGCTTCCAAAAATAATGCCTCCGCGCTTGGCGCGGATGCACTTTGAAGTACTAATTTCGACCAGATCCGTACTCGGCCCCGCGAGGAACACCCGATTTCCGTGTTCAGCGGCCTCGAACTAGCGTAAACCAAGAGGATTCTAGAACATTGAGGCTCGCGCTTTATCACGGTAGAAGGAAAATGATCACAGAAACCAGCCCACGGCGAGTTCCTGGTGGTAGACGAAAAAATCGAGTGAACTGCGCGCACACTGTAGAAGCAGTGACGGTGAAAACGTGTGACTTGAGCAAGTAGGTGCGCACGGCATACGTGCACACTGCATGCATGCACACATCCTGTATCGCCATGTATGCACCAGATAGTGCAGTGCTGGACGGAAACCACACGGCTCACATACATACTTGCATTTACTTCTGTGACTATTTTCTCCCCCGTTTTCCGATCTTCAATCGACTACAGTCGTCCCTCTCTAATCCGGCACTTGTTTATCCAGCACCTTTGCAAACCAGCACACTTTCTGGCAAAACGAATTTTTTCAGTTCATTTTCTACACTTTAATCGGGCACTTGAATTCCGCCTCCAGCAGCGATTTTCTGCAACAAATCACTCAAACTGTACATAATTCGATTTTCTAATCCAGCAGTTGTACATCGCATACCGTCAGGGAGCATTGTAACATACACAACACATGTAACATACACTTGGGAATATCCTATGCACTGGCATAGGATATTCCCAAGTGTATGTTACAGACATACATTCCACAAAGTACTTGGATTGACACAGAAAATCCCTACGTTTTGATGTGCGACACAAACATGTATGTTAATAGGTGGGCCGGGTTGGAGGGCCGGCTTAGATAATCCAGCACCCTTGTTTATCCAGCAGAAAATGCCGTTGCAAAGGGTGCCGGATTAGAAACTCTAGATTGCCTTGGAATTTTGGGTTCAAATTTTCAAAGGTTGTGTCTCACATCTTCCCGGTTTAGAAAAACTAGCGTTTTATGCGAAACTCGCGAATTTGGTTTTTCGATCGAAGTCCCTACCATAAGTCGTGGCCACAGCGGGTTAAATTTTGGAGGTCGATTGTTCTCAGCAATTTTTTTAAATTAAATAAAAAATCGTTGATTTGCAGTATAGTAGTTGTGAAAACTATGAATGATCCCTGAATACATACTTCCTTCAAACGTACAGTGCACGGATTTACAACAAATACGAAGGCATAGTCTATGCACTATACTCGCAATGTAATGCTACAGCTGTGCTGAATCATTCCGCCCTTACCTCGACTTGAGTTCCACATTCTTGACAAAATGAGAAACCCTCATCTTCTTCGAAAGAAGTACTGCCGCAAACTCTGCACGCACCACTACTCATTCTTACAGCCACTCACGTCGTAACGATCCGAGACTTTGGAAGGGTTCTTAGTTCACATCACCTCAACTTATCGTTACTTGTAGTAAGGATCCACAAAGTAGAGAGAAATTAATTGGAAAAGCAACTCGGCAGTATGGAAGCGATCTCTGATCTCTCGCTCTCCTCAACCGTCCTTGATATGTTGGTAACAGAGCAAGGACTGCACATAATATACGTGTAATAACGTGGGCACGGTTCCACTCCGGTCCGCAAACGATCTGGCCATGTTGAGCAAGAAAGCAAGAAACCCCACAACGTAGGCATTATTAATTTTTTGATTGAAGGCGTCTCTGCATGCAGCCCACCCCTCGATTCGGCGTCGTCGTTTTCTATTCTCGTTCGAAAGCAGTGCACGTGCGGGGCCGGGGGCGGGGGCGGCGCCGGGGGGGGGGGGTATCTGACCCAAAAATGACGCACGCAAGTGTACCGCGAATATCGGTGGTACGAGATTGAGAATGATTTCCAATGCATTCATTTTTGAAGTGAAACATTTTGAAATTGTCGACCGAATAATTGTCGACCAAACAAATTCTGCTGAAGTTTCAACTTATGGACCCGGCTCTGTGACTCTTCTTGGCATTTTTTCGAATTTGATGGGACGCTGTTGGTTACACATTGCCACCTGAAGTGGCGTCGTTATATCGTGAAGTATGCCCTCCACTCAGGAGTCCGGCGGGTAAGTAGACGTGTCTGTACGTCCGTTTGTCTGTGTGTTCGTGGAAAGTGTCAGAGACATTCTGGAAGATTGTGCTGTGAGCAGGCCTAACGCCATTAGATATATAGCCCTGGCTTTTCTTATTGTTGTTGCACTGCATAGTCATGTTGCGCTGTATCATGCACGTTAGAAAGTGAACTGAATCACTGTATGCGGACCACAAGTACAGCCAGCGTAGGATGTATTAGTTGACACGAGATGTGCTTTTTCCAACGAATGAGCCAATGTGCTGTGCAATTTGGATATGCACATATATTCCATAATCGCGGTTCAGGTGGTTACTAATATCAGCGGTGTTCTGCTCTGCGTTACGAAACGCGCCGCGAATAATTCCCTGATCACTCTTCGCTTTCCCGTAACCAATAAGAAACCGTTCTGCACTGTGTTCACGCAAAGAAATCAAATGGAATGTGTACTGGGAAGTTCACGTTCCAAATTTGGTAGTTTTTTTCTCTCGGTAAATTGAATGGTACGCACCAGGTCCTTCCGCTTTTTCTTTGCATGTGCCGCAACGTAGAGAACCTCATCTATGCGTAGACATCTGGACCCAAAATACGCGAAGCGGTAGACTCTAAGCCAGACACTTGTTCTCTATGTGATTTCTCAGTTTTCTCTACGTTTCACGCAGAGCAGAACCGCTCTTCTCTAAAATCACTTTCAACGGAGAGAGACAAGACAGACAGACAGAGAGAGAGAGACAGAGCGACAGAGAGAGAGACAGAGCGACAGAGAGAGAGAGACAGACAGACAGACAGACAGAGAGAGACAGACAGAGACAGGAGAGACGGAGAGAGACAGAGACAGAGAGAGAGAGACAGAGACAGAGAGAGAGAGAGAGAGAGACAGAGAGAGAGAGAGAGAGAGAGAGAGAGAGAGAGAGAGAGAGAGAGAGAGAGAGAGAGAGAGAGAGAGAAAGGTTGCTAGTCGAATCAAGCGCTTTGGCCGAGTGGTTGTGGGCTTGCCTGCGAATCACAAGGTCCCGAGTTTGAGACCTGCGCTGGCAGGGAGTGTGTGCTGTGCTAACAAATGTGGTGATGCATCCGTGAACCACTCTACATTCAGTGAACTGTGCCGACGCCCACGGTCAACTGGGTACTCACTACTCGGAGTGAGGGTAACATGGATGCAGCTAACCAGGTTTGTGAGACTTACCACCTCGCCCTCGCCGCTAGGCGCTGCATCTGCCACATTGGTATACCAGGCATGGTGCATTGGTGGTGGCCTGATATAAGCGGAACTCCCTAAGCTGGTTGTGTTCAACACAATTGCATAGCCGGTGGTAACGCGAACGTGTGAATTTTACCTTTAGTCAAATCGAGGTCCCTGCATCAATTCAAGGAAAGCGAACCCATGTTGAATACAACTGGGCATTCTCAAGATATAGCGAGTTGGAGATGATGAGAGGAACATTGCATACTTGCGAGATTGTGCAAGGTCCACGCTGGATCTCTGCACATACACCAAGCGTGCACATTTGGTGAGCGTTGAGCAGTAGATTCAGCTGGCGGCGTACCTTTGCTGCTGGCCTCTAACTACTTCAGTATATCTGGCCTTTCATTTGAAGACGATAAAACCAAGCCCCTTTAAATTGGGGAGTACATTGCAGTTTAGAAATTGTCATGCTATCTTGATCTTGCTGTTTGTTCCTTTTTGTAGTTCATCATCGTCGAAGAGCAGCCACCGATCATCCATCAAGCAGTACGTCTCTCTCTCTCTCTCTCTCTCTCTCTCTCTCTCTCTCTCTCTCTCTCTCTCTCTCTCTCTCTCTCTCTCTCTCTCTCTCTCCTCTCTCTCTCTCTCTCTCTCTCTCTCTCTCTCTCTATCTCTATCTCTCTCTCTATCTCTCTCTCTCTCTCTCTCTCTCTCTCTCTCTCTCTCTCTCTCTCTCTCTCTCTCTCTCTCTCTCTCTCTCTCTCTCTCTTTACTCACTCGTTCACACACACGCAGACACACACACATGCATACATACAGCTCTGCCGACGTGCATTGAGCCGTCTTAGTCAGCATGTAATGCACATAGGATTTTCTTTTCTGCTCAAAATCTGATGCTGTTATCATACTACATGTGTTGCTTCGGTGTATTTACTCTTTGCTCTCATCATGTTGACCCTGTTCAGATCGGATTTTGTCTGCCGTGTCAAATACGGAAATACATTGCCCGATGTTCCTTTTGATCCCAAGTTCCTGGTCTACCCATTCGAACAGAACAGGTGAGCTATATCTTGCTGTACCGTATTGTTGCTGCTGCTGCTGTTGCTGTTGTTGTTAATGTTGTTGTTGTTGTTGTTGTTGTTTGAAATCTTTTATTCTCACGATGGCCTGTGGCCAATAAGAAAATCTTTATTCTCACGATAGCCAGTGTTGTTGTTGTTGTTGTTGTTGTTGTTGTTGTTGTTGTTGTTCTTGTTCTTGTTCTTGTTCTTGTTGTTGTCATGGCTGTTGTCACTGTTGTTCTAGTTGTTCTTGTGGACTTTTGTAACGTTTTTATCATGCCATGCCAGAGGCGGTCATTTTTTTACTGTATGTGGAAGTAGAGCAGATCCAGATATGTTGGAAATTGTGAACATGTGTGTTTTGTGGCTGCAGCAAATTTCATTGTACGCCTGCATATAATTGTTGTAATTGATCTACGTATCTTCGGGTATGCTACTTGTTGCTCTTGGCTTTCTTTTTACGTAGATATGTGCAGTACAAACCAACTACACTGGAACGAGGTCACAAACATGAGCTGCTGACAGAAGTTGATCTGGGTGTACCCATCGACCTGATCGATCCACGAACGTATGCGGCAGACAGCTCCTCCACAAGTGAGTCTTCTAAAGGTTCATTCAACCCTCGTGTATTCCATGTGCTGTACTCAATCTCAGCTCGAGAACAGATCATTATTTCGTCTTGTTTTGGACTCGCTTCTTTGACAAGTCAATGAAGCTTTCATGTTTTGGCAGCAGGTCTAGTTTTCTTGCCAGCAACCATGCTGTATTTTGCGGAGTATTCTGTTTCATTTACTAGTAGATCTTACATGTGTGTTCACGTCCGTTGCTGTAAGGGAGATCAGCGGGTGCACGACTTAGCGAAGGCACTCTTGCGATGGGTACCGTACATACATATACGTGATGCATAGTAGGCGACGAGCACTATTTGAAACAGTGCTAAATATCTGGGGGTAGAGCTCTCTAACGCATCACTCAGAATGGTCGATTGCAACTGCGAGTTTTAATTATGCTGACTGCTGATCGCTGAGCATAACACTCGGAGATGCAACCGCCCATTCTGACTTCTGTGGTATACATCATGCATGTGCATGTGCATGATACCTGCCGGCATGTGGAAGAAGACTACTGGCAGCTATCCTATCTCGTACTGACGTAGGACACTAGTGCAGCTGTGCCCCGGTGTAATGTTTCCCTTGCTGCTGTTATGCCAGCAGTGCTTCATTGTCATTTCTGCTGTGCTTGTCGTGCTTTATGCTGCAGCTGAGCTGCACCCTGTTGATGAGATGCTGCTGGAGGATGAAGTCTCACAGCCTGCTAATGATAAACGGTTGGTAGTATGATGTTCACGGACATTTGGTAAATTTCGGAAGTTGTACAGTCTGTCCGGTGTCCACAGGGGGTTAACAATGTGCAGCCTATGATTACTTCTTTCTGCGTTTCTTTCACCGATGTGATGTGTTTTACAGCGCACGTCAGCACAACAAGCATGTTTCTTGGCTGAGGAAAACCGAGTACATCTCCTCCGAGTACAACCGCTTCCAGACCTCCAGTGAGAGCCTGGAGAATAAGTAAGTTGTGCACACACACACACATCGCATAGGGTATAACTGCTGTTGCTGCTGCTGCTGCTGCTATTGTTCTTGTGGTCGTCATCCATCACCTTTGGCACTGCTGTTGGTTGCATTTTGTTGTATGTTTGTTGTAATGTACTATATGGACTTGGTCTTGTCTTTTTGTCGTGCACAACGTTTCCTTTCGAAATTCGGATCTTGCTGTTCCCTCCAGGGTTGGATATAGCGTAAAGAAGAAGCTCCAGGGAGAGGACGTGTACAAGGTACTAACCTTCTGGTGTACAGGTTTTTTTATTATTTTATTACTTCGCTAGTGTTTCCCTTTGCAATGGCGTATTGAGAATTGTGAGGATGGCACTGCTTGCGTTTGCACTATGCTTTCAGTAGATTCTTGTGCCAGCCGATAACAATTGCGTTAAAAAAATTAAAAAAACCGGTTGGTATTCTTTTTATCATCACACGAAGCACAGAAGCGATAATTATAGTTTCGACTAGGCCTTTCGTACCATTGCTTTTCAAGTAGAATACAGTGAGGCGGACTCGGCGATACTCCGTCACCTTACATCGTCACCGGCCTGCCTAAGTGCAGTCTGCAAACATGGCGGCACTCATTCTCACTTCACTATTCAAGCGCGTGCGCGCAACTAATCTCACCTTGCTGTGCTGGAGGCAGCGTACATTGCCAAGCTGAAGCCTGAGCTGTGTGTGCAAAGGAAATATGTGCGAAAGTTGTCACTGTTTTGACATTGTAGTGCCGTGGTCCCCACTGTTGTTTGATACTACTTGAAGTAGTAAATTACTAGTAATATTCACTGTTTCACTGTGTAGTTGGCGCCACTAGCGCTACCTTTCAAAGTGCTATTTGGTCCAAATATGCAGTTGGCGTCACTAGCGCGCTATCGTCGGTTTTATGGACTTGCTTGCTTCCTTGTTAATCACCATTGTATTTGACTTGAAAAGTGATGGTACGAAAGGCCTACAGTCGTACAAGTAGTCGAAACTATATGGCTTCTGTGCTTCGTGTGCTTGATTTGCTTTCCTCCAACCGAGAATCTATTCTTTTTATGAACTTGATCGTGTGCTGTTGTTTTAATGCAGGATCGGAAAAGTCAGATTGCTGCCATCGAGAAAACATTCACGGATGCCCAGAGACCGGTGAGCTTGTGCTTGCTTATTTACCTTTTCCAGTTGGTGGTGGAAGTTAGTTGTGACTGGAGGTAGAGGGAATGGTCAGTCTGAGCCTGTTCCGGATATGCTATGTATCTCTTTTTCTCCCTATCTCTCTCTCTCTTTCTCTCTCTCTCTCTCTCTCTCTCTCTCTCTCTCTCTCTCTCTCTTTCTTTCTCTCTCTTACACCATCTACTTCCTGTCATGTAACTTTCATTCGTCCACAGATCACGAAGCATCATTCTAAACCGAATGTCACAGCAAAGGAAATCCTTCCCGTCTTCCCAGACTTCCAGGTAGGCATGGGTATGAAACTCAATTCAACCATCATGTACAGTGTTGTGCAGTGCTGCTCAATGACGTCTGATTATGCCAGTGAACTCCACTCTGGGCGCTTTGCAGCCCTAGACCTGTGAACACTTGACTGTACACTGTTACAGGGGCGCAAACTTGACATTCCCATTGGTATTCTGTGTAGTGCTCTGTCCTACTAGTAGTCTTTCACACTGGGGATATTTATTGCCAAAGGTCCTACTTCCCGGAAAGATGCATCCATCTATCTTACTACCCTGTCTTGGTGTCGGATTTCTATGGTCTGTCTTGTCTGCACTACTATCAATGCTGCATATCCTTACAGACGAGTCTTGTCTGCATTCCTACCAATGCTGCATATCCTTACAGACGAGTCTTGTCTGCACTACTATCAATGCTGCATATCCTTACAGACGAGCACCTGCTGGCCCAGTGCTCGCATATACCACACTGGCTTTTGCTAGTGCCTCTGCTGCTGCTGCCACTGCTGCTGCTTCTACTGCTACTGCTGCTGCTACTGCTGCTGCTGCTACTGCTGCTGCTGCTGCTGCTGCTAGGTGGCCTTCGGCTCTGCAATAGCACCTTTTAGGAACGTAACCTCTCTGACTGCGCTAATTTGCTCTCGTTCTTTTATAGCAGTGCCTTCTTGACTTCACTGGGTCATCCTTTCTGCAGAAGACATGCATGGCTGGGATGTTAATCAGTTCTGTCCCCTGTAGCATGGGCCAGTCGTTCTCCTCTTGCACAACTAAGTACTACAACAAATGTAGTAGAGTTTTTGTTTTTGTTTCGTTGATAAGATCAAGTGCCGGCTTGTCGTCGTGGTCACCAACTTACTGGTGATACTCCGCTTCGTCTGTTGCTATGCCATTGTTGTGTTTGTTTTGTGTACTGTCACTTGCATCTTTAGCTATGGCAGCATCCGTTTGCCCAAGTCAGTTTCGACAACGATCCGTCGCCGTCTGGAAAAACAACGACTGAAGAAGTGGAGAGCATGGCCCAGGCTATGCTCAGGTAAGGACATACGCTATAGTCAGTAGGGGCATACTGTAAAGTTACAAGACAAGTGTCTTCAGGGTGTTCTGCTAAACCTTCTCCCCACAATGGCTTTCAAGCACTTTCCACACACTGGGTGTATCCTTTTTTTAATAGACTTCTTTGATGGATTTCTACGCACTCCGCTTGGGTGGGAAAGCGGTCTTAGGTCCAATCAGGCAATATCAGCCACATCAAGAGTCCTTAACCAAGCGATACTAATTGGAATGCTTTCCAGGACTCGTGTGGGTGTTGTGTGACTTCAGTATTGGCCTGCACATGTCAGACTCAGATGTCCATGATTCTAGTGTTGGCTTCCACCTCTCCACACTCCGTGATTGCTCTCTTTCTTCGCACTTCGGATGCTTGTTGACGCCGTGTGCCTTGGCGGTGTGTGGATCAGCTTTATGGTCGTGCTACATTCATATGACATATTGTTTTGTCACTTTCAGGTGTTTTGAGTAGAGGATTCTTGTGCTTGAGAACTGCATCTCGCACCAGAACTTCTGTCCGTGTTTGCAAGGATGTACATGTAATCGTGTAACCACGTTGCCCCTGGTGAATTGCATGCGCCACTAGGATGTGGACGACTGTCATCTCTCTCTTGCTGTTCTCACTGTAATGGATGGTTCTGACTCCTGAAGTGAGTGTACTGTCACACTTCTTACCATACTTTGTCTGCCCCTTGGCGTGTGTGTGTGTGCGCATGCACACGCATGTGTGTGTGTGTGTGTGTGTGTGTGTGTGTGTGTGTGTGCGCGCGCATGTTTGTGCATGTGTGTGTATGTATGTGTGTTTGTGTACGTGTACATTAACCATAACAGGGGTATGGTTGACGAGAGTGGCAACCAGTTTGTTGCTTACTTCTTGCCGTCTACTGAGACGAAGAAGCGCCGTCGCGAGGAAGGCGATGACTTCCCCACAGGCTCTTTGTAAGTGGTGCTTGTGAGCGTGTAGTTGAGTGTTTACACATGTGTCCATTTGCGCGTGCATTTGTATGCTTTCGAGTGTGCACATATGTGCAATAGAAAACCCCTGCCCTCCTTTGGCTAGAACCATACATGCATACAGCACAGGTGTAGTGACCTGATGCAAACTTTAATATTGGCAACATGACCCTTCACCAACCAAAAAAACGTTCTTATCTTTTCAATGATTTATCAATCATCCTAACAGGTGTACTGAGCTGAAATAAAATGAAGCGTTAAATCGTCTTGATAAAGAGCCACACACAAAAGTGACCTCAACTCATTAGGGTATACATACCGTAGAACCCCGCGGATAAGCCCATGGGCTTATCTCTTTCACAAGGACATTTCGGTGAGCTTATACAAGAACATGGGCTTATATGCGGGCATGGGCACCAAAATTGTGCTATTGAAAAGTACCAAGGAAGTGAGAGGCTGTGCAAACAAAAACAACCGATGATTGTGTTGAAATGTACAAAAAAAAACACAAAAAACCTTCATGTACTACGTACGTGGTACGACCAAGAATCTGAAATTTATGGACTCTTGGTACGACTTAGGCCCATGCCATGGGCTTGTACGACGAAGCTTTGTGATGTTCGAACTTCCCTGGGCTTATGTGCGAGCATGGGCTTATCCGCGGGATTCTACGCTAGGGTAACGCGGGTTTGTCAATTTAGACAGTTGATAAAGACAGCTAGTAAAGATACCTTTTTAGGATAATCCGAGTTGTGGTCGCTTGTGTGTGTGTGTGTGCATCTTTATCAGATGGTGTTAATACATTAAGGGTATCGAACTCGGATTGATGGCTGATAAACAGTGCTGGAAGGAATGTTCGGACATTCGATTATTCTAGAATGTTTTTGAAGGAAAGAACATTCGAACGAGAGAAAACACTTGCGAACGTTCGAATGTTGACTTGCATTCGAGCGTACGATGCATATTTGATGGATTCACATGCACTGTCTGTAGTCTTTGCAGAGTTTGCGTGAGGTGTGTGCAAGTTAAATTGTAAAGAGTGTGAGAGTTCAGAGCATCTGCCAGAGTGCACTCGCACAAGGTGCATGCAACGTCCAAACACTAACAGCCTTAGCATTCTTTCCCGAACAGCTGAAGAAGTAGAAGTTTCTCCCGCCTTTTGATTCTTTTACATGAATCATAGAGTTTGCGCACTTCAAACATGGGAGAACGTAAGAGCATGCGTTTGTTCGCTTGGTGAACATTCGCTTGAAGAAAATGACATTCGTCCCAGCACTGCTGGAAAGGCCTGTAATAAAAAATTTGAAACCCCGGGTTTGCTTCGGTTTTTATTGAGCGTGTCTTCATGATCACTACATACCGGTACCTGTGCAAAAATAAAAGATCAGAGATAATGTTTTGGTCAGCTTTCAGATTCGGGTTACTAGTGCATGTGTGTGGGCTTTTCAAAGGAGCATCACGTACTAATGTACAATTCATAGACTAGTGGCTGCCAACACACTCGTAGTCCGTCCACTTGCCAGTTCACACTGATCTACACACTCACAGTATCCACAGCCACGTCATTGAAATACAGTCAAACCTCGTTAGGACGAACACTGATAAGGCGAACTTTCCATTAGTACGAACTAAGGCCAATCCTATGGTTGGCCAGGCATCAATTCAAGTCAAAATTATTCGTACGACGAACTTCTGTACAGCGAACTTTCGCGAAGACGAACTATTTTCAAGTGTGATTTGAACAAAGTCAGTGTGGTCATGTACATGTAGTACGAACTTTCGGTCCACGAGCGTGCGCGTGCGCTGGCTGCTTTTTTTCTTCTTCTTTTTTTCAATAGTCGAGGTCATATTGTACGTACAGTGCAAATTGCTTTCAAGCGTGTTTTGAACAAATCAATCAGTGCGTTGTACGAACTTTCGACACAGTCGTGATTCATTGCACTTTGTCATTGTACTTACCTGTTTCTGGCTTATGCTAAGAATGACATGCTTCCCATGTACACGTTTACCACAGCATGCACCTTCACGTAAATACAATCCATCTGATATGCATATCGATTTTTTGTCAGATCTGGATAAGAACTCCCGATAAGACAAACAAATTTGTTCAGTCCCTTGAAGTTTGTCCTAACGAGGTTTGACTGTAAACCAAAAATTGAATAGAAATCTCATACCGTATATTCTCTATTATAAGCACAGGTCTCCATTACTAGCACAGTCTCTAATACTAGCACACTGTGAGCACCTTTCGAAACATTATAAGCACAGTCTCTATTATTAGCACGGTCTTGGTGGAAATCAATGCTGCATGCATGATATCCAGCATGTATTTCTTCTTGCTCTCTATGGATGTATTGGTTGACAAAATATAAGCATGGTCTCCAATATAAGCGCGTTCTCCAATATAAGCACGGGGTAGAGGGGTGTTTGAAAAAAATAAGCACAGCGCTTATAATAGAGAATATACGGTAGATTAAAGCTATGAATAGAATGAAGGCCACAGATATCACCGTGCAACATACAACTTCTTAGATATGTACGTGTAGGTATAAACAGTATTTTTCAGAGTCGATTCTCTCGTTCCGATCATCAGTGGAGAATTCCGGCGCTAGGGATCACAAGCAAATGAAACTAAGATTAAGCAGTAGAAACGTGCTAGAAATGGCAAGTAAATCTTGCTGCAAGTGCCATACCAACTACAAGAAAGATGATGCGAATGGTGGCAAACTTACATTCTGTCACAACAAAGTGAGTAGGAACTGGAAAAGTGTCAACTTACGAATATAGCCTAAGTGCAACAACGTGCTCTTTCTGCTACACGCAAAACAGGCGTATGTACAAGTATGCAAACCGCCTCAAGGACTTTCAACTGCTGGACGTAACGGGCACGGCACAGTATGGAGAAATGAGAATCATCATACACACTGAGGCAATCAGGACGAGATAACACATGGAGATACACAGCTGGCTTCTTTCTCGCAATCCACTCATCTGCCTTTTCCTGCTCCTTCCCACCGGCCTCTTCGTCGTCAAGGTTATCCTCGTATTCACTGTGCTGTTCTTCGTCAAGATCATCCTTGTTTTCGTCTTTTGACTAACACATAGTATACTCGAGTACATCTATATAAAGGGAAATAATTCCCCTTGCTGTCCGTAGCTAACTCAGCGGGCATGGACTCCAGTGGGCGCTGGAAGGCCAGGCAGTTGTCAGGCGGAACAACAACTGGCGCTCATGGGTTCGCCAAAACGCGAGCTCCTTGGCGTAAGCTGGCCGTGACTTTGGGACTTTGGGGCTGATTTGGGGTCAGTCAAGCCCAACGTGGAAAACACCTTGCTGTGCAGCTTCACCGGCTGATTTTAACTTAGTTTATATAATACGGTGGACTACAACGGCGCCACCCTTTTGGAGTTCTTCTCCCCTGACATCCAGGCCTGATAGTCACTCGACAAAGCCAACACAATTCGCGATATCCAAACTAGTCCCAGACCCGATGTACTGTAGAGTAGTGCAGTACTACACATCCGCTCCTTGAAATCTCACCCAGAGTGCATACGTTGGCGCCCTCTACTTGCACGCCCAGGACACCCTGGAACTGGCACGAACGTGGCTGGTCGTACACATGTACAAATACAATGATGTGATCGGAACTGGTCCAGGGCTGCAGGGCGCGAGCCTTGCACTTTGAGTTGGATTTCACCGAGCGCAACTGTAGTAGTTCCCGCATAGGGTGTGCACTTGGCATTCATGTCCAGGTGTTTCCTCTTCTAATACCCCCCCCCCCCCCCTGCCTTCCTGTATTGCTATCTCGTGTGCCATGTAGACACGAGTACGAAATGCAGCGTGAATACAACTGGAAGATCCGCACGAAATCGACGCATGCATCTGAGGTGAGTTTTCATTTCAACGCACCGGATCTGCTGACAGATACACGTAGTGTGTAGCTTGTATAATCTGATCTACTGTACGTTATGTACAGTACATGTTTGCCGATATTGATTTGCCTCGCACACCTCTGCCGTATGTTGTTTGCAAACAGGCAGGTCTTCAGGGATTTTCAGATTCTTGCAGTGGTTGTGACTTGTTCTATTTTTGTGTCTGTATGTGTGTGTGTGTGTGTGTGTGCGTGCGCATGTCCGTCTGTGTGTCTGCCTGTCTGTCCATGCATGTGTCTGTGTATGCATGTGTCACATTGTGTCTGCATGTGTGTGTGTGTCTGTCTGTGTCTGTGTGCCGTGCTGCTGGGCGTGCACAGGAGATCTACTTCTTCACCATGCGTCCTGGTGAAGGTGTTTTCTACAACGAACTTGCAACTCGGTAAGCTTCTACTGCAAGTCGGTGCTGCATCAGCTTTAATATTGTGAAATTCTGCTTCACAGTGCGCTGTATGGCAGTTGAAAATATCCATTTATGCCATCAGGGCATGCGCTAAGGATTAAAATATGCTCTGACACAATGTCCTGCCAGTTGCAAAAATGGCCGGACATGTCCGGACATGCAACTTTCACATCAAATCACACAATGTTCAGTGTAGAATTAATACCATCGAAATGTTATCACGACGATGCATTTCAGAAGCAGCATGATCTTTGAAGGCTGACGTTTTCAGGTTCCTTGAGCCAACGACGAAGGAGTCAGAAAAATTCTTGCTGCTGCGAATTTTATCAGCAAAACGGGAACACATCTTACACTTCAAATTTTCGACAACGCTACGATCTGAGGGACTGCGCTCATAGCTCAGCCAAACCTCTGTTAGTTGAAAGCTCCCTATCATACTCGGCGACCCACTTGTCACAAGTGGTCGTCTTGACCCTCTGGGCTTCTTTCCAAGAGGAGCACCCGCATCAGCGGTGCTTGGCTTTCTCTTGCCAGACGACATCACTAATGACTATGAGACAAAGGATTGAAGTGCCTTTTCTTTTTTGTACTTTGCAAAAAGGTGCGCGGACACTTTGTCCGGATATGTACAAAACATCCGGAAACTGACCGTAAACGGTCGGAAATTGTCCGATGTCCGACCGTTATTTCGCGCCCTGTGCCATACAATGCCAAACTGTTCTATTTTATCGTACACTGTTCAATAACCGATCCAGGGAAAACCTTTTTTTGTTCACCAAGCTCACATTTGTATTTGCTATGGTTGCCGCTGCTGCGGCTGCCATTGCTGCTGCTACTTTGTTGTGTGCAGTGTTCGTCTAAGCAAGCGGCGAGCTGTAGGTTCCACTGCACCGCGTAGACCAGCGTCCACTAAACTCACCGTCAAGCAGCGCAATTTCGAGGAGACGGAACTGGCAAGCCAGGTAACTAGTGAAATTGGTAGTGATCGTCATTAATTTTGTTTGTCTTCTGGCCGCTGAGGCGAGTGGTCTTGGTCCTGGTGGGCTACGATACTCCATCAGATATTCCCTATTAAACCCACTAATTTTCAACCGGACCATCTCCCTTTCTTTGGAGCTGGATGAAATTGTTCACCGACAACGTTTCTGCTTTTAGTAGCCTTTTGCAGTATTTGGTGACACACATACACACACACGCACACGCACACACGCGCACGCACACATACACACACACATACACACCTACACACACACACACACATACACACACACACACATACACACACACACACATACACATACACACACACACACACACACACACACACACACACACACACACACAAATATGGATGGTCTATTCTCTTGCGTTGTGTGCTCTTTTAGGGAAATCGGCTCATGCAATTGGAGCCTGTTGTTGCCGAGGAAGATGATGAAGAAGAGGAAGAAGAAGGAGAACAGGAGGAGGAGGAGGAACAGGCAGGCGATAATGATGACGATGGTGATGATGATGACGACGATGATGATGATAGTCCTGCCTCGGATTGATTTAGACGATTGCTTTCTGATGCTGTTAGTTTTGTTTGAGGCCGTTGTCACTCATCCTACAGTTTGTACTTTCAACGATGCCTTTTTGATCATATCACAATGTTTGTCCACATTTGTTTGATATAGCACTGGACATAATCATGCTTGTGTGCGAGAAAGAGAGGAGAGCTAAAGAGAGGAATTGCTAAATGTGTCATTGAAGCTATGTGTGGGCTATGTGGGGGATGGCCCTGTGTACAACTCTGGCCTAAACCTGTTAAACCTGTTGCACTTTCTTTATTCACTAGCCATCCCAAACCCTAACCACCATCCCCTCCTGGAATGATTACTTTTATAGGCTGCCCTGGCTCTGAACTCCACACCTGAAATGATGGTCAACCGCCTTCGAAGCCGGTAGCGCGATGTAGATGAAGTGACTGTGACCACGGTGACAGCGACCGGCCTCAGTGCTGTATACCAGGTATACACGTCGGTGAGAAAGGGTAGCACTTGACCGTCTGTGGTTCTCTTCTCTCTCACACCATGATCCATATATACACACTACACAGTTTATCATCCAACACATCCACATTCCCAAAAATCCCGTCTGCCAGGCATGCACACACTAGTTAGCAGCTCCAGCCCTGCTCTAATCCTCGCACACTATAATGATCAATCTGACTGTGGGAGCACAGCACAGACGCTCTGTATCAGTATACTATCAGCAAGAGGCAATGTGTAGATGACAGCAGGCAACAATACCTACTTGCAGTACAAGTTGAGAAATTAGCACTATGCTGTGTAACCAAGAGTACATAAACCATAACCAAGAGTACATAAACCAATGTCCTCTTGGCGTAACTCATATTAAAGCTGTCATTGGGGGGGGGGGGGGGAGAAATGAATGCGGGAAGATATACTTCTGGTAAAATATTTTAGTTCAGTATTTTGCATAATTCTTACCTATCATGTCCAAAATAATTTTTTAAAGAACATTAAAAAAAGATATGTCCCATCCAACCGTGTCCTACTTGTAGATGTGTGTGTGTACCAATTGAAGGCGGCGAGTGGATAACGTGTTTCAGTACTGTCGATAGTGTTTAATAATAACTGTTTAAAATAGAAATTAAAAAAAAGTATTTAAAAAAGTATGAGGCTAGTGTACACCAGAGGAGGAGGCATGCACTATACACACTGAGTGTGGTCTTGTACAGACTTGCAAGACTTGCCCTCTGAACTAAGTTAGTACTGCATGAGCATTGCAGATGAGCACACCACTAAGAACTATTTCAAGTCCCGGTAGCGCAGTGGGCGGGAAAGCATGTGCCTGCTAGAACAGCGACAGGTGTCGCTTGGCCAAAATAGTGACCAGTCACTTGCAATGATTGCTCTCAATTTGAGGATGTGCCAAAGGAGTAGTTCCACTGGTTGCCGAAGCGATCCTCTCCACGCTTGGTGGCAATGGCGTCCAGGTTAGCACTCACACGGTTGATAGCCCCTCTGTGGCACAGAGCACCACACCAAACAACAGCATTGTCATGGTAAGCAATAAGCACGGACACGATAGGACACGATATTGTGCATACCGAAACTGCGCCACAACCAGGGTTGTGACCAGCATGGAATCAGCATGGAATCATCATGGAATCATCATGGAATCATTACTGTCAATAAGACAAGAGGGCACCTGGGAAACTTGGTGCATACCAATAGTTGCCACAAATCTGCATCTTGTGGCCAGCATGGAATCACAAGAGGGCACCTGGGAAACTTGGTGCATACCAATAGTTGCCACAAATCTGCATCGCTCCACGCATGTACACCTGTTGTCATTTCCTCTCTACTAAGTTAGAGCACTAAGCCAGCACGGAGGTCTGCTCTCCAATGCTTACATGCACATGCGGTGCATCTTGCAATTGCTAGACAAGAGGTGTGCTGGCAAGCCTAAGTTTCTTCTGCAAAATTTCGCATCGCAGGTTGTCGCAGCTCCGTCGCAGGTCGCATCACGGGAAGTTGAGCGAAGTTCAACTTCTGCTACGAGCGATGCGCATCACTTTCTACACGGCAGGCACATGTGCCACAAGTGCTCCGGCTCGAGCACGGTTTCGGACTGTGTGCACCCTGCAGGATTTCTCTGCGATGTGCCGCGCATTGAAGACTCTTCACGCGAAATAAGAGAAGGCTTTCGCTCGACGCTGTACAGTACGTTGCTCATTGTATTAACCCAGTGCTCTGCATTGTATTAGCCCAGTGCAGCAGTGCTCTGCATTGTATTAACCCAGTGCTCTGCCCAACTGCTAAACGTCAAGCCCTATTCTCTATCTAAAGAAAAGGACCTTTCTGGAGCTGATTGGTGATAATTGCAGCTTTTAATACTAATTTTCACAGAAGAACCTTGACTAGCGGTCACAGTGCTCAATACACGGCGTGCAGAGCCTACAAGACAAACGACTGTCTCCTGATGATTGCTTTTTAGCATGAAACTTATTAATTTATTATCACAGAAAAAGATTGACCACTCACTTGCTGAAGATTCGCTTAGCGATACGGGACTTCGGTGTGTTCACATCAGCGTCCAAATCTGCCAGAGTGGACTCCTTTGCAACAGCTACGAACAACAACGACGACGATGACGACGATAACAACAACAATAACAACATCTCTTATCAGCCACAGGCCATCGTGAGAATAAAGATTTGAAACGACAACAACAACAACGACACAAATGGGGAGGGGCGGGTGCACAATGAAAGTGGTCCGCAGACGAACACTCCATGTGCAGCGAAACAGTTCATAATAAATTATTTACTCTAAACCGAGTCCAAAGTACTGTAAAAGCCATTATTCTAACGAGGCGCATATATAACGATTTCCCAAAATCGACTAGTTTATGTGTACCAAAGGTAACGATTCTCACTCATTCTCAACGCTCAATAGGACAGTATATGTGTCGATTTCTGTATAACGATTTCTATTTTAACGACAGATTTCTCCTCGTTAACTCGTTAGAGTTAGCACTTCGTTATATATATATGGCTTTTACAGTACCCTGGATATAACATACCGCCGGTACATGTACTGTGACATTGTGTTGTAAAGTACAGTGCTGCTCAATGAAATCCAGTCGCGTCGTCACTCAAGATTGCGCCTTGCACCATTCCGCAGCCCAGTGTTCGCAGGTCTAGGGCTGCGCAACGCCCCGGCGCGTACTTGAGTGACGCGACTGGATTTCATTGAGCAACACTGTAGTACTTGGCATCGTGCCATGCCAGTCATTTATTAAATTTTTAGTTTGGATAAGGTATCGAATATACAGTACGTCGGCTACAAAGTACAGATGTGTACGGCCCCTGGACGGGAAGCACAGTATAAATGTACATGAAGGTTCACTGCAGTGGTATTCAGCACAACTGTGTACAGTACATGCAGTCACACACTGATCACACTGATCCAACCTCTCTTTCGTAACAACACGCGGAGGCAATCTGAACACAGAACAGGCCAGTACTGAAGAGTTCCGCGGGCTGACGGAACCAAAGCTGGTGATACCGACAAGGGCAATGACAACAAACTCCGTTATTGACAACACAACACTATCAACTGTAGAGCACATTCGTGTATAGAGCAGCATACTGCTATACCTTTTCGCTTCTTGCGCGGGGGTTTCGCTTGCATTTCCGGCACACCTGGTCCAAAAAAGACAAAAGCAGTGTGCAGGACAAGGAGATCATGGCAAGGTTCGTCCCAAATACATGACAATATTTGGGACGAACCTTTCAGTATAGTAAGGGTGGCTCGGACATGAGCATGAAGGTGGTCAAGGGTTTAGCACACAGTCCACAAGATTAACACACGACATAGTCACATTATTGACATACCGACGGCAGCTGCAACATCTGCTTCCAGATCCAACCATGCTGCCCGTGGAGCTGCCGTCGTAGAGCTTGACGTGCCCGCGCTGGATGCAGCAGCTGCAGCTTGACAAACCAAACACAACAGCACCAACAACAGAAATGATGTCAAGCACAGGAGTAGAGTAGAGGTTAGTTGTCTACAGCCAGTGCATACGTAGATAAAGTGCAATGGTGGTATTATGGTACTGGTACCCCGAACTCTACAGTGGCTGGAGAGAAACACACAACAACTGCAAGAAAACACACACACACACGCACACACACCAACATACCTGACTTGTTTTTGTCCAGAGAAGATTGTCCAGCATTATCTTCATCACCAGTCTGCCCGGTAGTATCAGGTCGGCCCTGGTTGTCACGTGCTATGATGGGACCATGGAAAGGACACTTGGAGAGGACAGCAGAAGCAGGCACAGGAAAACAACAAAAACGACATTCTTGTACTTAGTACATGTACTACATCTTGACATGGTGGGAAGTTTGCTGTACTGTCGTGGACATGAAAATCCAGTCGGAGGTCAAGCGGCCCAGGGCGCTAGCTATGCAGCCGTGAGTACGTATAGGATCAACACGACGTGTACTTCATGCAACATTCTGTATGCACTGAGGACGCCGGCCCCCGCGTCATTCGACCGTATTTCCATGCCCACTACAAGTACGTGTGCTGTGAGTTACCAGTGACGCTAGACCGGTGGAAATACTCATACACCGCATACTGGTATGATGCACAACAGCTTGCCACAGGGCAGAGAAAAGTATACTTGTCCACTTGTGTTGACGTGTCATTGTTGTTAGCCTTCTCTTCTTAGTTCACTTCAACAGGGTGCCCCACTTGATTAGAACCTCAGGTCATATGCACCAATGCATGGGACATCAGGCCTCCTTTACCAGCGTGACATACCTAGTATAGCTAGGCACATGTAGCGAGGAGAGGTGCTGGGGTGATAGCGGCCCTACCCTGCACTGGGGTGATAGCGGCCCTACCCTGCACTGGGGTGATAGCGGCCCTACCCTGCACTGGGGTGATAGCGGCCCTACCCTGCACTGGGGTGATAGCGGCCCTACCCTGCACTGGGGTGATAGCGGCCCTACCCTGCACTGGGGTCATAGCGGCCCTACCCTGCACTGGGGTGATAGCGGCCCTACCCTGCACTGGGGTGATAGCGGCCCTACCCTGCACTAGCCAAGCTCACAGTGTAGCATGTGTGCATGTGCATGTGTGTGTGTGTGTGTGTGTGTGTGTGTGTGTGTGTGTGTGTGTGTGTGTGTGTGTGTGTGTGTGTGTGTGTCTGGTGTGCGTGTGCATGTGTTTGTTGTACCTTGACCCTATCTTTGCGCGGACACAGCTTCCCGGATGGCAATGGCACACGGCACATCCACTTGACGGGCTCAAACTTGCCAGTGAACAAAATGGAACGCTGGTTGGCACTTTCCCATAGATCCTACACATTATACATTGCAATGCAAGACAAGAACAGGAAAAAGAGGCAAGAACACAAAAGCATTACAGGAGATACACTGTCATACCATTTTCAGCTGTAAAGGCGCACGATGCGTGTAGCTCTTGATGGACTACTCTCAAGCCGAGATGATAGGAATTGAAGAAGTCTTCATACACAAACCTCCAAACTGAACATGTGCAAGTAGGATAAACTATTCTGGTAGAGCTGATTTTATGTGCAACAGGAAAGTGCAAAGGACTTCAGTGAGGGTACCTGTATTCTTCGAGATTGGAATCCTTCTTGAAATTCAAAGCACTTCTTGACTGACCCTTCTGAAATAGGATTTACGGCACTTGACGGAGTTTTCCCCAGCTTAAAATGGAACATCTCCTGGCGTCCCCCGTGTTCTTACTCTACAGCGTGGCAGTCCCTTGTACAGCTGTAGGGCGCACACACACACACCTACCTTATTGACAAACTCTGGCTCTGTATCGGCATTGTTCCAGAACCGATGTAGTGAGTCAAGCCTGCAGCACAGTCAACCGATAGCAGAACAAACACAGGTAGGTGCAATAAGAAACATACAGTACCTGAACACACCAAAAAAAGGCAACATGGCGTATTATAAACTAGTGGAGTATTCGCGCTCACACAGGAAGCTAACTTGGAAACCAGAGGCCAGTAGTACCACTGCACGTAAAGCTGTAACCTACTTCAGCGAAGGCCAGTTGCTTGAGATATAGAGCGTGTGTGACAGTTTATGCATGCAGTGTGGTGTACATGTAGTGGTTCAAATCATGGTTTAACTGCACTGGTGTCCCCTTAGCCCATTACACACTCCAAGTAAACACGACAAGGTTATCCCAAGCGGCATCTAACTCTCAAGACAAGGGCATTCAGTACTCACTTCACAATGGATGGTGGAGCGTCACCATCCACACCCCAGTTTAGGATGTCCGTATCGAAACGAACCTTCGGCGCAACAGATAAAAGATCGGTTGTAGTAGCAGCAGCAGCAGCAGCAGCAGTGGTAGTGGTACTAGAAAATGATGAGTCAGGGTTGGCAGGGAAACTGTCATCCGCAGCAGTGCTTTTCTTCTCACCGCGCGACAGAGTAGAGAGTTGAGCAGCCATAGTGGTGGGGTCGATGGCTTTTTGGTCCTCGTGAACTGTGGACATTGACCAGGAGGACACCAGCGGGGCAGCTGCACTGCTAGCTTTGGATGGCCTCTTGGAGTCATCCGCTTGTGCAGAGCGCCGCGAAGCCACCAGAGCTGAACACAACGAGATGAGAAGGCCGTGCTTCCGTGAGTTTTTTTTCTGAACAGCAAGAAACGCACTATGATCAAGTGTGACATGTGTTTGAAGCTGCCCAAGGACATACATGTATGTTGAAGCAACATGACAAACCTCGCCAAGCAGCAGCGGCAAAATGACGGCGTTCTCCGTGCAGAGAGGGCTACCTAAAGTCACTCACGAGCAGTTCAAGAACAAACTGAACACCTTAAAGAAAGCAAAGCGTGCACCTCAGTACAACCTGAACCATCACTCTGTACTGATTCGGTAAGACATGCCATGCCATGCAACACAACACAACACACACAGTCGTGAAAATCGCACCTGCATCGAGCTCCGGGTCGTCCACCACAGCCATTTCCAGGCCTTCTTTCTCCGGCACTTCTTCAAACTCTACGTCCTCATCATCCTCTTCAGAGGACTCTCCACCTGCATCTGCTGTGGACATTACAATGAAAAAAAGCAGCAAGGAACACCCTTGAGGACCACACAATCACAAGTTTCACAATCAAAGGAAACTGTAGTAGTAGTACACTTGATAGGACAGGCCAATGCTGTGGACGGCAAAACTTGACAGGGAAAAGTACACTTTCCCTACAGGGGGTATGAATTGGCAAGGCAGATACGCGTATGCCAAATTGGAAGTGTACCTAACGGAATGGTTAATTACGAGGCAAATAACTTAAAGCATGCACAATGAATGCACTGGTCTGCAAATTGTACCGTTGCGTTGAGAAGAAGAGCTTCGGTCTCGCCATTCCACTTTCAACTCGGAGAACTTGTCCACACTGGCATTCATCTGCATGCGACAGTCCATGACCCGTCTCAGCCTTTCTCCTTCTTTATCGGCACTCTTGGTAAGAACCTGGTCGGCGTAAAAATGCATGCATGGACACACACATGCCGTGCATGTACACAGACAGACAGACAGACAAATAGACAGACAAATGCATACAAGTTCAATACAGGAAAAGTGAGAAACGCATTCCGTTCAGATAGGTGTACGTACTTACTTGTACAGCCAAGGGCTAAATTGGAAGAAACTTGACAGGCAGGAAGACCAGATTGCTTTACAATGAAAGCAGTTTGGCCACCAACTTTCTCCAAAATAGTGAAAATACTACCTCAGAAGTACTCTACAAGTACATGTACACGATTGCATTCTAAATACTGCAAAACCGGAAAGTCTAACGAGTCACAAAGTCTAACGTTTTAACGACCAATTATTTTTCGTTTAATATTTGAAAAAGGTTATCGCTAGATGTCTGTGTAAAGATGCGCATACAGATGGGTGGTCAGGTAGCCATCGTTAAACTTTCGGCACGTAATCATGCCAATATTACAACAAGCGTTGAAAACGTTAAACTTTTTGGTCGTTAGACTTTCTGGTTTTACAGTACAACAAGACACGGAGACTGTATTCAATAGTTCATCTTGTAACCACCACTAATTCCTCACCACAAGCCAAGCAGCTGTTACAGGCAGGAACTTTCGAATGATGAGCCGCCGATTGTCAGCTAGTGTCGTCAGCAGGTCACTGTTGTCTGCATCCTCGGCTATGATATAGCCTCCACCGCCAGCCATCGTCAAAGACCTGGCATCAAGCGTCAGACAGTAGTTATTTGCCATGCCCTGGGCACGCAGTGTGCCATCCTCGTCGACGCTACTGGCATCCGCAACATCCTCCTCCTCGTATTCCCACTCCTCAAAGTTATCCTGAAGACACCGAAAGACGCAGAACAAGGCACAACACAAAGCACTCTACTCAGTCTGGGGTTCACTACAATCATGTATATGCATTGGGTGTACCAGCTGAAGGAAGTGTACCCGCGCAGGACATTTTCATTATGGTGATTCGAAATTAGGACCGGCAGGAAGACAAGAGCAGCCACGCCGTAACTCTGAACTTCATACCACCGGTACACATCTTTTCGCATGGCAATAAACTACATGAACATACTCAACCTAAGACCTGAGCACCCCAAATTCGTAGGAAAACACCCGCCTTCGTCACTTGACAGAGAACGAGTCATTTCCTGAATGCATTACTGGCTCAAAAGAACATTTCAATACTTTCTTCGAGAAATCTCAGCAACGGTGAATCTCCTGAGCTGCACCTAGTACACAGGTCGATACCTACCTTATCCCAGCATTGCCTTGCTCTACAAACTATAAATATTACACCCCATCACAGAACATGCCAGCATGGTCTGGAGTTTCACCTTAGGGCCCGGTCACACATGCACTGGGATTCGCTTCGGCGACGAGGTTCGGCGGCAGCGAGCCTGGTGTCGCTCCAGCGAAACCACGTGTGTATGGTCACACATACAAACAGGGCAAACTCCTACTTTGGCGGAAAATGAGAGTAAAGTGGACTGTGGTGCATACGGTACGGAGAATAGACGAGGTCAATGACTATCTTGCACGCATTTTGTTGCATGGACATCATACGCATACAAATTTCTCGTAGCAAGTCCATATACAGCAGACCGTGGTGTTTTCCGCTGAAGCGAATCCGCAGAAGCGACAGTCTCGCTTCGAAAATTTTGGAGGAAGCGGATTGGAGTTTCCGCTGAAGCGGAAGTTCCGCTTTTCGCCGTTGCCATGCCATTTTTCGCTCCTGCGACCTCGCTTCAGCGTATACGCTACTTTCGAGTGCATGTGTGACCGGGCCCTTAACCACTGCTCAGCTGGTTCTGAATGATGTCCTGCAAACGTTTAAAAGTATGCACACGATTACTTTGGTTACTGGTAGCTAAAATATAATTCGATAGAAGTAAGAACCAGCGCACGAAATACTAGTAACGATTATCACAGGACAGTCGGCTGCTCCCAACACTGGAGCTCGTGCTTGTCCTGTTGACACAAGTCTACTGTATATGCATATGCATGTATTGCCATTACGCGGTGAAGACCTATCACAATAACAAGACCGGCGACACGTGCTACAGTCCATTTCAAAACTATAGACGCGTACCTAGGCAAAAACCGTTATGCCAGCATCTATACCACATAAAATCTGTGATCACTTTGTGCATAAATTTTTCCAAATTGGGCGTCTGTTATCCAATCGTTTAGAAACTCTATGAGAGTAATTGTGGGGCGATCCTGAGCAATATTCCGAAAACTATTCTCAAAAAGTTCCAGCCAAATTTGAAATATTTCAAAAACCCTACGCGTCTATAGTTTTGAAATAGACTGTAGTTGCTGCAGCCAAGCATTCCACTGAGTATGCAGCGGAGACCTATCGTGCTACATGCACTTACCACATCAGCTGATGACACGGAGACAGTCCGGCACATACGGTCAGCGTTTGCGTGACCAGGCTCAGCAGCCTCGGCTCGATCAGCTGAGGATGAAGATCGCGTTCTGAGACCGGTCCTAGTTTGAGAATTGCACACGGCTGATGTAGTTTCTGCAGGCACATCCTCGGCTGCACTTGATCCATGAGCAGCAGCCAGTGGTGGCTGGGCTGTGCTGGCACACTGTGCATTCACCGTTCTGCTTTTCGGCGTCTTTCCAGCAGATGTAGTACTCCCACGTGTCTGCACGGCTGGTTCAAACTCTGCCACACTGGGTAGAAGCAGCTGAAAGCAGGACTCCATTTCGGTAATGCAGCTCTCCATGTCCACTATCATTTCTACCAAGCACAAGGTACAGAAGCACAGAGAGAAAGAGAGAGAGAGAGAGAGAGAGAGAGAGAGAGAGAGAGAGAGAGAGAGAGAGAGAGAGGGGGGGAGAGAGAGAGAGAGAGAGAGAGAGAGAGAGAGAGCGAGCAAGAGAGCGAGAGAGAGAGAGAGAGAGAGAGAGAGAGAGAGAGAGAGAGAGAGAGAGAGAGAGAGAGAGAGAGAGAGAGAGAGAGAAGAGAGAGAGAGAGAGAGAGAGAGAGAGAGAGAGAGAGATAGATAGATAGATAGATAGATAGATAGATAGAGAGATAGATAAATAGATAGATAGATAGAGAGAGAGAAAGAGAGAGAAAGAGAGAGAGAGAGAGAGAGAGAACAAGAACATGGAAACAGCGATAATGAAATAGTCAAAAAAGGTTTTCTTCTTCTTTTTAGACCAAGAGTGGTACATATGATTAGCAAAGATAGAAATATTTACGATACTTTTCCAGACGTTTCGTTGTTCTGAACATCGTCAGTGGATAAAAAATGGAGGGCTTTGGGTGGTGGCACGAGTTAATAGGGGGTAATGGTGGTGAGATGAGGTGAGAAGGTGAAGGTGGGAAAAATACATGTATCTAAGTTAGTGGTGGAGGTTAGGTGCGGGTTGATACAGGTGGTAAGGAGTAAACCCTTAGGGTAGAAGTGTAGGTTGGTAGCAGGTGTTGGTGTGCGTGAAAGGTGGAGGGCGTAATGGAAGTCTTTCGGGTTGATAAATGTGGGAGAGAGTCTAAGTAGGGTGTAGATCAGCAATAGGTGTTGGACTGTTGGTGTATGTGGTGGGTAGAAGTAGCAAGAGGTGTGTGTGTGTGTGTGTTTGTGTGTGTGTGTGTGTGTGTGTGCGTGTGCGTGCGTGTGTGTATGTGTGTGTGTGTGTGTGTGAGTGTGTGCCATATGGTGCAGTGGTATGTGCATCCTATATCCAATCGATAGGTTACGGGTTCGATTCCCGACGATTATGGTCACACACGTCTTTCTTCTCTTTCTCAGACTCCTCCTGACTTTTCTTTCATTCTCCTGGGTGGTTACCAACAGCCAGTGCATGCCGGAGTATGTGGTGTGATGTGTGTGCGACTGTGCGGGAAACAAAAAATAATGAAAAAGACCAAAAAGTAGGGATTCACTGGCCAGAAAAGTCCCTTCATAGCTGTGTGGTGTAGACCAGGCTGAATAGTGGCAGTCAATTCTTCAGCCTTGCAAGCTGTTGAATGTGCACAAGCTGCTATGGCTTCTGCTGTAGCATCGCTATCATCGCCTCTGGCGATGGGCGTCAAATGGTCAATGGTGTGTGTGTGTGTGAAAAGAGTAAAGCAGTGGGTATTGACATGCGTGGAAGGTAGAAGTGACAGAAGGTGTGCGCTGTGGAGTAAGGGGTGCAGGATATTTCGGGGTGGTGGTTGGGGCTAAAACAGGAGGCCGTGATTCGCTTAAAGGGGAAGTATACCCTAAAATCAAATTTTCACCAGTTGTAGTCTTCGGGGTGCTGAGTCGAATGGTCTTGGTCCGAGGAAGCTGAGACGCTCCCTTCCTACTTGAATCCCAATCGAACTCGCGCACTTCCACCGAAACTGGGTGACTGCGCCCTACTAGATGGGGATTTGTATGCAAAATGTCACTAAAAGCGCCATTTCGTTCTTATAAAAGCACGGATGACCGCGATTGGCCCATATGTTGTAGTCTTTTGGACGCTGAGTCGACTGGTTTTGGTCCGAAAAGGCTGCGATGTAGCGTTCCTCCTTTATTCCCAATCGAACATGGTTGAACAAGCGGTCACGTGCTCCTGCGTACACCAGTCACCTGGTCACCGTGCCTGCAGGGTACAACTTACTAGCCTGTTTGACCTTTTTTGGGTGCACTCCTGTCACTCGAGTTGAACTCGAGTTGAACCTTGGTGTGAAATTTGTCGCCTGCTGGCGTGGTGACCAGGTGATTTGGGCACCCAGGAGCACGTGACCGCTTGTTCAATCATGTTCGATTGGGAATAAAGGAGGAACGCTGCATCGCAGCCTTTTCGGACCCAAACCAGTCGACTCAGCGTCCAAAAGAGTACAACATATGGGCCAATTGCGGTCATCCGTGCTTTTATAAGAACGAAATGGCGCTTTTAGTGACATTTTGCATACAATTCCCCATCTAGTAGGGCGCAGTCACCCAGTTTCGGTGGAAGTGCGCGAGTTCGATTGGGATTCAAGTAGGAAGGGAGCGTCTCAGCTTCCTCGGACCAAGACCATTCGACTCAGCACCCAGAAGACTACAACTGGTGAAAATTTGATTTTAGGGTATACTTCCCCTTTAATTATATCAGCATATACAAGGAGGTGTGTGTGTGTGTGTGACTGTGTGTGTGTGTGTGTGTGACTGACTGTGTGTGTGTGTGTGTATGTGTGTGCGTGCGCGTGTGTGCAAGCATTGTGGCAGTGTTGAGTGGGGGGAGGAATGAAATAGCAGTAGTAGGTTCTTTTTTCGACAATACGAGATGAAGCTGGCCTCATCGAATAATGATAATCACATAATCAAGCAGGGTGCTCCAGATGATGGTAATGAATGCAAGTAGCATGCGCGAATAGTGCTTTACACCGCATCGCCGGATACTCTGCAAACCATGCCTAATAGAAGGAAAGAGGCATGACCGCTACCAAAACACGACGTCAAGATAAATAAACCCACTAGTAGTAAACCAAAAAAAAGTCACCACCAGGATTCAAACTGGGGATCGTCTGTTGACTAAGCCATGCAACCAGCCCATACCCTGCTTACCGTTCATTTGTGCTTTGACATGGTCTAGCTTGCGCTGAAGAATGATTTGCCTTCGCTCCGCTTCAGCATCGGCCCGCCGGCGTTCTTGGTTCGACTGTGCCTCCAAGTTAGCAAAGTCCACCTTCAAGCATGTGTAAACCAACAGATAGCTCAGCTTGTGAATACAGACATGTGTAAACCAACAGATAGCTCAGCTTGTGAATACAGACATGTGTAAACCAACAGATAGCTCAGCTTGTGAATACAGACATGTGTAAACCAACAGATAGCTCAGCTTGTGAATACAGACATGTACACATGTGATGCAGTGACGGTAAAATGAAATCTGACCAGTGTTTTCTGCATGAGCGCACGCGTACATGCCCTTCAGGGAGTCGAATAAGCCCGGGATTTTGCGGCTGAGAAGTTTCCAAGGCATAAGAATTTACCGTATTTTACCGGTTGTAAGTCGACCCCGGTTATAAGTCGACCCCCCTTTCTGGAGGTCACAATTCTGCGTTTCAAAGTTTTCACCCAAAGAAGCACTACTAACCACCTCCTGCTACTAACACATCAACAAATCATGTAAACATTCCTTATTGGAGGATAACGTCCCAATCCTTGAAAAAGGCCAATGAACTGGCAAAAATGTATAAACATGGTGCACTCGTGCATGCAGTGCAGGTCATTTTTTGTAAGATACTGATAGTTCCCGGTTATAAGTCGAATCCCGGTTGTAAGTCGACCCCCACCCTTTCTCCTTCTATTTTCAGTCGTAAAAGGTCGACTTACAACCGGAAAAATACGGTACATCTTGACAGACCTCAAGAAAATCCCATGGGAATCGCCTATCCATGACTGCTTCTCTTAGTAGTTTTTGGGACTTTGGGCAGTAATGGTAGGGCGCCATACTGTATGGAGTACTGAGGACTCAAACCAAACAAAACAGAAGGTTGTGAGGTTATGGATGTGAGCGGAATTCGGTGATTTTTCAGGTTTACCACCGACAGAGGTTGGTCTTGCACTCCCTTCACCCAACCTCGTCCACCTGTTTTCCTTCAGAAAACTGATGTAGGGATATCAGAGCACAACCGGGGCAGGCTGTTTTTCAGTTCTTTTCAGCTCTTTGCTGTCACTGGAGGCTGTTTTCTTCATCTCTTTTTGGACATTCCCCCACCATGTTGATAGTCGATGAGTCATACCATTTCCACTCTCGCACGTGCTTTTGCACGCCATCCCCTCTCCCCGGTTTACACGACTCCCTGGTGTACATGCATGTACGATATGCACGGTGTGTAGGGTTTGCACGTACAGCTACAGGAGAACTACATGTATATGTACCAACCACACACGTGCAATGTTGGACAGTGATGGGTCCTTATCTTGAGGACTGTCCCATCAGCACTATGAATAAACTGGCCAGCATGGCCACACCATAGACCTCAAACTTTCCAAACACCTGCATGTTTGTACACCGATGTTAAATCAGCAATCAGACATGCACCGCTCTCCTGTACCTTCTTGGTTTTCTGTAAGTAGCTGTAGCCCAATGCCAGCTTCTTGTAGTGCTCGCCGAAGCGCTGATGCCATTCACTGAAGCACTTGAGCGACCTGCGCTTCATAGTCTCCGCCACGTCTTTGGGTCGGGGCAGGGGTATTGCAACATCTGTGCCCATACAGTAGGTCATGATCTTATGCAGGTCGGTCACCATCAGTGTGCGGAAAGCATGGCTGCGGCAGAACAACTGGTCAATGAGGAGCAGGCATGAGAGGCGAATCTGCGCATGCTCCCGTTCCAGCTGATCCATCAGTAATGTGAACACAGCATTCACGTAAACATCAGACTTCCTGCAAAGCAAACAGAGTGCAGCATGTACGTACGGCACACTTGCTTGGATGCATGCAATGAGCAGCCACATAATAGTGGAAAGAGCGATAGTGGAAAGAGCGGGTGCAAGTCCTTGTAGCCATGTTCACCAGCTCATGCACACATATATTTTACACTTACACTTACACACACACACACACACACAAGTACGTCCGTGCACGTCCATGCAAAGGTACGCGTGCGCACAAACAACACACACATGGACAGACAGACAGACAGACACACATACACCCACACATATGCATGCATGCACGCGTGCTTACGCACACGTATAACGGTATTCGTGGCCAGTTGGGTTCTGACTACAGTCTTTTCGCCACACTGTTCTTGTGGACTTACTTGCAAATATTCTTTATAGCTTTGCATTTTTTCTCATCCAGGGAAGCACAGCCTGATGTTGTGATATCTTCAACAAGTTGGCACAGTTCTCTGTGGATTCCAATGTCCATCGTGCACGTGTGCCAACTCACAACTAATAAGCTCAACAACTAGTAGTCAGACACTACAAAGTACTAGTAGTATCTCTTTTTGAATTTCTTTTGGAATTTTACAGTGTACTATTTCTGGCTTGAAAATCTCCAGGCTGCAGCCCAGAACAGCTACTACGATAGTACGTACTGAAAAAATTCAAGAAGAAGAAAGCTCTGTTTCACAACATGGTACTGTATGGAGACTATGGACTCAGAACGTAACTCGTTTCACCCGTGTGTTCTCTTCGAAACAGGAGAAAAGGCTTCTATTCCTTTCAAACGATTGCGTAGAGATCTACGAAGTGATCATGCATGTCACTGCGCGCATGCGGTGATTCATGAATCATGATGCCGTCATGAAAAATGAGTCATGAAAATAATTATTATTATTTTCATTTCACAGTTCACTCACGATCACGCGACTGTGACCAGTGACGCGATCGATCGCGAGCGTCGAGCACGGCTGTTATGCATGCATAATCCAGCGACATTATGTACTAGTGTTTAAACCGAACACGGATTCTTCGAACGAATAATCTATCGAATAATTTCGCCCTCCATCGAACGAATAATCTATATTCTATCATACGCATGCTGGCATTTTTCAACACTTTTTCAGCACTTTTCAAGTAGTTTTTTAGATAATTTTTTGCTGATTATCGGATTTTGTTATGTGGAGGTGCAAAACCTGTTAACCTGTACCGCCAAGCGTACATACCGGTAACCCCCCAGAGTGTGCAACGCCTGATCCTGCTCTGCATAGGGTCTTGGTTGAAAGTGGTCAAAGACCGAAAATCACATTCACTGTGTCATAGCCCGAGAGTGAGGGCTTGTAACTTTTAACTACTGCTGATAGCTACTGTGCGTAGAACGTGGACACACTGTGTCTTCCGGACCGTAGTTGGAACAGTTATTATACAATATAATATACGGTGTGTGCCGGCGAGGTCACCTACCCAGTGAGACTGTAAAATGATAGGTTTGGCTGCTGTCAATAGATGAAGTGCACGACTGTGCATTTGCAGTAGAAAGTGCAATACCTGTAGTTATGACTTCGCTTTATAGTAGTAGTAAGCTAGGTGTGGATGTGCGTGATTGCACCTGCTTGACCATTGACTGGCTATGCTTTTAATCAAGTACATGTTGCGGTCCAGACGCCGGGTCTAGGCTTGCCCCGTTCTAATACCCTTTTACACTTTGCGTATCTTATGATGACAGCCGCTTCTAGATCACGCAGACCTGTGCGTGTGCGTGTGTGCGTGTGCGTGTCCGATCGCCGTTCCGCGCAGCGGACAAAGTTGCAGTTCAGCTGCATGTTTAGCAAGTACTATCGCTACTGCCGCTGCTTGCTGTTTTCTACGATGTGTTATATCATGGCATGCTGCTGCTTTTAGCGAGAGGTTCTTTCGGTGCTCTTCTTCCAAACAGGAACATATTCTCTGCTCTGACGAGATCAGTTGGTTATGTGTGTGTTGGGTTAGGACTGGGTGAAGTTGCTCCGTACCAGCCGTGGCTACACTGGTCACGAAACGTTCCGAGGGTTAGAGACGACACAGCCATGGGCGAGACTAACCGGAACACGCTCCCCGAGCGAGTTATCACAAGTGGTGCTGTGACCAGGATGGCTGGCAAGAACGAGGCAACAAAGTTCACCATTCCTAGAAGAGGCGCGAAGATCTCGGCCAGGCGCTTGTAGACGGTGCAAGCGCAGTCTAAGTATATTGAAGATGTTCAATGTATCCTGCCTCACTACTGGTTGTGTTGTTGTGGGTGCGGGAACTGGCCTCCACCAGGGAATAAAGAGGTTTGTTCTCTGTTGTGCTCGATTGGCATGGCGCAGTGATGACTGAGCTGCCTTTTGTGATGAGAATTGCATGCTGCATGATGGGCATACAGTTCGTAAGGAGGGGTATGGATGTGTCGTATCTCTCTAGTCTGTTTGGTCTAGTCCTCAGGCTGGGATGCCAGCCGGAGTGATTAGGGTGAACTATTGGCGGCCTTGTGCGCGAGTCATGGCATGATGTTGAGAGGCATGCATGATGCGGCTTGCACTGGTCGGCTAGGCTAAATGTGTGATGAACGGGAATCCGGATGGCGCACGAGGCTACGCGAGATGTCGCGAGTCAGGCGTGGGATCGGGAAACCTGATGCGACGGTGGTCGCTTGGCATGTTCACACGGCGGTTAGGGTTACAGTGGTTGAGTACGCTGTGCCCACGTGCAATTGGGGTGTGCACTCGTAGGCGCGCGCGTGCCGTGATCGGACGGCAGCGGCGTGGCTGAGTATATCAGGCGAGCTGAGGCGAAGAGGACTGAGTTCTTCGCGGATCAGTCGTCCTGCTAGCACTATTTGTCTACTTTGCTCGTTCTTTTGCTGTGTTGACGATGGCTCAGCAACAGCAACAACAAGGCAGAGGTGTGAATGCGCCTGCTGCAAATGTTCATCAACCGTTAGTAGCTGGTGGTGCTGCTGCGGTGGGTGGCCCTGCTGCAGTGATGGCTGCAGCAGGGGGAGCGGTAGCTGGTGCTGGAGGAGCGCCAGTTGCTCCAGCCTTCGGGAGGCCTGCGGTGATGCCCGAGGCCTACGATGGTTCCGGAGACTGGGTGGAGTATATCCAGTACTTCGATCAGTGCGCGCAGGTGAACGGGTGGAATGACCCGCAGAAAGCGCAGTACTTAGCGGTTCGCCTCAGAGGTGGGGCGCAACGCTTTTTGGCTACTATACCGGCTGCAAGACGGGCCGTATGGCAGCATGTGAGTGCGGACCTTGAGCGAAGGTTCGCACCACCTGCTAATGAGCGGCAGTTTAAGGCTCAATTCCGCACGAGGAGGCGTAAATCCGGTGAGGATTTAGCGCATCTGGCGGATGATCAGCGTCGGCTGGTGGTGCGGGCGTACCCCAACATGCCGGGTGGGTTACAGGATGAGCTGGTGAGGGACCAGTTCATCGAGGCGGTATCTCCCGTGGCTTTGAGAGTGAGGCTGCAGGAGAATCCTCCGGCGACGGTGCAGGCGGCATTAGAGATGGCGCTGCACCTGGAAAAGGTTTGGCGAAGTGTTGACTTGCCAAGCGAAGCTCCACAGAGGCTGGTGGGCCCCTACGGAGAGAGCCTGCAAACACAGTTGGTGACGGCCGCTGTGGATGTTGCTGAGGCTCCAGCGAGAGGACAGACGGACGTCCTCGAGCGTACTTTGAGCAGCCTGGTGAGGACGCTCGACCAACTACTGGAGAGGCGTGATGCTCCAAGTGGTCAAGGAGGGCGAGGCCGAGGAAGAACTCGGGATCAGGAGCCCGCTCGACGAGTGAAGATGTTCACTTGTTGGAACTGTGGTGAACCGGGCCACAGGGCAGCCCAATGTCCTCGTGAAGCGCAGATGGGGCGCGGAGGATACGATGGCTCGAGGAGAGGGCCTTTGGGGAACGGCCAGTGACTGGGGCGATGGCCCACGTGCCTGGTCAGACCATTTCTTTGGGTCGAGAGTGTAATCCGGCAGCACCTGATGAGCGTGCTGTCGAACAATCCATTCCTATGGTCGGATGCGACTCTGGAACGGGGATGTTGACCACGGGGACAATCGATGGGTTGTCAGTGGAGATGCTGGTAGATACTGGAGCGGCTGTAAGCTTAGTATCTGCGGATCTAGCCAGGAAGCTGGGCTACGATCCGGATCGACTCACGGCGGATGCGCCTGGGTTGAAGTTTTGTGGGGCAGATGGTAAGCCTTTGGTGGTGAACGGAAAAGTGGTTGTTCACCTTGGCGTTCAAGGATGTGTTTGTTCGCCGGAAATGCGGGTAGTCGATGGGCTACGATTTCCATGTGTGCTGGGACGTGATGTGCTGTCCAGCATTCCCTGTAACATAACCTCTGCGAATGGCAAGCTATGTTTCAAGGTCGAAGAAAGGCGAGGGGGTGGTGCAGATGAGGCTCCGCTCCGCTTGCAGGAGAAGATTGTTCTCCCACCACACCACGAGATGACCGTGGCGGCTGTGGTGGACACTCTTGCATTCGATGGGATGCCAGAGTTGGGGCTCACGGAACCAGATTGTGGGACTGCGAGCGACCCTGGTCTCTTGGTGGCAAAGTGTGTTGTGCGGCCACAAGAGAATCGTGTTCCCGTGCGATTGATGAATTGCACGGCGGAACAAATCACTCTGCCCAAGAGAGCCCAGATTGGCAAGCTGTGTGCAGTTGCAACTGTGGTGGACGGTAGTGAAGAGTTGGACGAGGCGAATGACTGGTGTAGCTACGGGGCTAACCAGGATTTGTGGTCTGTACTGCGAGTGGGGAACCCCGATGGTGGTCCCGGCGCAGGGAAGCGCTCTCCAGGCGGGAAGAGGCTGCTTGAAACCGGTGGTGGTGATGACGATGGTCGGTCACACCATTGTGCGATGAGGGATGATGAGGCAGTACACGAGGCCGACGTTGACCAGCGTGGTCGTGGTACGATGCCTGATGGCTGTTGCTCTCAGGAGGGTAACCGGGAGGCATGCTCCCCACCTGATACAGGCAACAGCGAGCAGCCTGTGGTTGAGGCCGAGCAGTTGGCTAGGCTCAGAACCTTGGTCGAGCAGTACAGATGTGTATTCGCTATGAACATGTCCGAGCTGGGTCGGACAGACGTGTTGAAACACGAGATTAGGACTAGCTGTGATGGTCCAGTTTATGAGCCCGCAAGGAGATTGCCTTGGAGCTCGCGAGAAACATGTCGGAAGTTGGTTGACGACATGCTTGAACAGGGTGTGATCGAAGAATCGGTCAGTCCATGGTCTTCACCAGTTGTGTTGGTGCGGAAGAAGGACGGATCGACGAGGTTCTGTGTTGATTATCGGAGAGTCAATGCAATAACCGTGAAAGATCCATACCCACTCCCGCGTATTGATGATACGTTGGACGCGTTGGGCGGTGCGATGTACTTCTCGACGCTTGATCTGTGCTCTGGGTATCATCAGATGCCAATGGACGAGGCAGACAAGGCCAAGACGGCATTTTCCACGCCTGATGGGCACTATGAGTTCAATGTGATGCCATTTGGTGTGTGCAATGGCCCGAGCTCATTTCAACGGCTGATGAGTGCCGTTTTGCGAGGTTTGCAGTGGCAGATGTGCCTGGTATACCTCGATGATATTATCGTGTTCTCAAAGACGTTTGACGAACACTTGGAACGACTGGAAGCAGTGTTCCAAAGACTACTGGAGGCTGGTCTTCGGTTGAAACCCTCGAAATGTCATCTGTTG